ATTTTAAAACTTTAACAGATTGCTATTTTTTCCTAATGATATATGATGTCATAAAGTTGTGTTTTAAAAATTAGTCTTGTTTAAATGTTTTTTCATTGCAATTTTTTAAGAAAAATTTTAGTACATCATTAAAGTGTGGTTATGATGACATCTGACTAGATAATCCAGCAAAAAACTAAAATGCAGTATTAAAAACTTATAGTATTAATTAATTAATATTTCATCCATAACCCACAGTAAATAAAAAATGTAGGTAATAGTTACATAAAAAGCAACAACATGCAAATAAAAAGACCTCAGCCTTTAATTTTTTTCATAGGATGGCGTATTATATTAGTACGTTAGATTAACAACACAGACTGATTTTATAGCACCAGGTTAAACTTTCTGACTCCATATGGTAATCAAATACATTGAAAATAAATACATGCCACAAATGAACATTTAGGATGATCTATAAAATTAAACTAATAGATTTGTGCTGAAAACATGGTGTCCACTGGGCTCATTGAGGTGAGGTTAATAATATTAAATTGAATGCTACTAAAATAAAATAAAATAAATAAAATTAAAACATTCTTAGCATGTAGTCCTTTATAAGACTGAAATTATTTTCCAATGGTTTTAAAAAAGTTAAAAAGTCATATGACTTAAAAACAAACAGTTTTACAATGCATGACTCTCTTCTTTTTTGTACTATCATGGTTATATCAAAGTGAGTAGACTATAAAGTATTAATTATCAAGCTAAAAAATGTACAGCCCAATTATGTATACACTACTATTTTTTATAAAAGAATATCTGCAAATAAAAATACCCACTTTTGTCTTTGCAGACTTTTCGTCTTTACATTTACTTGTGTTGTATTCCAGTTTTTCTCCAGTCGCTTTGGTACATTTCTCAGATTTGAAATTTACAAAACAGTAAGTGCATTTCTCAAAACAGCACATACAAATAGCAAAACAGCATGGATTACCTGCAAAAGCCAGTCTCTGGCTTAAAATCCTTAGTTCATCTCTCAATGAACATGTCAGTGCCATCAGAATGACAAGTCCCTTTGTCATTGTGTACAGATTAGACAGTCTGTCATGTTTAGGGTCAGACCCTATCTGTGGGCATTTTTTGCTGTTTCTGCACAGAATTGTGTTAAAAATCTGCAGATTTATGCTGAATTATTTTAAGAGTATCATAACTAAAACCTTATTATATTACATTTTTAACTTGTATTTAATGTTTACAATCCAAATCCAATTAGATCCTCTTTATTTGGAAAACAAAGCAAGTCTTTCATATAATATCTCTACTAAAAGACAGAAAATATTACTGCACAAACTGTATTGTAAATAATTCATATGAATATTTTCACATTAGTCAATAATATTGTAAATAATTTAAAAACTGAATAAATATAGATTTACAAACATTTACACAAGTAAATAAACAGAATCAATGATGGGCTAAAAATCTGTGGAATTCTGCGCACGTAGATTCTGTGTGGGCCTAGTCATGTTGTCAGTATAACAGTGTATTCTGGAGGGATGTTCTGATGTAAACTGTGGCTAATTTATTTATTTATTTATTTGCTGTTTGTACTGTAATTTGTTGCCAGATCATGTCATTGTGATGCAGAAAGGAAAAGACAGCACTACATAGGACAAGTAAAAAACAAAAGTAGAAATGTGTACATAAGTCAATCTCCCTTCAGATACACCTCACCTTTATTAGACAAAGTAAAGATTGACCTGGGAGCAATTTACCAATTATAGATTTAGAAAAATAGTCATTATATACATTTCCAAGAATGGAAATGTATAGAAAAATGCATTATGACTAAATATTATGACAACTTGTTCAACTTCTTTTATATATATAACTTGCCATTAACTTTTTTTCCTCTCCACCCACTGGTCATTTTCACAAGACAAAATTGTGTTGTCCGGAAATGTATTTTATATACTTAAATTTGACTTTTGCATGCTAAAAGTACTTGAGTAAGAGACAATTTACTTGATTTGGGTCATTAATTAACTCTGACTACCAATATTATGATATAGATACCTGCTGTAGTCAACCTAAAACCTACAGTAGTTTGACATAAAACCAAAACAAAACCTATTCTTGTCTTATGACATTTTTATCAAGAAAATGTTTGAATAACAGTAAGTTCATGACATGTTAAATATATAGCATAACCTGCTGGTTTTAAACATACAGAATAAGAATAAATACAGTTATGTAACAACCATAACATTACCACTATGTCTTAGGACATCTTTGATTAACTTTGTATACCTACACCAAATGTTGACTAATGAAGGTACATTTAAAACAACTATTTATTTGTTAGACTACATTATTGTCAAACCATGTTGCATACAAATGCATTCAACAGACTTATATGACAGTTTATTGCTGTAGAGGACAAATAAAACACGAGACAGGTGTTTAGAAAGAGTATAGTTTATTTTGTTTGACCTGCAAACTTATCTAAACAGGATAAACTTTCAAAAAACAGCACGGAAACATTATAATGCGCGCGCTTATACAGTTAAATCATTACAGTTACCATGGTTTCTATTTTAAACTATAGTAAACTAAAGTTTGAAACTATAGTTTAAAATAGACGATGAGTGGGCCTCATTGCTCCCACCCACAATAACCCTCGCAGCGGGGTCCCACTACCGGCCTCCCGTTTTTCCCTGAGGGTCCTCACGGCCTGTATTGATCCCTGCCTAGGGCTCACAAGCCGCCTCGCCCCAGGGAGTGCACAAGCTAACCGGGTGCCAGTCCGTGCCAGTGTTCACTGGATGTTGCTCGGCGGCACATTTCGAGCAGCAAAACACGTAATATTCTTCGCGATATTGCGTTTATGTACACAAACTGCAAGGAACTACAGCACAGATGGGCCCGAGTGAAGCTTCACGAAGCGGACTTCGTGAGATTGGCGTGGCTCCACTCCTCCCGTCAGGTATTGAACTCACCTTGGTCAAGTACAAACAGCAACACCGAGCGAACTGACAAGGCTAAGAGAGAGAACCGACGAGCTTTATAGAAATGCAGATGCAAATGTTTACAATGCGACGTCACTGCTGTGAGTCTCGTTGTCATGGTGAGCGCTGAAGAGAGCACATCTTATTGGAGCAGACAGGCTCGGGAATTTCCGTCACGGCGAGTTGCGGTTGGCTGTGGACAAAAACATATGAAATATATTGAATATTTATTTTTACATGTTGGTTGCTGTGTAATATTCTGGGATGCAGTAGAATATGGAGACAGATGATTATAATTAAAGACATGCGGAATATCAGAACAGAAAGTAAACCCGGCTAGGACACACTACTTTAGTGGTAGTAAGCTTCTTATTATCCAAGATCGCCATCTAGCGGTCACATAACCTAATAGCATGCTACTTGCTATAACCACCCCCCGCGGCTAAAAGGTCTAGCATTTGTCCTTTTAATTATTTTATGTAATTTAATATTATATATTATGTGTATTATACAATTAATATAATATATTTATATTCAATATATATTCCCGTCACGTCTGTGAGGCTGTTTGCTCACTTTATTCGTTTTATTTTGATCAGATATCCGATTGCTCAAACCACTTCAGAAGGTGATCTGGGATGCATTCCAGATGAAACTAGACAGGTCTAATCATTTTTTAGATAAAATTCATATAAATAAATTTAATTATGACCTAAAGAAAATCTGACCTGCGAATTTTCAAATGTACTGTTTTTTACCAAAGAGACTAGAAAAACTCTGAAAAATTCATTATTATTGTTTTATTATTATTATTGTTATTATTATTAAATATTATATTTTTTATTGAAATGGCCAAATTTTGACTAAGGAAAGTTGAATGTGCTGGCCAGCTTGTTTTTTGTCTAATAAATGATAGTGGGCTACAGTTTTTTTTTACTTTAAAAGTTTAGCAGATTCCTATTTTCTCCTAATGATATATGATGTCATAAATTTGTATTTTAAAAAATAGTCTTACATTTTTTTTAATTGCAATTTTTTAGGAAATGTTTGTAGTACATAAAAAAGTGTGGTTATGATGACATCTGACTAGATAATCCAGCAAAAAAAAAAAAAAAACACTAAAATGCAGTATTTAAATCTCGTAGTTAACTAGAAACTGAGGCGTATAACTGCAAAAAGGTCCAGCTGGCTACGGGCCTGCATATATATATATATATGAAGAGTTCAGATGCAAAAACCTTTAGGCATGGTCTGAAATTTTTTTTTAAGTGTAAACTTACTGAAACTACACAAAGAAGCCTGAGAAAAATGCAAATTTTAGATGAAAATTCTAAATGATACTTAAAGGTTTTTGCATATAAACTCTTCATATAAATATCTAAATATATCTAAATATATCTATATATATATATATATATATATATATATATATATATATATATATATATATATATATATATATATATATATATAAACATGTTTTATATGTTAAATTAGGAAAATAGACATGCGTTATGGATCTGACCAAAAAAGTCTGCAAGTTTACAATATAAAACATACTTTGTAGAAAATCTGTGAATTAAATCAGAATCAGAAAGAGCTTTTTTACCAGGTATGTTCACACATACGAGTATTTTTTTTGTGACAGAGCCTCTATGAATATATAAACATTTTTATAATATAATATAATATAATATAATATAATATAATATAATATAATATAATATCATATAATATAATATAATATAATATAATATAATATAATATAATATAATATAATATAATATAATATAATATAATATAATATAATATAATATAATGTGTCAAGGCCTGAGTATAATATATATATTAAGTGCATGTTCGTGAGAGTTGTTCCGCCAGATGGCGCTGTTTTATATGCTCCTTCACAACATTATTATTCCTCATCTCGCTGCTTTTTGTCGCGTGACTGATTGTTTCGGAACTTCGAAACAAACATCAGCGTGTCTGTCTTTCTCTCACGGGTGGCTCATCGGGAACATAATGAATGTCGGGGAGGACAAACTCTTTCAGTTCAGCCGGGTCAACATTTAGCGCCCAGAGACGCCGAGCTGGATTTTTGAATCGCTGGACTTCCTTTGCCTCCCGACACGTCACTGGAGTCAGTTGGATGGAAAGAGTGAAAAAATAAGGCAAGTTGTTATTATGAGTTTAATGTCTTAGTATTATCTGAATAATACAAGCCACTCTTGAAGTACGTCGGTGGTTGTACTAAGTTTTTATGTGTAACAGGTCCTTTTCTCTGCGAGAGTACACAATGTACATTACGTAATAAAATATTTATTTATTAAAAACAAGCTAGCCACATGGCAGAAATGCAAAGCTCCGCAAAACACAGACAAATGTCTGCCAGTCAGGATTTAGTCTTGAAGCTTTGGTTGGCATCAGTACACAATAGTGTATCTATCATTCTTAAAATGTCTTTAAATACGTTAAGATGACCTAAAATGTCCATGTTTACACCAGATGGCCGTCTGTATTTGGAAAATTCTGTAATTTTGTATCTGATTTTGCTATTAGGATCTGCAGAATGCACTGCAACAGTTGTGCTAATGTGTTTAGCTGTGCTCATAATACTACTAATATTACATAATATAAAGAATGTCCAAAAATGAAATTATTTAAAGCAAAAGCATATAGTCAGATTGAATACAGACCTGTAACCAATTTTACTGTCAGCTTTTTGTCTTAATATGTTCTAGCTTATAGTTTAGTAATATTAAATAACTAAAATAACATGACTGCTTTAAAACGTCTGTACGTTTTTGAATATCAATAAATAGTAGCACCATTTATATATAACATAATTGAAACTATAAATGAAACCAGTTCTGCTTTTTGAAGTGGAATGAGATTTGTCAAGTATGCTTTTACCCATACTCATAATTGGTCCTTTGCTTTTGACCCATTCAAGTGCACAAACACACATTTTGAGTGAGTCGTGAAAGCACACACACACACACACACAAATATACAAATGCACTATGTGAGTATACACCCGGAGCAGTCGGCAAAATAAACATTAATATCAGTAAAAAAAAAATTATAATATTAATATATATATATACCTAACTCCTTATGTAAAACTATATTAGACAGAATTAGTCAGCTTGTGTTCCTACACCATTACAGCAACAAAATACATGAAGTAGAAATGTCATGCTAAATGGGAATTGAAACTATGAGTCCTGCGTGGGCTAGTCAGTGTCATTCAGTGTACTTGTGCAATAGCCATACACACACAGTGTTGACAATGAAAACGATGTGACCAACGAGTGAAATATTCACCAAGCCTTCCGTTATAAATGTTAATGGGATGTTAAACTGTCTGAAGTTTTATTACAGATACATTTGTGAGTGGTTTCTTTTTGACACACATTATTTACACGTTATTTCAGATGTATCATTTTAATAGGGTAGAATTACTCTTAGTGTGAAATGAAAGCAGAGGATTGCAGAGACAAACCTGCATGGATCCGTATTTCATTGTGTGGCATGTCTGTGCAAGATATACCTGTTCACTTTACTTTCTTTTCTCTGCTCAAACCTGTTTGACTGTTTGAGTTGCTGTAATAGCATAAGGCCATGTTAAATAGCATTTACCTTTTTGGCACTTCTAAAAGAATGATAACATAGAGTCTCTAGTTTCCTGAAATATAATAATGTTCATGTAGTATCTTTTATAATTTGTTATTGTTTATAATCTTTAGTTTTTCAAGCCATGAATGGAAAAAACTGCTTTTACATTCAGTTTCAAGCTTGCTTTTTTGGCACTGGAACAAACAATTAAGTGAATGCATGCATGCCCTTCTTCCTGGTTGCTGTTTTCAGTGTAAGAAAACATGCAGGTAAATCATTAGGGCTGTGGATTCATTTGCATATTTAAAATGATACCACCTGTTCCTGAGTGCCAATTGAATTAGATTATACACAACTCATGAAACGCAATTAAAGTCTTTGAATAGTTGACCACATAGACAAATATGTTCCTTTAGGTTCACAGGAATGTAGACAAATACTGATCACAGTGATATGGTAAACTGTCTGCCGGAGCTACGGACTGTTATCTCATCTGCACACAGTTAGTTTGTATTTCATGTCACGACACATGATAAAGAGAAACACAGGAGGGTTTAGGATAATCTAACTATTTAACAAAGGAATACTGTATTACTCGTGAGTCAAAAACAAAATAAACGTATATCATTTTTTGGAAATTAATTAGGGTTGCGATATAGAAACTTTGCCTGATGCATTTCAATGATAATTCTTAAGTTTTGGAAGTTTGACTAGTATATGAGCAGATAAATATAAATCTTGATATGAAATTTCCTGCGTAAATTTAATAAACAAACCAAAACACAGAAACCGATTTTATTTGAAAACAAGAAAGCTGCAAGAAGGCCAATAGAAAAATTGCAGTTTTATTTTGTCACTGTAGAAAAACACTGTTTTCTGAATCTTTTCCCTCTAGCATTTTAAAGGGCATCTATTTTACCTCTTTCAAGATTTAAGATAAGTCTTTTGTGTCTCCAGAATGTGTCTGTAAAATTTTAGCTCAAAACACCCATCAGATTATTTATTATACCTTTCAGAATATTAGAATTTTTTTCTCTAAACACAATGTAGCTGTTTTTGTTGCCTGTGCCGTTAATGCTAGTTTTCTTAAGTGTGCCTCAATCTCCGCAGTGTCAGATAAAAAGCACAGGAACAGACTTGAATAAAGCACATCTCGTGTTGTGTGAAATACTCCATTAAGAACTTTCCCAATGATTACTTGATGTATTTGTTGTGGAGTTAATTCAAGCCTTTTTGCAATGACGTTACAAAGTTTACACACAGGCACACGCAGCGCACACGTTTAACTTTGCACTGTTTTTGCACAGCAAATGTGACAGGATACACTTTAATACATTGATTTAACATCCACAAACCAGGATTGAAGTGTGATGAATTACAGCAATTTTACCGTCTTTAATTCACACTATTATAAAGAAGAACTGTTTTAAATTTGTTTTCAACTTGTAAAAATCATTCTTGATCACATTTAATGATGAGTGATGATTACAGCAAGCTGAACAGATCTTTTAATCCCAGTTGCTTTGCGCACATCTTGTCTTGTTTATATGATTATATGTGTTACTTTGGAGACATGTTAATACATGGATGTCAATCAATTCGGGGGGCGAGGAAACCACGTCACGTTGCGGTGGGCCTCAAAATAGCAGTGATTTGGATCCTATTTTAATGTCAGGAAATACAAAGAAAGAGACTTGTAGTCTTTATATGACCCCAATATGTCTGTGGACACAATACCTAAACACAGTTCTGAAAAGATGATTCGCATCATAGGTGCCCTTTAAAGGGTTTGTTCACCCAAAAAAGTCAATTTTGTTATTAATTTCTTACCTTTTTTACCTCATTTTAATTCCCCATCTTTCGTCTTTGAAACATAAATTGAGATATTTTAGATTAAACCTGAGAGATTTCTGATCCACCATAGACAGCAGTGGTTCAGAGATGTTAAAAATACAGAAAATAAATGAAAAACATTTAATGAAATTCAAAGGAATCGAAACACTCCATGTGACTTTAGTGGAATCAAGTTACAAGAACACGTTTGTGTTTTTATTTGTTTGTTTTGCCAAAAACTGTAAAAGCATCTGGCTAAGCACAGGGTAAGTGGTAATATTGTGTAATTTCCAGGATATTGTATCTCATTCGTGGGCATCAGGGAGCCACTATGAAATTGCAGGACACTCCCTGAGCTTTCCGGACACTTGATACGTCTAAATATGATGATTGTTGTGCTGCTGACTAGGGCTGCACGATATTGAAAAAATTTCAATATTGAAAAAATGTCCCAATATTTTTTCTTCTTCTCTGCGATTATATATTTCGATATCATTTCACCAGATGACTTAAATAGCTCTATTTGCAAAGTCATTACTTAGGATAATTTGTTTGAGGGGAATGAAAGATAAATATATTTTTATGTAAATTATTACATAAACTACAGTCATAAATAAACACAACTGAGCAAATATTAAAGTGAAATACACCGTGCTTTATGGTTTTCTTAGAGAGAGCAACAGTATTAAGGTAAATTCAAGAAATGTTATAATCAAATGTAAAATGGCACTGTATGGTCTGCACCATATAAATAATTTAATAAAATTAATTTTCATGAAACTTCTTTCTGCATTTTATACTAAAATGCTTTAGGCTCTCTTCAAATGCTCACACAGTCACAGACCCTAAAAACACATGCAGAGGATAAACGTTTACCCTATTACGGTTCAATTCTCTAGTGTCTCCATAAATCTTGTGCGTTTTGACCTGTGGTTTCTGGTCGTCTATAATCCTAACTCATTATTGCGTGTCTTGCGATTTGACCAATGTGGATGCACACATTGCGATATCGATGCTCAAACGATATATAGTGCAGCCCTACGGCTGCTGACCCTAATGGAGGTAAGTTGTATTGCCCATAGTAAACGCGTGTACCCTGACCTGGCTGAACAAAGTCCTTTTTACAAGGTTTTTTGGTGCATAAAAGTGTTCTTGAAGCATCATATGATCAAATTTGAACCACTTAATTTGCATGGATTATTTCAAAAAAGATATTGTTTCCTTTTCTGGGCTAAATGTCTCAGCACTATAGGACTGCTCAATATATCATTTTGATGATTTATATCATCAATATTGCTACAGTATGTGTGCATCAGTAATAGTCACATCGCAAAGAAATGCAATGTTTGATAGTTGACCAGAAGCCATAAAAAATTATTTAATCACTGTATTTATATGGAATTTATATGATTTATGCAGAAAAGTTCTCTTACTAAGAAATTTTGTCTCGTTTCTAAATATCTACATTTCAAAGTGAAAACAAAATAAGTTTACTTTTCTTTTTTATGACGGTAAAAAAACCAAGCCATTTTTTCTTGCTCTAACCATTTTGGATATTTGGACTAGAAACAAGACAAAAAAAAAGTTAGATATTTTCAATTTATTTAATTTCTTCAATTTTTATATCGTAATACTGCTAGACTCCCCAGAAAACCATCAAATAGAGCTATTTGAATCTTGTGAAACTGCATTTATATTGCAATATTTATCGCAGAAAAATATATCATATTATCAGATTTTTTTCAGTATCGTGCAGCCTTTATCCAGAGAGCTCTTCGATTTCATTAATAATAGCTTAATTTGTATTTTAAAAATGATTAAAACTCTCAGGGGATTGGAGTGGTATGAGGGTAAATAATTAATAACAGAATTATCATTTTTTTTGTGATTTAACCCTTTAAAGTGGCCATCTGATGTGTGAGTCTGTGTGATGTGTCACATCATGACTATTACACTAGTCCAGAGATGCCCAAAGTAGGGCCCGCGGGTCAAAGTTGGCCCATGGTAACCTTTGATTTGGCCTACCATCCAATCTGAGAAGAGATTTAGAATGATGGGAAGGTTGTGATAGATTACAATGCACAAGGCAGTGTAGCTTGACTTGAGTATTCAGCATTGAACACCATTGTATAATATATGTTTTAATGTTTTTATTGTACGAAGTCCATTATAAAATCTAACAAAGTATAATTATTAATATTAATGTAGTAATATTAATACATTAGGAAATTACCAATGCAGCTGTATATATTTTTTTGACCCTTCATAAGCAATAGTTTGGGCACCCCTGCACTAGTCAAAACCTTCATGAACAGGAGCACCCATCTGAAATCCTTCAACCAGCACAAATAATCCATAATTGATTGCCTTTAATACATCAACCTAATTTTAATTCTCAACAGTTAACAGGAACATTAATACGCATTTATAAGCTAATACCAATATATTGTACAAGACTGTTTATAAAAATACAGAGCAATGTCATATTTAATGGCCAAACTCCTAAAGGGAATTCAAAATGAATTTGATCAGGCCGTTCTGTCGCTCCCAATCGTCTCTTAAGAGCTTCCTCCTGGCCTTTAAATCTGCATTTTGTATGTCCAGTGCTGCGTTTTCTAAAAATACCTCAGAGGGGAACGGGAACGTTGCCCACCCGGTGAGCCATCGCGTGTTGCGCTTGACAGAGGGAGTATGTGGAAATGGCATATGAAAAATGAACGTACCCGTTTGCTCGCCTCTCAGTTGGAGAGAAACCGAGGGGAGGATGAAAGAGAGGCGGAGACTCATCATCGCTTGACCGCCCAGACTGAAGCTTCTCTCTGTGTTCATGCCACACTTGATTAGTGACTCTCAGTGGCCTTCCTGTCCTGTCATGCAAGGCCCAAAAGAGCCCTCTGGAGCTAAAGTGGACGCTGGACTCTGCTGAAAAGAGTGTTTGGCGGAGGTAGAGCCTCTCGCTTATGTTGTGTTACGTTTATTTTCTGCGCAGGAGCCAGAATGGAAAGTTCCCATCAGAATCAGGTGTGCCAAAGAAGCAGGAAAGCTTTCTGAGGACCTGTTACGTTTATGAACGGTCACTTTTGAGATTCTGAGAGGATGGAAGAGCAACCTAGCTGTCCCAATGTTAGCATTCCATGCTATAATGAGCAGAGGGACAAGAAGAAACGCTATACTGTGAGTCACGTGAGCTTTGATGGGTCTTTTCATTTACAATTTGGATTAGTGTGTTTTAAATGTTTAAATTGTAATGTGTGACCACTTTTATTCATCAGGTTTACAAAGTTATGGTCAGTGTTGGAAGGCATGAGTGGTTTGTGTTCCGGAGATATGCAGAATTTGACAAATTGTACAACACGGTGAGTAAATGAATTTGTAAGTCCTTTGCATTTTTAGTCCAGTAAACATAAAACCATGCAAATGTGAAAAGATAACAAGAAGTACTTCACTATCTGGTAACATGTCTTCAAAAAGAATACAGTCTTAAGCTCGTTAAAGGGATAGTTCACTCAAAAATGAAAATTCTGTCACCATTTGCTTGCTCTCCACTTGTTCCAAAACTTGTTATACACAAATTAAAATATTTTAAGGAATGTTCGGAAAGCAGCAGCCATTGACTTTCATAGTATTTTTTGTTCCTACTATGGATGGCTGCTGGTTTTCAACATTCTTCAGAATATCTTGTTTTTTGTTCGACAGAAGAAAAAATATTAGTACTACCTGAGTGTAAGAAAATTGTGTGGAAAGTTTTATTTTTGGCTGAATTATTAGGCTGTATTTATTTGAGTGAAAAAATACAATAAAACTGTATTATTCTGAAATATTGTTAGGATTTAAAATAGTTTTTTTCTGTTTTAATTGCACATAAGTGATCAAGTGATGGCAAAGCTGAATTTCCTTTATTCTATCTAACATGATACTTCAGAAATCATTTAAATTTGCTGATTTGATGCATAAAGATAAGAGCGTACTCACACTAGACTATCCGAACCGTGCCCAGGCACGTTTGACCTCCATTTCCTGGTTCGTTTGACAAGTGTGAGTGCTCTGGGTCGGGCTCAGGCGCAGTTCATTTAGCTGGCCCTGGCCCAGTTGGAAGAGGTGTGCCAGAGAGCAGTTCGGTTGGGCCTTAGAGTGCAAAGCACGCCTGAGCGCAAAACTAAAGATCAGACATTACTTTTAAGGAACTGTTTCATATGGATTTATTAATCATTCTTACTTTTTAATAAAAGCGAACTGTCATAGTTTATAAAGATACAAACCCCTTGCTGCTCGTCAGCTGCCACCTTAAGCAAACCTTCTAAAACCTGCAGCATGAGACCTTCATAAACATTTATTAGCGTTAAAAGTGGTGGATCTGTTCAGCTAAATATATTTTACAGTTTCTCTGCATATCAATTAACTTGAAATAATACAAAACAATATAACTAAAGCGGGCAACATGGTGGCGCAGTCAGCAGCATGATCGCCTCACAGCAATAAGGTTGCTGGTTCGAGCCTCTGCTGGGTCAGTTCATGTGTAGGCATTTCTGTGTAGAGTTTGCATGTTCTCCCCGTGTTTGCGTGGGATTTTCTCTGGGTTCCCACTCAGTCTAAAGACGTTGTGTAGGTGAATTGAATAAGCTAAATTGTCCGTAGTGGATTTGTATGAATGCAAGAATATATGGGTGTTTCCCAATGTTGTGATGCGGTCGGAAGGGTATCCGCTGTGTAAAACATATACGGGATAAGTTGGTGGTTCATTATGCTGTGGCGACCCCTGATTAATAAAGGGACTAAGCCAAAGGAAAATAAATAATTGAATATAACTAAAGCAATCTCCATTGAGAGCGCTTCTCTTCTGTTAAACTGAACAGTTGCGTCATCGATGACGTTTGTGCGATGGGGCTCTGAAGGCAGAAAATGCAGCATGAGTGCAGGCCGAAAGGGAGAGGGGACAGTTGCACCTGGGGAGTACACCCTAAGTCTTATAATTATCAGTGTTATACCTATTTTGCCTCTTATCTTTTTAATTCAGCATTGCACTCATGAATTACACTCAGATTTAGATTTTTTTGTATTAGTTTATTTTGATCATGAAGGAAAATCAAATGTTAGATCATTTAAGCCTGATATGGTTTGTTTTGTGCTTCTTAATATTTTTGTGGAAATTATTATTTCATTTTAACATTATAACAATATATATTCATGTTTATTTTAAAACTGGTGAATGGTGTATTTTAAAAAGACTGTGTTTCTCTACAGTTGAAAAAACAATTTCCTGCGCTGAATTTGAAGATTCCTGCTAAGAGAATATTTGGCGACAATTTTGACCCAGGTATTTTACAGTACTTTAATTTCTTATGTAGTATAATGCATATTGTTTCTTACCTATTGGAAACAGTTGTCCTCAAGTTCTCGTACGTTAATGGCTGTGCTTTATTTAGCTTAACCGAGATCACATGTATTTATCAAATTAGATTATTCAACAGTGTTCCATACAGAAAATCAAGCATGCTAAATCCTCCCTGCCCCGAGCCTATGCAATCTTTGTCCTTGTTTAATCTCATGTAATGCTCTCAGACAATGTGGCAGCAACGTTGCGTGCACGAATAACTAAAGGAGAATGTGCACCCAAGTTCCAATTGTATTTAGCTCATGTGCAACCAATTACGTGGCCAGTATGTGGTCAAGATCTTTTTCATAGAGAAATCACTGGTCTGGTCAAAATTTGTGCACATGTTCAGAGGACTTCTCCATCATTGAAAAGATTCTGTCTGCTTTTCTCTGTCTCTTTTATTCCTTCTGGGTAATTGGTGCATTACTGGACAATAGCAAGCAAATTAATTGGTGCACGTTTGTACAGTAGTGCCCCAATGCTACACACTGGTTTTAAGAAGTGATGACTAAATCCGTTATTTCTTGTCAGAAGTCATTGTAGTCGTGAGTAATCCTCAAACTGGCTTACAGCTTGGTTCCTGGTCAACGTGATGATAAAAAATTGCCATGTATGCAGCAAAACAGACATAAAACGCAAATGCATAAACACTCTTAGATGCTCAGCCTTTGACATCAGAAAAATCATACACTCCTGTGTTTTGGTGCAAATGTCACTTGCTGGAAGCTATGCACAAATTACTAGGGTGACCAGACATACCCTTTTCCCCTGTATTTCAGCTTTATTTTAATGTTTAAAGTATAAAAAACATGTTTTTTTCTATATTTCATCTTTTCTAAATTGCTATATAACCTAACCAATGGTAGTCAACCATGTCATATTATATTATTTTTTATTTTATGTTAATTGTTAACACTCATGTGAGTACAATCATACAATATTTCAAGTTACATTTGGATCTCAGTATGTGACTTTATATGAGAATTTACAAACATTATTGCCAAGTGCACTAACTATACATAGTAAATTATAAAAAGAAAAAATAGCTTAAGAATCAAAAGAAAATGATAATAATATTAATAGAAATAAAAAAAAAACTGAATTCTTGAATAGTCTTAAATGACCACCTTCATTATACACATACATGTAGATATTATATAGAATACGTTATGAATATGTATAACCGTATATGGATACACACTCTAGCTTGTTTTTATCTGTCAGTTAAGCATCTTTTGTTTATTTATAGCAACAAATTCTGGTCTTCTATCAGAAATATGTTCAACTCATCTCCTCAATTTTTCCAGGAATACATCGTCATGGTATATTGTGAAGGATAAAATTGTTAAATTGAGGTATAATTACTATAAATGGACTTCTAAAAAAGTAGTGGTGTAGCGGATCACAAATCTTTTTTAGTCACTGATTGGACCATTTTTCTGATCAGCTAAAAAGGAGAGGTGATGAATGTAATTTGCTTTTCATTTATTTTAAAAACAGCACTGCAAGATACTTTTGGTTTTAACAAACTGAAAAATTATCATTTTATTAAAAATAACATGAAGAAATTATAATAATGAATAAAAATAATAAAAATTAATTGTAAAATATTCAATACTGTAAAAATTCACTGTTACTACTACTGTTGCTGGTAACACTAAATGTATAAATGTAACATAATTTCTACAATTTATTTTTATAAATGATTCAGTTATTTACTCAAAAACATGTTTTAATGCAAGATGTGTCATTTTCGAAGAATTATTTAGTGGCATATTTTTTGATGGCTGGTTGTCGCCACCTATTGGTTAAATATTTTAATTGCTGCTTACAACTTATTTTTGAGCGTCAAGTTAAATGACAGTGATTTTAATCTTTACCATAAACATCAGTGGTTTTATTTAAACTATTAACTGTTATGGGCGACACAGTGTCGCAGTAGGTAGTGCTGTCACCTCAAAGCAAGAAGGTCGCTGGTTTGAGCCTCGGCTGGGTCAGTTGGCGTTTCTGTGTGGAGTTTGCATGCTCTCCCTGTGTTCGTGTGGGTTTCCTTCGGGTGCTCCGGTTTCCCCCACCAGTCCAAAGACGTGGTACAGGTGAATTGGGTATGCTAAAATTGTCTGTAGTGTGTGTGTATGAATGAGAGTGTATTTTGGTTTCCCAGTGATGGGTTGCGGCTGGAAAGGCATCCGCTGCATAAAAAATATGCTTGATAAGTTGGCAGTTAATTCCGCTGTGGTGACCTCAGATTAATAAAGGGACTAAGCCAAGAAGAAAATAAATATATGAATGAATGAATAAACTGTTATCCCAGTGCTTCTGTGTTATTTAATTAAAGACTCAATCTCTTTCTTGATTTTTGCATTGTTCAAACACAGATTTGAATATAGCGATCCAAAAGATTAATAAACATATGCAAATCACCATAATTTATCATTTGTGTTGTATGGGGTTGAGATTCCAATCTTTTAATGATTATTCATGCAGCTTACACTGAATGCATTCGTGCAGGGTAAACAAGTAGGGACAGAAATCACCTTTAATAACCTAAGAAACCCATGACATCCTGAATAACCTACCACAGCTTTTTCTGTCATCATTATATTTTACAGGAAAGTCTAAATGCTTTCATAGTACATGTGATTTGAATAACATTAGAGGTAATCTCTCTATGATCGTTACAAATTTAGGATTAACTACAAGTTAAATAAATTTATTAATCCGCAGGTCACGTGTGTTCCAAACCATGGGTTGTAATCCGTACGAATCATGGATCAACCGTGAACCGTTACACCCCTATCAATAACCGTAGTAAAAGATTGCATTTTATTTAAAGAAATTTGGTGTCTAAAAGGGAAAGCCCTACACAAACATATGCAATAACATCAGGCACAGCTGTTGACTGTTTGTCTTTTGTAAATACACACAGCTGTTTAACTTCCCAAAAAAGGATTTGTGTTAGTGCAAGCTGATACATTATTCAGTTCATGTCTTTGCCTGTGCATTGTGATAATAATACATTTAATTGTTTTATTGTAAGGATTTTTGGTTTCCTTTTATACAATAAACAATTGCAGCTTTGAATTGAAAATGATAGTCCTTTGTGCTCAATTACAGCTATATTTTTGTTTGATTCTTAGAGTTTATAAAACAGAGACGAGCGGGGTTACATGAGTTCATTCAGAGGATCGTGTCCCATTCACAGCTCTGCAGCCAGTAAGTATCGCAGTCAGTTTTTGCAAGTTATGCTTAAGTATATCACCATGTCAGTGCATCTAAATGTAAATGCAAAATTTGAGTGAGCTTTGTAATGGACACCAGGAAATATATCTCTGAACTTTTTTAGTACAAAGCTGGTCTGATAGTATCTTGTGAAGCAGTGCCAAATAAAAGATGCTTCTTTTTGATTCTGTTAAAATTCGTCGTGGTTACGGTTCTTGTTACAGAGAGCTGTTGACGTTAGCTCATATTCCTTCTCACAGCTGTAGCTTTGTATTGGCTCAGTCAGACCTCTAACATGTGAATGTTCATTTTGAATGCACAGTCCCGATGTCAAAGTCTTTCTGCAGATGGACAAAGCCAAAAACTTCTCTGATGGCTCAGAGGATGAAGACGACAAGGTTGGTGCTTGTACTAATAATATTAATTTTGCTTTTGAACATACGATATAGAGTAACTGGTTCTTGTACTGTACAGTTTTGTTGTTGTCTTGCTTGTTATCTGTGTTAGCTACTCTGTAGTTTTTGATATAAGAATGTTTTAATATTAATATATATTTTCAGATCTTTTCTGGGGTCCTGAAATGCAATGTGATGCACATTTTCTGGTTGTTCCAAGGGGCTGTTATGTACAATTATTTTGACGTAAAAACAGATCACTTTAATGTGTTTTGTTCATTCATTTATGCAACAACATGCTTTTGGGATCTGAAATAAAAACGGGTTTTGTTTTTCAATCTCAGGGAAAGTTTACATTAAAAATTGCTTTCATTTTTAGCTAAAGACAGATAACAAGTCAGAATGTGTAATGCAGTCGTGTTTCTTAAAGTGTTGTCCTCAATTAATGGCCTGACATGCATAATGCAGCATTTTTAGATGGTTTTGCAGAATCGTATGAATTGGGATAGTTTTGGCAACATTGTCATTTAAAGCAAAACTTTTTAAATACTGAAGATTTTCATGTAAATGTAGATGGTAGGACTAAACTGATAAACGATATTATATTGAATCGCAATAAAATTTATGTCAATAACAATGATAAGCTCTGGACTTTTTTTACTTTATATTGACCTAAGAGCTAATCACACAGCAGGAATGTGCAACAATAGGGATCGAAAAGTGTGTTGATATTAGAGATATACAAAATTTTTGTCCACCGAAAATTTATTGTTGAAAATATGTTATGCTATTCAATGGAGCCTCTAGTTTTTGTGGCTTCAGTCATTGTTGGGGTACTCTTTTTAAATCTGGAAGCATTAAAAACTGATATCGAAATAGATATCTTTATCGTTCAGTATGGAGAATAATTATCAAAATTGCATTTATGCCATATCGCCAAGCCTTAGTAGATGGTTATGTTTTTGTATAGTCCATATACAACTAAGATCAGGAAGGCATACCCCAGGATGTATATGGTAAAAACCAGAGATGTATACTACATATAGTCTTTCTTGCACTTTGTAAAAGTATAACAATAAATCGGATGAAGCCACACCCTCCAACAAAAGCACAGTGGATAGAAAAACTTGAATCCAGATATAGAATGCAAGATATGACTATATATAATACTCTCTCTCTGTCTATCTCTCTCTCTCTGTCTCTCTATCTCTCTTATATATATATATATATATATATATATATATATATATATATATATATATATATATATATATATATATATATATATATATATATATATATATATATATATATACAGTATATATATTAGTACATTAGACTCTTTATATTATATATGACTGCAATATATGGATATTTTAAAACAAAGATGGGCACCTGTTAATATGTATATGAACATGGCAACAGGACATACAATACTTCACAAAAATCTTCTTGTCGTCGATCTCAGTTGTAAGAGCAACAAATAATAATTTGACTTCTTGGTTATCATTTGGAAAAGTGGCTGAAGGTAGATTTTTCAGATGAATCATCTTATGAATTGCATCCCAGTCATCACAAATACTGCAGAAGACCTATTGAAACCCACATGGACCCACGATTCCCACAGATATCAGTCAAGTTTGGTGAAGGAAAAATCATGGTTTGTGGTTGCATTCAGACAGTATGTGGTGTGCGAGAGATCTACAGTGTGGATGGCAACATTAACAGCCTGAGGTATCAAGACATTTGTGCTGCCCATTACATTACAAACCTCAGAAGAGGGCAAATTTTTCATTCTCATATCAAAGTTCCTGAAAGCAGAGAAGGTCAAGGTGCTCCAGAATTGGCCAGCCCAGTCACCAGAAATGAACATTTCTGAGCATGTCGGGGATAGGATGAATCCAAAGAATCTTGGTGAACTCTGGGAGTCTCGCAAGAACGCTTTCTTTGCCATTCCAGATGACTTTATTATTAAGTTATTTGAGTCATGCAGAGATGTATGAATGCAGTTGTTCAAGCTCATGAGAGTCATACACAATATAAGGTCTTTCTCCACTGCACCATGACTTTATATTATACTGTACATTATTTCTGATGAGTGACAAGACTTTTGGCTGAGTAAAGTCAGACCTTACTGTCCTAATTGATCATATTTTATTTTGGTAAAATAAGCGTAATCTAGAGGTGTTTGCCTTTTCATATTAGCCCCTTCTGATTCCAATTGACCAACTAGGAGTCAAGTTATTATTTGTTGTTCCTAAAACGTGGATAGGCGACAAGACTTTTGTCAGGTAGTGTAGTTTTTCCTGCTGTATCCTTTGAAATTGAAAATGATGTATGTATCTTTTTGTAATTTGTTTTATTTACTGGTGTTACTTGTTTTTTTGTTGTTGTTTTTTTTGTTTTTAAACCGCTGTCACTGAATTTTTTTGTTCTGTAAAATGTTTTAATGTATAAAAATAAAAAAATAAAATCACTATAACTAAGATCAGAACAAATTATTAATACTAAATGGCAAGTATGCTTTACTACATCACTGAATTGAATCATCACTGTTTTTGTCATATCTTTTATAGAGTAACTCTACCTCTAGAAACATTAACCTGGGGCCATCTGCAAATCCACAGTAAGTGTTCCTAATTATTTTAAATAGCTTTGTAGACTTCATTTATTTCTTTATATATTGACTCATTATGTGTTATGTAACAGATCAGGTAGAAATTCATATAAATATTCAAATGATGGAAATTACTTTTGCACATGCCTTCATGCTCATGTGTTTTTCCTTAGTGCAAAGCCCACTGACTTTGACTTTCTTAAAGTCATAGGAAAGGGAAGCTTTGGGAAGGTAGGTTCTTTTTAAATGAAATGACTTGATGAAAGCAAAAGCTCTTTATTAAAATCTATTTATGGCTGCCACTAATTGTAAAAGTTTGTGTAAATTTTGTATCAGTTACTGAAAGTTCTAAATGTCACCGAGCCTTTATAATCTCTCAGTTTTGTTTGGTGTATGGTTAGCACTGGTGTTTGTTTCTGAGCCGTGGACTCTCCATTCAGGAAGTGAAAGTCCCTCAGTTTTAAAGACAGACTTGTATTTTTGTTTTGGCTAATGGGCAGCCGTAGTGGAAGGTGAAACTGTTACTAACCCACCATGTCCTCTCTCACACAAAGGTTCTCCTTGCAAAGAGGAAACGGGATGGGAAGTGTTATGCCATCAAAGTCTTGCAAAAAAAGGTCATTCTAAACAGGAGAGAGGTAACCATTTTCCTTTGTTTCAAAAGCAAAACATTACTTACGCTCACTCATTCATGTTCTTTGACATCTGATTAATGAATGGCCTTGGTATTCTTTTCACGCCAGCAAAAGCACATCATGGCTGAGCGCAATGTGTTGCTGAAGAATGTTAAACACCCCTTCCTGGTTGGCCTGCACTATTCCTTTCAGACAACGGACAAGCTATACTTTGTTCTGGATTTTGTCAATGGTGGAGAAGTGAGTATTGTGGTTGTGAAACACTCAAGGCTCACATCTGCCTTATCACATCTCAAATCTACCGTTTGACAGATTAAACCAGTTTACTGTAAATAGAGCTAATGACAAAAGTAATATTTGTCACTGTATGTAGATCATCAAGAAAATTGTCATCCTCCTCATTGCGTAATTTGTTTAAAATCATTTTCTTCCTCTGAAAACCTCCTTTCGTACAATGAAAGTTAATGGGATCCAAAATAGGCCCTTTTGACTTACGTTTTGTGTTGTACAGAAGAATAAAGTCATGTTTTTTATAATATTTTTTTTTATTTTCATCAATAATTAAACAGTACTATCAGTGTACACATCTTTAAATCCTTTTAACATCTCCTTTCCTTTTCCCTCCTCAACAGCCACTTTTACAGTAATTAAATGTTGCTATCATAAATCCAGTAAATACAGATAAATAATATAAACTCAATTCATAAAAAAGCACACATACAGAAAATAGTAATAGTTAAAAAAACACACCGTAATAATAATAATAATAATAATAATAATAAATAACTAAATAAAATAAGATAATTACACTTTTACTGTGCGTCTCACCACATTGACCTTATTCATCCTCCAAAAATGCTAAATAATTTCCCCATCTTCTTTGATAAACATCCAATTTATCAACTAATCATTTTTTCATATGCTGCCACCTTCCCCAATTCCGTAACCCAATCTTGAAAAGATGGTGAACCTGCTGAACGCCATCCCCTATCCAATCATAATACTTATTTGAATCCACTCAGACATCTTTACACCAGACCCCAACAGGAACAGGTCTCCCAGTACTTATATTCTAGGACAAAATGAAAAGCAGGATCCAGAAACATTCTGAATGTAACTGTGCACTTTATCGCAGAATTCCTGCATTTTAGAACAGGACCACAAAGTCATATATCTTTTAATGGGGTAGTTCATCCAAAACTGGAAAATGATGTATTCATCGTCAGTGTTGGGGGTAACGCATTACAAGTAGCGCAAATTACGTAATGAACTCAAAAGTAACATAACGCATTACTTACCATAAAAAGTAACAAGTTAACGCAACTGGTTAATTTTTTAATAGAGTAACTCCTAATGCATTATACTATTATATACTATTATATGCATTATTAACTATTGTAATGCATTACTTACAAAAGTAACTTTCCCCAACACTGTTTATCGTCCACTTGTTCCAAACCTGTTTGAGTTTTTTTTTCTGTTGAGCAAAAAAAAAAAAAAAAAAAAAAAAAAAAGGAAATTTTGAATAATATTAGAAACTGGTCGACTTCCATAATATTTTTTTAACCTACTATAGATGTCAATGGCTAATAGTTGCCAACATTATTAAAAATATCTTATTTTGTGTACAACAGAAAAAAGTAACTTGGGTTTGGATCCCCTTGAGGGTGCGTAAATGGTGATTAAATGTTCATTTCTGGGTGAACTATTCTTTTAAATGATATCACTTTAGAAAATGCAGCATAGAGTCATGTGAATATAAAAGAGATGAAGTCAGTGCATGACTGTTGCTAATTATTGGCCAATCTGCATGGTTACTATTCACATGCTCACTTAAACCACTGGTCTTGAATAATTCTTTTCAAGATATTTTAAGAGAGATGATCATATTATTTTAAATGCCAGACAAATGAGAAATCATACAAATAATCACTAGCATTATAAGGAAGATCATAAAGTAGCCTCGATATAATGGATTGCTTGTTGCGAATGAATAATTATGATTTCTTCTTTCAATTACAGCTTTTCTTTCATCTCCAAAAAGAGCGGACCTTTCCTGAACCCAGAGCAAAGTTTTATATTGCGGAGATGGCGAGCGCTCTGGGTTACTTGCACTCTCTTAACATTGTTTACAGGTAATTACAACTTAACTGAAGATTTTCTTGTGCTGTTGAGTACATTTGTGCCCTCAAGCTAGTTCCTGAATTGTTTTACATTAATTTTTACTACAACTGTCAGTTGGCTCACAAAATCAGACAAAAAAAAAATATTTGACACAAAACATGAGGAGGTAAGTGATTTCATAGTTTACAAAGCTAAAGTCAAAGAAATAAAAAGTTATTTAATGCCCTGCTACATATAGTATACGATAGACTATTCGTAATTTCATATACACATAACCACAATTTGTTATATCATAATTAAGATAATCGTGTTTATATAAAAACTAAATGAGGAGGACTTCACTCATGAATCCCTGGGTGTGAATGCAGAGACAGTGAATAGCAGTGCAGCTGGTTTCAACCATTAGCCATGTCGGTAATCTGGAAGATTTTACATATGTGCAAATGCAACAACACAGAGAGACAGTGTGTCTTAATGGTAACAACTGATAAAACACAATGGGCCCTATCATACACCCGGCGCAATAGTCTTTTGGTAGTTTCAGCTTGGCGCAAGAGTTGTTTTGAGGCATTGCGCTACGCTGTTTAAATAGCAAATGCATTAGCGCTCATTTGTGCGCCCATAGGCAGTCTGGTCTAAAAAGGAAGGCGTTCTGAGGCGGACTGCTGGTGCATCGCTATTTTGAGAAACTATAATAGATTTTTCATTAGACCAAAACTAAACCGGTCTAAACTCTGGCGCAGAGTTGCGCCTCGCTTACGCACTGCTTAATACGCACAAGAGAGCAATAGGCAAATATCTTTACATATGAAATAAATGTAAATATTAAGGATATATATAGGATATAATAAGAATAGATATAGGATATAAATATAAAGGATTAAAATATTACAAAACATATTATTTTCTAGCCTATATAAATATGAAAAACCACTGCTTTTATGTCTTCTTTATCTCGGGAGGCTTTTTCAGTTCATTCATAACAATTTGCTTTTGTATAATGTTATTATTATTAGCAGTATTATTTATTATATCCATATTTATATTTGTTTTATTAAAAACAAGCTTGGATTTGCCCACCTGTCAGGTTTTAGACCATATGGGGCATGGCAGGTGTATTTGGAAATAACTCAGTATTTTGTCCACACTTGGTTATTATGGTTCATTTATTCGTTTGCTAGAAATTAGAACTGAATTTAGAAATAGTTTTGAAACAAATCTTTGCGCTTAACAAACTAAATTAATTATTTGTAGGCTAATTGATGTCTGTGCGTAAAGGTTTCCCTATCCAAGAGCGAAAGTGAAAGTAGATCATTTATCTCCTTATTCTCACGCAGTAGATGCTCTGTTTAACAGTTTTCTGTTAAAAAACTGTTAACTGTTTGCGAGTGAAATGATAAATTTTTTCCACTTAGACTTACTTTGCGTCCTGTAAATAGCGAATGCGCTCTTGGCGCGACGCAGCTGACTCTTAAAGGGAATGGGAGATGAGACTCTAATTGGTTTATTTTCAAAACACACCTATAACTCATTAAGAAAATAAACTCAACCCTTTTAGACCATGCGCCTTGGCACAAGGTAGATATCCCGTCCTTCAATTAGCAAAAACGCGTCCTGACACGCCCTGAAAGCGTTTGAGCCCTGCGTTTTGCGATCTGTGCATGGACCGTCAAAATAGAGCCCAATGTCCGCTGTTTTCCAATTTTTGTACAGCTCTAGCTGACAAATGCTCAAAATTAAAGCTGACAGGTGCTAACATTGTCTTAATTGAGGCTTAACACACACAAATCTGTTAAAATCTTTAAAAAAGTACTCAAGGGTGTCTTTTAAGCAATAAACCACGAACCATACCTCATGTAGTATTGTGGGTTAAATTGAAAAAATTGGGGGAAATAAATACCTTTTAATTTGAAGTTGTTGGTTGATTCTGTAATTAATGAACTTTTATGAACCTTTTACTTGGTTAATTGCAAATATGCATATTTTGATCCAATAGCCAAAAATACATTGTATGTTTTGAAATAATACGTATTTCTTTTATGATCAAATTAATAAGGATATTAATTAAAGATCATATTCCATGAAGATGTTTTAATTTCCCACTGTAAGTATAAGAGAAAAATCTTTTTTGATTGGTTCTAAGCATTGCTGAGAAGTTAATATGGACAACTTTAAAGGCAATTTTTCTCAATATTTAGATTTTTGTGAACCCTCGGATTTCAGATTTTTAAATAGTTGTACCTTGGCCAAATATTGTTCTATCCTAACAAACCAAACATCAATGGAAACTGTATTAGTTGTCAAAACACTTATAATTATAACTTAATTCATGTTAATTAAAATGTATTACCATAATTATAATAATGGTTTTATTGTCTAAGGTCAAATATACATAAAAATAGACTCAATTATGTAATTCATGGTGCTTCCTGGAATGGGACGAAGCCAAACACTTCTTTTTGCCGTTTCTTACTGTGCCTGTGATTGGTTTTTGGCGGGCAATATAGGTTTTTCTTCTCAAATTTCCCTGGGGATGCACCAATAGGGAAATTTTGACTGATAACTGATAACTAATAAGCTGATAACTTGAAAGTCGATAACAGATTACAAATTGTGTTTGTAGTAGTTTGAACAAACAACAAACTTCATTTTTTGAGTGTATTAAACACAAATGCACTTAAAATAATTAGTGTATAATAATGGGTTAAAAAGGCATATACAATCAACTGACAATGTCGGTACTCATAAAAGATTGGTGTTTAAATGTTTATCATTTGTACCATTGGAGAAAATTAATGGAGTTTTGACCATCAAAATAGTGTTTTATCCTATAACTTGTTCTTTTTGAAGGAAATTTAACTATTAAAATGTGTGAGAATTCCCAGAAGCACAGAAATGTTTAACAGGCACATTCTACACCTCCTCCCTGAGTTGGATCTCCCTAAAATGTATTTGAAAAATGTAGATTGGTGCACTGGCTTAACTGTTGTCATTTAAAATTACTCTCGTGTGTTAAGCGGCCATCATGACAACATAGTTTGCATTCATAGGGTGTGTCGGGATTGCTACTCATACAAATGAAATACATTATGGCTTCTCTTGTAATATTATAATACCTATTATTCATTTTTTTCTGTGTAATGTTTTATGTCTTGAGCTGTTCCTGACTAAGAACATGTGGCAGAATGCTAACAAGTTAAGTGTTCTTTTGTTCTCAGGGATTTAAAACCAGAAAATATCCTGCTGGACTCTCAAGTAAGCATCCTTAGTCCTTTTTTTCCACACTTTTATCATTGCCAGAGCGTAGCCGATCAACATTGTGAGAGTTCCAGGGGAAACAGAGTAATCTACCAGTGCTGTGAGAAGTATAATAAACTCTTCTGATTACCCCAGACGAGGTGTATGAAGTGTAGCTTTTTTCTCTCAGCCAAATTAAATATTGAAAATGAAACCAAAGTCCTAGTTGTTAATTTGTAAGAATGCTTGAGAATGAGATGTAGGTTCAGTTTCATTTGTGCAGTTCCTGTCAATTCTAATGAAACTGTGAGAAGGTTACAAGGCCCTGGCAAATATTCCAGTCAGACACCAGATTCGTTGGCTCTGGAAAGAATAGGCCATTTGTGTGGTGACATGTTCCCTGAAAATGTTCCTGTTGGCATCTTTTGTCTGTTAAAGGGCCATATAGTCTTGACTGACTTTGGACTGTGTAAGGAGGGCATCTCTCAAGCAGACACAACAACCACATTTTGTGGAACACCTGAGGTATTGTATTATATAAAAAAAAATCCATGAATGATGCTTAAACGTATGTTTAAACGTTTGGGTCAGCAAGATTGTTGTATTGGAAAAAAACATTTTTCAGCTAGCAAATAATTAATTGCAAAGTAAAGGCATTTTAATGTTAATAAAGACATTATATAAAGATATTATTTTAATCTGTATCAAATAATTCTGATAAAAAACAAAACTTCTCTCCAAAAATTATTAGGTTTCCATATAATGATTTCAGTAAGATGTAAAAATTCACCATCGCAGCCTTTAAATTTACGGTATACATCAGTGACAAACTGACAAAAAATTGTCATTTTTTACAATGTTATTGTTGTTTTACAGTATTTTTAATCAAATAAATGCAGCCTTGGTCAGCTGCATGAGAAGAAAAGATTTCTGTCAGATAACAAGGACATTTTACTGACTCCAAATTTTTTAACAACAGACCTTTTTCACATTTCCGGGTTTCTCAGTAACAAAAGTCGTCATTATTGGGTAATTATGGATCTCAGTGAATGTGAGAGTACAACAAATAATATTTTTACAATCCCATTTTCTGAAATAATATAAGAAAAACTCCATGATAATGTTATCAAGACTTTTAGAAAAAAGGACAATATGATTTTAGGAGTATCTTAACTAAAAACTTTATATATGAAATAAAAAAATAACATTTAAAAAAAAAATTGTATTTATTGTGTACAATGCAAATTCAATTACATCCACTTATTTAGTAAACAAAGCAAGTCTCTCATGTAATATACATCTACTAAAATACAGAAAATATTACTTTACAAACTGTACTGTAAATAAATCACATAAACATATTACTATTATATTACAGTAATATTAGTGAAATTAATTAAAAAACTGAATAAATATAAATTTACACACATTTACACAAGTAAATACATAGACTCAATAATGGGCTAAAAGTCTGCACCGTCTTTCTGTGTGTGCAGATTCCGTGTGGGCCTAGTTATTGCATACAAAAATTACTACTGTCAATTTATTAAATGATTTCTTTAGAACTTTCAGCTAAAATAATTGTATTTTTTATGAACCTTTTAAAGGAGCTGTATGTTAGAATTCTCATGTCTTTCTAACTGCCAATTTATAAAAAAAAAAACAAACAACAAGATCTTTCCTTCTACGTCAGTCAATGACAGCCTGGTGACTTATTTTTGGCGATTCCATTTTTTTTCAGTTATTTCTTTAAAAGAAAAGGACATTTGCATCGCTCTTTTTCATTAATATATGAAATTAATGCTAATAAAATGTTTTAGATAGTGCAGTCATTTATGTAGCTTATAGTTTAAAAAACACTTTGGTGGTAAATTGCAGAGCTTGTGTAAACATGTCCATATGCCTATTACCAGATGCCTTCTTTAATGTCGTTTTCTGACATAATACTATCATATTTATTATTATTAATGAGAACAAAGTACACAGCTCATACAGTATTTATATATTCATCTAAAGATTTAACAGTTTACAGTACAGTACTGCATAAATATTTCCATCATTTTTCTGCAAAGCTAAGTACAAATCTAACATTGGCTACCAAATCACATTTAGTCTCTTGTATGTCATGCAATAAGTGTTCTGAATACCGCTTATTACCCATTTTAAGCTTTTAGAGAGTAGAATAATTGATTTCAACGCCATAATTGCCTTCTCCTGTTGTCCTGATAGTATCTAGCTCCAGAAGTACTCAGGAAACAACCCTATGATAACACTGTGGACTGGTGGTGTCTGGGTTCCGTGCTGTATGAAATGCTTTATGGACTGGTAAGGCACAAATAAAGCATAAATCTGGCTTGCTGCCTCTGGAAATATAGACAAAGTAAAGCTTAAATTCTTGCTCCGCAGCCTCCGTTCTACAGCAGGGACACGCATGAGATGTATGACAACATTCTTCACAAGGAGCTTGTCATGCGGCCCGGGGCGTCCACAGCTGCGTGGTCCATCCTTCAGACCCTGCTGGAGAAAGACCACACCAGGAGGCTTGGCTACAGAGATGACTTTGTGAGTGGTTTTGATATTGATACATCACCCCCTGGTGGAGGATTTTTGATGGATATTTTCAATTGGGTTTTTGAAGCATGCTGTTTAGTTCAACATGATATTCAGTAAGGTAATTTTGAATTTAGGGCTGCACGATATTGGAAGAAGAAAAAAAAGTTCATTGCGATTATTTAGATTTTCTGCTATTTATATTGCGATATTTCACAAGATAACCTATTTAATAATTTTAGATTGATTAGGATGATTTTGTAGGGGAGTGCATCTGCATAAACTATAATGAACAAATTACAAGCAGAGAAAAAGTAAATACACAAATGAAGGAGTCGAAGGTAAAGAATAATGTGCTGTATGTTCTTCATTGTGTAAATAATTAAGTTAATCTTTGTTAAAGCTACAAACATAATAAATCTGTGTTCTCAAACACTTTAAACTTCCTTAAAATGCCTTAAAACACAAGCAGTCGATAAACGTTCACTTCAGAAATTATTCCAAAATCCTCATGTTTTCTGTACTTTTGTACTTGCTCAACTATAATCCATGTTGCACGTCCTGCGATGTGACTATTGCATATTCACACGTTGCGACATTGATGCTAAAATGATATATTGTGCAGCACTAGTTGAATTAAAATATTTAGTTTTTAACAGTGTTATGTGCTTTTTATTGCAGAATGAAGTCAAAGAACATGAATTTTTCTCATCTATTAACTGGTATGACCTTGAACAGAAAAAGCTTTCTCCTCCATTTAACCCTAGTGTGGTAAGAGTTTGAATTCACTGCTATTTTTACATTTCTTTTTTTTTTTGTTCACATTTATGTGTTTTTTTAATTCTGCATTTATTTGATCAAATTTCATGGGACCTTTAAAAATTAGAGTAAATATTATAATTATTCATTATTTAGTAATTAATTAATAATTATTAAGTAAACAAACTACATGCATAATTATAAAGTTAATTCAATGGGTTTACCCACTTTTTAGAAGTAAAGTAACTAATCGCTTTTTACAGTGCACACGATTAAATGATATTTTAAAATACATTCTTTTAAATTGTAATCATATTTCACAATATTACTGTTTTAGTGCATTTTGATCAGATAAATCCAGCCTATGTGAGCAAAAACAGTAAATTCTTGTTAACTTTTGACAGCTACTGAAACTGAAAAGAAATGTATTAATATGATTAACTCTAATGTTGTCTTGCAGGAATCCCAGTATGACATCTCAAACTTTGATCCAGAGTTTACAGAGGAAACCGTGCCAAACTCTGTGTGCTTCTCATCAGGGCCGTCGATCGTCAATGCGAGTGTCATGGAAGCGGACGATGCCTTTCTGGGATTTTCTTACGCTCCGCCATCAGAAGATTCTTTCTTGTAAGGTTGGCGCTGCTAATGGCGATTTAAAGAGAGCTGCATAAAAATAAATATCTGTGATCGCACTCTCTGACGAAAGGGAAGAATCTGCCTAGCATCATGTTTCCATCAGATGGTGTGGACCCTTGTGTTTCTTGACAGAAGCAGTGCATAAAGCTTTTGGGATGCAGGGTGTTTCAAACTTTATTTTTACATGTAAATAACATATCTTGTGTCACATTGAACGCCTTAAACTGAGAGTTTAGCTCAGGAGCTAAAGTGCTGATGTATTTTTCTTTGCTATGAATTATTTTCAAGGGCTGATGAGAAGAAAAAAAACAAACATCCACTTTGACAACATTCCTTTTTTGTGCCCCAACTTGTACACTTGATTGCTTATAATACTGTGCAGTATGTGACCAATTATGTCATTGTAGTTTAGTCTTATTAGAAATTTGCTATGGAAAAATGTTTATATATTGTCAGCACAAGCAAATACTTTTGTTGCTTGACACTTTAAATTAATATATATATATTCTCTCTATACTGTTTAACCTGTTTGAGTTAGAAAACAGGCTAATCAAAGTGCATTTTGATATAACCCTTTAAATTATGGGTCATCAACAGCTGTATTACACTATAAACCGAACATTAGTTGCTGTATTTACATGTTAGATTTTTATGAGTAACTTAAAGGGATAGTAGATTTGCTGTTAATTTACTTGCACTCTGGCTTTCAAGATGAAGATCACTTATTTTTTTAGTAACATTAAATAAGATTTTTGTTGAAACTTTGGTGATTCTTAAAACACACGTTAATGGCTAAGAATAAAAAATAAATAAACAAAATAATAGCTGTGGGTGCCAGTACTATCCACTTACATTTTATGAGTCACTAAGTATCAGTTTCCACATAAAATATTCTTTAATGTTCAACTAAAGTAAAAGGTCACCTTTATCTTGGATGGTAATATGTAAATTAACGGCAGATTTTTAATTTTGGATGAACTCGGACTGTCCATTTGAATACTGACAATGACCCTGTAATAAACCACTATCATGTTATGCCACCCTCAGATTATGAGAAGAGACACCATAGTGCCTACTGAATTAATGATATGACCTTTAAATGATGTACTGTACAAGTAAACACACCTTCTTGAATCTCTTGGCTGTCGTGTGATGCACTTCATTTGCATATATTTGCATGCATTTTGCTATTTATTTAGTTACTGAGCGGTTACGGACCAGCACATAAAAGCAAACCTATTGTCTTTAAGGCAAGAAGCTGCAGGTTAATGGGTTAAAAACTTAATTTATACTTATCACCATACTTCCCCAGTTGATGTGTGACATTAAGAATCACTTTCTTTTAAAATATGCAAATTAGGTAATACATAATATTAAAACGTGCATAGGACTACTATCACATTAATGTGAAGATATATGGAGGTCAGATTCAAAATTGTTGTTACTTTTTTTTGTCATTTTATAAACAAATATTTTTTTTTATCACTATCAAAGTTCAGAAAATACTGCAAACAACCGGAAAAAAAAAACATTTTCAATTTTTTGGTGTTAGAAATTTCTATTATCAGGTATATTATGAACACAATCTTCTGTAAAAAAAAAAAAAAAAAAAAAAAATTCTGATTAAAGATATGAATATAGAAATAAACCTCACTGTATATTGTAAATGAAAAGTATTGAAATTGAAATAAGACAAATTGATAAAGTCCAATAAGAAACACGTCCCAATCTCGAAACAATTGCCTGTAGGGTCATAATTTATTTACATTAGATATTGTGTGTTTAAACAATTAGTGAGGAACATATTAACTGTTTATAAGCAGTAAATTGTAGTTCAAATGTTTCTTAATTCTCTTAATTTACTACTGGCGCGTCTAATTTGCATAAGTTGTAATAAAGCGCGAGCTAATGCTGGCTAGAGTAGAGAGGAGGACTGGGCAATTTCGGTGACATGGAGGCTTTACGTTCTCTGAAAGAAGCGATAATAGTTTATTTAGATAGAAGTGGTGGGTTACGTAAATTCATCAAAGACTGCAATGACTTTAAAGGTTTGTTTACAAAGCTGAGAGCTTTATTAGCCGGTTAATTCGATATTTACATGTAAGTAAGCTAACGTCAGTGGTTTACCTCAGTACTCAGGAGCTTGCGAGGACGTGAGACGTTCAGTTTATACATCCGTGTTTATATCAAAGCGAATTCATTTTATAAACTTTTTTTAAAAAGTTATAAATTTTAACCGTTCAAATTATTTATCATTTTAATAAATGATTCTAACTTGAAGTAAATTAGGATCCAGAACGCCGCATCTTCGTAATGAAAAGCGGTAAACATGTATTTCAGGTGCACAGCAGATGGAGGCCGTATATCGCTTCAGTTTGGATGTGAATCCCTCAGATGTCCTTCAACTGGACGCTTTGCTGGGAGACTGTATACTACACGACCCCATCAAAGCAGTTTCACTCTTTCAGTCAGTGAGTCTCACGGAAAATATCATACAACACACCCCACTAAGTTATCACACGGTTGCTTATTCAACATGGCTTTAGATTGTATTTTTCTGCTAGTTTCTGCTGTTTCCTGTGTGTAAAAAGTAAAAAACAGTCAAAATGTGTTATTATTCTGAACACAACACATTTCTATTTACATTTAGAAACTTTCAAACAACTGAGTGCAGTGGTTATTTTTCAGGTTTGTTTTCTGTCCATAAAGACCCTGTCACTTATTGACCACATAGAAACAGAAAGCCAGGTAAGATGGATTTAATGTGGATTTCACTTAAGGTTTTGTAATATTATTGTTATTATTTTTTTAATAGTTAACTAGCACAATAGTTTTCAGCATTGATCACACCCACATTGCAAAATTTCTCTGGCCCAGCTCTAGCCCACACAATCAGCTTTTGCTTGGCCCACATGCCGCAGTGAATTACGGGTCATAACTGGACCAAGTTTGTATTCAAGACAAGGGCCAAACATGGACCATATCTGGGCCAAATCTTAACCAAATTAATAAACCATAACATAATAAACCTGAACTGGGCCTGATATGGCCCATATTTGGAAGCCAGATTTGGTGCGTCACGACTACAAAGAAATTCCATAAACCCATGAAGTGTTGTGCATTAATAATGGTAATGGTTAGTAATGGTTAATAATAATGAAATTGGTAAAATAATAATTTATTTTATGCAGTGGCGCAGTAGGTAGTGCTCTTGCCTCAGCAAGAAGGTCGCTGGTTCAAGCCTCGGCTGGGTCAGTTGGCATTTCTGTGTGGAGTTTGCATGTTGTCCCCGCGTTCGTTTGGATTTCCTCCGGGTGCTCCTGTTTTCCCCACAGTCCAAAGACATGTGGTACAGGTGGATTGTGTAAGCTAATTTGTCAGTAGTGTATGTGTGTTAATTTAAGAGTGTATGGGTTTGGCAGTGTTGGGTTGCAGCTGGAACGCCATTCGCTGCATAAAAAATATGCTGGGTAAGTTTGCGGTTCATTCCGCTGTGGCGGCCCCTGATTTATAAAGGGACTCAGCCAAAAAAAGATGAATGAAAATATATGCAATGTTGGTTAAATTCAGTAGTTTTGCAGCATACAGGAAGCAATAAATTAATAATTCAAATATTTAAATCTTGATTGTTTCCTGGACTAAAATAAAGGCATTAGAGGATGCAAACAGGAAGATGGAAATGATTTTGTGTATTAAAACATTTATTTACTCAAAAAATGATTTAAATGTGGGTCAAGATTATGATTAACTTATGTGGCCCACATATAAGTTTTTGACATCTGGCTCATGTCTTGTGTGCCAAACCCAGGCCATGTTTGGCCCACATGCTGTATGCCAGTGCCGGATGAATGCCTGCTTTCAGCTACATGCCAATTCTGGGCCAGAATTCTTTGCTACCTGGGTATTAGGTAATGTGTGCGTATTAGCATATTACAACATTTTCCTAAGGGTCACATGAAACTTAAAACCAACGGCTGCTATAAATACAGTTTGACAGAACAGTTAAGTAGTTGATTTTAAAATGCTACTTACATTTTTAATTTCTGGTTAATTGAATGCAGCTTTGGTGAACATTCATGACATTTTCATAATTTTTTTTTTCAATCCTTAAATGTTTGTTTTAAACATTTAGAAAATCTTGAATTTCTTAAATCAAAGATAAGTAGAGACAGCATTAAACTAAAATAAATTAAAAATCTTCTTCAGGTTAATGTTGTTTTAAAGCCAACCCACTTGCCACCTTTTCCCAACTATTGTCTGGACCTCTCTGAGTTTCCCCGTGGGTATGGTCCAATGAGACCTTTAGCTTTGCAGGGCCTCGTAATTGCCATGACACGTGTCACCAAATACACACAAGGGGCCAGATTTCTCTGCTCAGAGGACGCATGCCCTTGCTCCAGAGGTATGTAACTTCATTAACTCTATAGGCTTGTTTATTTTTTATTATCATTACTTTATTCTTCAACACAATTTTTCAATTCACTCAAGGGTTTCATCATATCAGAGTTCATGCACCAGGTGCCACAGAGTCTGCCACAGTAAGGAATGACTTTACCTGCTTTCTCTGCTTTTCTCCACTGAAGGAGGATGTGAAGTCTCGGGTTTTAGGAGGTGAGACAACATTAACTTGATAAGTGATTAATCAATAGCATTAAAGTCACATAAAGTACCATACAGAGTTAGTATATGAAGAAACAACGCATTCAGTTAAAGGGAGAGTTCCTTTTATTACAATTTACTCTCTTTAATGTGGTTCTACACCTTATGAGTTTCTCTTATCTGCTGAAATTACAAAAGATTTTGAAGGGACCTTGATGCTTTCACCAGTTTACTTCCAAATTAGGATTAGCTCAGTGGATGCCAGCTACCAGCATTTTTCACAATATCTTATTTTGTGTTCAACAGAAGAAAGAAACTTGAATAGGTTTTGAACAATAAAGGGTTGTAGGAATAATTTACAGTTTTTATCCAAAAAATGAACAGTCTGTCAGATGAAGCCTGTACAATCTAGTTTCGGGTCCCATTTTTCTCAGGATTGCTCCTGGTGCATCATTGATCAATCTGACGTTTGTGGCCACTAAAGGCGCACTCACACTAAGCTGTACGAACTGTGCCCTAATTATTAGAGTGTTTAAAAGATTAAAGTTAAATTAAATATTCTTAAGAATAAAATATAATGTGTTCTTTGGAAGAGTGTACTTACATCGTTATGCTATTACATTGTCATTCTGACAATATATATTGAGTGGCATAAAATGGTCTTGAAATGACAGTAATATTGTTTATTACAATATTTTTTTTCAATATATTGTACAAAAAAAAAATAGATGTCGTGATAGGTCTAGTGACAGTGAATACATTTAAAAATGTTACAAAATATCTCAAGAAAATACTGTTAGTTTGTTCAATTTATCATAGAACCTAGAAGAGTTATGGGTTAGAGTCGATTTAAAAAAAACAACTGTTACTTCAACTTTTAATATATATCACAATATTTCAATTTTTACAATACTCCCACACACATACACACACAGTTGAATAGTAGCATTGTCTCAAAAAGCCAAATGAAATGTTTGAAGGTGCAAATGTGATATTTTATTTTGTTTTACTATTTTTTTTAATTCACAGAGAAGCAACTAGTTGAACTCATTCATGTCCGAGCAGTGGATGTTTTAGGAGTTCATGATCCTGCATCCTTAAGATATCAATCTGTTACCCTTTTTCTAAGAGGTAAATGCACTCTTTTGTCCTTATTTCTTTCTCATGGCATTGCAAATGATTCTTATAATACTTTTAATATACACAGTTAAAGTCAGAACTGTCAGAACAAATGATGTTTAACTGAGCAAGGACATTTTCACAGTATGTCTGATAATACTTTTTTCTTCTGGATAAAGTCTTATTTGTTTTATTTCAGCCAGAATAAAACCAGTTTTAATTTTTTTAAAACCATTTTAAGGTTAATACTATTAGCCCCCCTAAAGCTAAATTCTTTTTCGATTGTCTACAGAATAAATCATTAAACGATGACTTGCCTAATTACTCTAACTTGCCATATTAAGCTAATTAACTTTGTTAAGCCTTTAAATTCCCTTTTAAGCTGAATACTAGTATCTTGAAAAATATGTAGTCAAATATTATTTACTGTCATCATGGCAAAGATAAAAGAAATCAGTCATTAAAAATGAGTTATTAAAACTATTATGTTTAGAAATGTGTTGAAAAATCTTCTCTCTATTAAACAGAAATTAGGGAAAATATACAGGGGGATAATAATTCAGGAGGGCTAATAATTCTGACTTCAACTGTATATAAACTATTAAATGATTAATTAACATAAATAGTACTATGTTGTGATATCATTATCAGGACATGGGATGACTTATGTCATGATGTGATATTTGTTCCTATTGCCCAGCCTTACCTCCAAACCAACCATTAGGCAATAATCCGGTTAGTTTGTGAGAAGTTATGCCTAATTAACCTGATTTTCCTAATGCTAAAGCAGACATTTTAAATAAATAAACACATCCACTCACAGTCTGTTAGTATACTATTAGGTGTTCTTGTCTCTTTTAATAATATTTCTCAGTTACCTTACTGGAGAGGCCGTAGATTCTCTGGACGCTATTAGCATATTGTGTTGACCTAGTATTAGTCTGGAATTCAATACGCCCCACTCCAGTTACTGAACATACATGTTAATAAATGTAAGCTATACTCATTAGTTGTTACAAGCCATAGTGGAATCATTGTTTAAAAGAGCCTGCAGTGTTTCTCTTGGCAGTCGCGTAGGTGGTGAGCGTGTTTCTCAAATAATAAGTGAAGTCCAGCCCCTAACTGTCATTGTTTTGTTTCTTTTAATGTAATTAGATGAACTCTGTAACTCCATGAGAATCGGCCATCTGTACCGAGTTGTTGGGATTCCTGCTCATGTGCACCAGTGGCCTAATGTAACCTGGAGCGTAGAGGCTTGCAGCGTCCAACCATGGATCCCCAAATGTAAGGTCTTGTTTTGACGTTGATGGTATAAAAACAATCAGACATATTCAAAGCATGTCAGAGTCATTTGCTCCTGACTGCCGCTCACAGGCCCCAGTCTGGTTAGCAACAACTTCCAGAACCTGCATACGGCCTCGGCATGTTCCCCGTGGAGATTTGCTGCCATTGTAGCCAACTCATTCGGCTCCCCGGTGATCCCACCTGGACTCTACAACACTTTAAAGTTGGGGCTTCTACTTAGCCTGCTGCAAACCGAAGATAATACAGACTCTCCCAATCATCTGGATGTGCTCGCTCTCACCAGTGACAGCCTTATCATTGACAGGTTCAGCTTTATCAAACACATCTCAGACAACATCATGTTTGTTGAATGAAATCCAATGCTCCAAAAATAGCACCTGTTTTGCTTCTGAATATCACCACTTTCTCACAAAATGTGTGTTTTTTTTTATATAGTTTTTGCTTTCATTGACAATTTATGAGGTTAAGAATTCTTGGGCAATTATTTAAAATTTATATAAAGGCATTTTTCTTATCTTATGCCAATTTTACTTGTTGGTGCTAAATTCAAACTAATATGAAATCATGGATTATTGTGGGAAAAAAGCTTGCTTGCTTGCATATTTATAAACTTTGTGTTAAATAAAGTTTAAGTCAAGTTTCATAAACTAATTTCTAGAAGAGCACGTGATATGATTGTGCACCGCTGGCCACTCGTCCGTAATCAGTAATAATCCAATAAGAATGATCATAGCTTAACATAAATGGACTTTTTCCTTATTGCTCTATCTTCGTTTTGGAAGAATCCCCCCTTCCACCCCATCTCCTCCTTTTTCTCCCCTTCTAAAAAGGGAGCGATCGAGACCTACCTGATCTCGGATCTCCTGATATGCTTCTAGACCAGGCGGGAGCCCTGGGCTCAAATATCTCAGAGCTCAGGGTTATCTCCCGGGACAGCATGCCAAACCTGCCATAAATGCCAAGCATATTTAAGTGGGAACTCTTGAAATGTATTTGACGAGTATTTGACCATTTTTGTCCACTCATTTGGAATATATTTAAAATAAAATAATATATAATATAAATATTTTAATAAAGTGAAAAAATTAAATGCTTTACATAAATACTCATTTATATAAAAAATGAGCTATTTAGACAGAATCACCTTTCTTTAAAAAGTAATTTTGTCTGTTTAAGTTGATACACAAATAGCTCACAGATAAAATGGGGGTTCAGGCATCAAAAAAGTGCAATAAAGCTTTTACTTTTTGTACAGTAGAATGTGCAATGACATCATACAAAAATGTTTGTCAAACATATTTAGAACAAAAATCATTTGATAAAATATATAGGACTAAATTACTAATTTATTGTAATTTTAAAATATTTTGCATATGTTTTAATAAGTACAGGGCAGTGCATGTATGTTTATTTATGCTAAATGATGATGGAACATAATTTCAACCATATTCCATCTAGGGCTGCACAATATGTCATTTCAGCATCGATATCACAAAAAAAACATTCAGGTAAAAGTAATTGTACCATTTGTGAATTTAACTATGATTAATTTTATAGAATTATTTTTATCATTCAATTACTGTTTTTGAACACTTAGACTCGGGAAAGTCTTTTTCTTGATTGTATTTATAGATTGTTATGCATGAAAATACAACACATGCAAATACAGAAATGCGCTGCAAATAGCACAGATCGCAATGTGTTGGCAGACCCCAAATGTTTTATAGATTGATTATTAGATTTTATGAAGATGCAAATAGTAAACATCAATGCATCAATCATTAACTTAACACGTGCATGAAAATACTCACAAAACATGCAAATACAGAAACTCACTGCAAATAGCACAGACTGCAACAAAAATGTGTCTGGGAAATGTATAGATTGTTCAATAGATTTTATGGAGACTCCTACTGCAGAATCATCCCAATTGATCTAACATTATATATTCTTTCCAAATAGAGATATTATGTTATCTATTGCAAATGTATTCATATCGCAATATACTCAGATTCAATATACAATATAGTCATTTTTAGAAATTATTCAGAAGTTACTTGAAACATTAAAAAAGCATATAACTTGCTTATTTGATGCTTTTTACATATTAAATAACATCTGTGAATTTAATATGATGCAGACACTAGAAGCATTTGTGTTTGTGATGTAAAGTTTTTGTGGATATTTTTGAGCTTCTAAAACAATCAAATTTGGTAACATTACACATTTTTTGCATTTAGGCTGTGTAAGTGTCATCAAAATAAATGCATATTATATGCCGATTTATTCACAGGTTGATGAGATATAGCCTGCAGTTGGCCTCGCGTGGCATTCATCATGCACTTACAGGAGAGCTTTTAGCATCTCTATCTAGAGATGAACATGGAGCAAGTACTGCCAACATTCATGCAGGTTCTGCTTTGCTGGCATCTGGAGGAGTCTGTCTGCTAGGAGACCTCACATGCTACAAGAAAGACAAGATGGACATGCTTCAGTCTGGTGCAAAATAGTTCTGTTGGATAAATATACAAGAAAAAAATTGCTAACACTTTAGAATAATGGTCCATTGGTTGTTATTCTTATTGTAATATTAACATATAGTGAATGTATTTACTAACAGTAAGTATGAATAATCTAGTAAAGCATTTATTAGTCATAGTTCAATATTTACTAATGCGTTATTAAAATCCAAAGTTCTGCTTGTTAACAATAGTCAATACACTGAGTTAACATGAACTAACATTATTTAACTTATTAAAGATGAATAAATAACATAATAAATGTATTACTAGTTGTTTGTTAGTGTTAGTAAATACATTAACTAATGGACCATTACTTTAAAGTGTTTCAAACATTTCTTATGCATTTAAAGATATTTATTTTTTCTTCCAGCTCTCGAAAGCAGAACAGTGTCTGTTTTCATTCCTGCAAAGAAATATGGTGATGATACAGACCAGCAGCTCTCTTTCCCCATCCAGTGTAACTTCTGGGCCTTAGTTGACATCGCTTCCCCCTCCAAGAGGACAGCCAGATGTGATAATGCACTGCTGGGTTCTGGGGTGGGTAGTAGTAAACTGGAGCATTTCCTCAGGAAATGAGATGGGAGTTTAATTGTAGGAGATTTAGAAGCGTACAGTACATACCAATAGACTGATCAGATGTAGAAGGAATGCTGGAATGTTTCACAAACGACCCCACCTCACTATCTTTTTGGGAACAGTAACTAGACACAATGCCATCTATTTTCAGAGAGTTCCTCAATGTGCTCATTTGTGTCAGTAGTTGAATCGCACCCGTTACTACTACAAAAGTGAATCTTGATACATGCAATAGTTTCGCAGTGCATGTTTATTTTATTGATTATTATTTGTGATTTAAATGCAGGAAATGGGCTCAGTTCCCCTTCAGCTTACAGGAGCATTTGGACTTGTAGTTCAGTGTCGCGAAACAAGCAACAATCATCCAATCCTATCCATGACAGTGCACACACTGAGACAGGCCATGTCGCCAGGAGAGCCTCTTTATCCTGCATGCATGCAGTTTACCACACAAGACTACAAAGAGGTCTGTCTGCAGTGTTGGGGAAAGTTACTTTTTAAAGAAATGCATTACAATATTGAGTTACTCCCTAAAAATATTTACTAGTTGCGTGACTTAATTACTTTATATGGTAAATAATGTTTTACGTTACTTTTGCAATACTTTTTATTACCTTGCTGAGGCCTAATCACTTTCAGTAGTTTTTTTTTTTTTTTAAATATAGGAGATCTGCACTTAAAAATGCACACTATAACCTACACCTTCACTTACCTTAAAAAAAAAATATATATATATATATATATCCATCCATATTTTAGGATAATGCTATCTGAGAACTTCCTTGCCGTATATACAGTTTATTGAAAGTATAAAGCAATGTGTTTGCTACTTTTGTACTATTTGTCTTAAGTAAAATCACTGTCCATAGAGACAGCCAACTTTTCCTTTTCTTTGATGACCTGAACACATTCTGTCAGCATATAATAATAATAAACTCTATTCAGGCTGCTGTTTCCTGTCTGAAATTTTGTCATTTATGCAGTTAGATTTGGCAACATCTACACAATAGAAAGCCAGATTTTCAGAACTTGCATATCTGTTTTCAGCTCTTGGCTCATGCAAGACAATTGAAAGTGGACTTGAGTCTTGATGCTGAAAGGATGATCCATGGCTATTACATGGGAAGTCGCAGGTTTCGCTCAGACTCAACACAGAGATCCTCAGTAACTTCTATTAAACTCCTGTAAGTATCACAGAATTAACTCAATGTTTTGGGGGAGCCTTTAAAACTACATTAAAGCTAGTTTATGCATTTACAATATTATACCACTAGATGGACCAGTTTACATTTCCACCATTTGCTAAGGACAACCAGTATCTCATGCTGTAATATTTAAACATCATTTTAAATTTAGATTTAGCCTTTGACAATTGAGGGGGGTTATTATATTTTGTATGCACTGCAAAAGAATTAGCACAAGTATGCATCTTGTTTTTAGTACAAATATCTAAATATAACCAAACAAATACTTAAGATTAAGGAGTCTACAATACATGCATTTAAATAAATTGATTTGAGCCATAGATGAAATTTAGGGGTCAATTTTCAGATTTGTTCTCACTTGAACCATTAACACTGATTTGATATTTTTTTCAGAATATAGTCATTGACTTTTTTGCTTCTTGTGTAAACAAGTTTAATTGAGCGACAATATTTGCAATGGACAATAGTGTTAAAGTTGTTTGTTCAAAAGGAACAGCAGCTAGAACATGTCTTCATACTGATTGAGAGACTTTTTGATCATATTAAAGATTTAAAATGTTGCCAACACTGTCACTTCCATCTGGCAAGCATTCCAAGTTGTAATTCACATTCTTGTTCTCTAAAAGGTCTTTAAATGTATTTTATAATAACAGCAGAAATGCTTTACATTTACTTATCCTGACAGGATTGCACTGGCCCAAGCTCACGCTAAACTCAGTCTGAGAACAGAAGTTTTGGAGGAAGATGCAGTCATTGCAGTACTGCTGTGTGAGAGTTCAGTCACCCTAAAACATGGTTTGTTTCTCCTTTATTCGTATAGTCATAAATAAAGAAATAAAACCACAGGGATTCTGTAACAAATTCTATTCAAGAATGATTTTATTACGTACATTTGCACCATTTTTATTTTATAGTGAAGATCAAGCTCTTGATAATGTTATTGAGAGTTTGGGAATAAGAATGTTTGTTTTGGGAATGCAGGAGCCTCAGCACTCATCTTTCCACCCGATGCAGCATTTCCCTGTGCTCTCCATGACCTGGACTCCTTGAACCAGCGGGACCTTGAGTTGGAGGAACATCGCAAGCAGATCCTGAATTTTGTGCACACCTACGCACCCCACATAGAGGAATAAAAATCAAGGTATTGTAGCAAATAAGCTTAAGCCAATTTAAAAACACAAGGTTTAAAGAAATATTAATAATAAAAATAATTAGTAAAATAATTAAAAAAAAAACCTCACCAGTTTAAAGTAAACCGCCTTTATTCATCTGCACTTCTCATGTGATTGTCAAGTCACACCTTTGATTTGGAAGAGCAAAAAAGAAAAATTCAATAATCTCAAAAAGCATTGAGTGTTCAGTTCTGCTGTTGCTTTATGCTTCAGATAGTCACAGTATCAACAATCCAATTTGGTCTGATGGGTAAACGGCGAAAGTGTGATATTCATCATTGCAACAAGCATTCTCACAAAAACAAAACAAACAAACAAAACAAAAACCTTACCAGTCTTATTTTAGTTCTTATGTTTCACTTTTCTAGTGGCTATTTTTGGACCTGAGAAAGCAGAAGTAGTAGACAAAACTTAATGTTATTCAAATCTCAAATGGGTTACATGTTAGTCAACTCTGCTGTTGCTTCAGATTGTCACAGCATCAGCATCCCAATTTGGTCTGATGGGTAAACGGCGAAAGTGTGATATTCATCATTGCAACAAGCATTTTACAAATTTAAATTTGGTACAAAGATATGAAACTTACCAGCCTTTATTTATTTAGCACTTCCTGTTACCCATTTGTAATTGGACCTGAGAAAGCAGACCTAGACAAAAATGAAATTTGGTCTGATGGGATAAACGGCGAAAGTGCAATATTCATAATTGCAACAAGAATTTGACAATTTAACTTTGATACAAAAAATATTAACCTTACCAGTCTTTTTACATGTTACACATTTATAGTGGCAATCTTTGGACCTAAAAAGGCAGGAAGTAGGCAAACAATTTTAAAATGTAACGCATTTCAAATGAACTAAAAGCTAGTCAACACTGTTACTTCAGATCATCACGGTATCAGCAACCCAATTTGGTCTGATGGGTAAACGGCGAAAGTGTGATATTCATCATTGTAAAATCAACAATATAAAAAAATTTAAAAAACACCCAAAAGCATAGATTATCACATTTACAATGTGTAGCATTACCATTCGTTTCCTTGTCTATCTGCATTTCTCATGTCATCCTTTTCCAGTGGGAATCCTTGAATCTGGTGAAGGTGAGAGGTAGCATGTGAATGTAGCCATAAAATCGTCTCATAGTAGAAGCACACTGCTTTTGCTTCAGAAAGTCACAGTTTCAGCACCCCAATCTGGTATGATGGGTAAACGGCAAAAATGTGAACTCATCATTGCTTTAGGCAAAAATTCTGGTGCCAGAAACATTTCTTAGGTTAAAAGATCAATTTAACGGTCATTACCTTTGCAATGATGCCTTCCATTGGCAGCAGCCATGATCATCTGCCTTCTGTAAAAACAAAAATTGATTACGCAACAAGCTTCAGCTCTGCAGGTAAAATGTCAAATGTACAGAAAGTCTGCAAAAACAGACAATTCTGAAATTATACTCAATTATTCCAATTCAGACCTAATCAGCAAGAAAACAGACTTTTACCTCCTTTTAGCACAGAAGCAGTCCAAACATGACCGTTAATTACCAGTTTTGTGTTTCAACTATTGATTTTGTGCCACTGATAAGCTGCACCAAGGGATGAGCCAGTAAATGAAAAACTCAATTCCACCTCAAAAACATGACTGATGAACTAGAGGTCAAAAGGCACATGTAACGCAGCTTGAGAGTAGACCCTCCTACGCCAGCACAAAGGCCTGGGCGACTCTAGCTCAACTCAAGGTCAGGACCTTTACCAAGACCACAGCACCTCCAAGTGAGCCAAAGCCCTGATTATCCAATCCAGGTCATACAAGACCATTCCCAAACCAGCTAGGCCACACAGGGGACGGCAGCCCCGTGCTGGACAGAGCACAGTACTGCCGACAGCAGAGCAAATGGCAAAGGAGCAATTTATCACTAGATCTGGGACACAAACCTGCCAAAATGATATATTACAGTTCTCATGGGATACTTAAAACCTTTACTAGTACAGGTCATGATTACAACGCGATTTGCCATAATCATGTCAACTTGTATAAAAACTCCTTTACAATATTGATCACAGTCCCAGAGGGAATTTAATACATACTATAAAAGCACGTGTCTTCACTCTGTGGTCAAGACAAACAACTCAAACTAGGTGTGATTGAAAAACTTCAACTTTACTGCACTGCTATTAAAAAATACGGTCAACTAAAGCCATGTTGTATAAAGCCACACTATTTTAAGAAATTTATAAAAATAATTTGTGAATGCAACAGTGCGAATGCGCACTTTAGGAATGATTTGTTTTCTAAAAGGAAGAGCTGGACTGCAAACTATTTTGTGGAAAGAAACTCTTATTTCAGAGACCCCAATTGTGGTCATCTTAAAAAAATGTTAGAGTCGTGACTAACGATTCACAGTAATGTTTGGCACCGATTAAGAAGTTTATACTTTTCAACCTCCACTTACAAACGGCCAAGGTAGCAATCGAGTTACTATTAAAGGCAGCCGGATGAAGTAAGAATCTCCATGCAACGCGCGTGCGGACTAGGCTACAGTAACCACGTGGCCACCCCAAAATTTAACAAAAAGAGCGTGTACTGTTTTTGAGCTAGCTGCAGTTATGCTTTAACGTTTGCTAAAATGCATCAGTAGACTTATTAATTTGAATACATTTACCTTAAGTTCTATTGCTGTGTCTTCGCGTGACCAGCTCCTTCCACACTTCGGAAGAAAAGGATGTGGCGCATGCGTACTTCGCGTTTTAAACTGGACTTCCTAGTAGGATCTGCACATGCGTGTTGGGCTAAACTTCAGTCTTGTGTGCTTCAGCTAGTGAGATAAATTTGAATCTGCTGAATAAGCTGTGTTTCACATATCTTACGTTTATTATTTATGGATTTCTTGACAAATGCATTTTTATTAGGTGGAATCCTAATGAAATTTGATTTCCTCATGTGGGTTGCTTAAACATCACTTTTTTCTTAAGACAACAAATACGTACTTTTTAAGGCTTGCAAAAGGTGTCAGGGAGTTAATATTATTTAGTGCTTTCCACAAACGTTTCAGTGACTTTTCATGATTAAAAGTTTTAATAAATATCTTTAATACAGGCTATATGTTTTCTTCTGAAATTTCAGAGCAGGAAACATAAATGAAAACTATTAAAACGCAGAAAAGTCTTAGAAATAAAAATTTTCTATGCATGTAAAGTATTGTGAATTTGCACGTTGTGAATTTAGTTTAGACAAACAACGATACAAATAAGATCAGAGATCAGTATAGGTTTAGTTTAAGAATTATTTTATTTACTATTCCACATACTGCTATTGACATGAAAAAGAAGAAAAGAGGGAAGGAAGGAGAAAAGGGGTTGGTGATGCTATTGTTGCTATTCTGACAGTCCACTTCACATGACGAATGTTAAGTTATTCACACATGCATTTAGTGCAAACGTTTTAACAGAAAAGTGCATAGCCGACAGCTCAAGCATGACAGCTCATTAAAACCAACACACGGAATTTCAGACAAAGTAGTACAGAACTGCAGATACATCACAGTTACAAAAACACAGCTTGTTTAATATTACAATCTTATTTACATATTAGAAATAATTACAATATATTAATATGCACAATTATTCGGCAACATAATGATCAACGGACTTTTCTGCTTTTTTACAAACAATTTCTGCAACAAAATTACTAAAACAGCAACTATACATTTTTTTAACCTACGTTTACTTTTCATTACCTCCAAAAGTCTTATGTGCAAATGATCTATGTTTGAGACGATGAAGAAGAAGCCCCTTGATTTTCATTTGAGTTACCCAGGAACTGACCAGTGGCACCGATATATAACCTTGAGCGCATTGGCCATTTCTGCAAGACAAAACAAAAATACAAAACTTAGTCAACTGTTTTAAACTGCGTAATATATTTCAACTTTAATAATTCCAGACTCAGTTTAATTAGCCTAAAACTCTAAATGTTACGTAATGTTTTGAGGCCCTATATTAGCCTTAAATGTTTGACAACTTCCAAAAACTTACTTTCACAGGATGTAAGTAGCCATCGCCTTTGAGTGAGTTCAAAGCTTCAGCTTGTTTTGTGTTATCTTCTTCCACTCCCTCTTCTTGCAAGGTTCTGGTTAAATGCGCAATGTATGTGGTCGCCAATATTAAGACGTCGAGTTTGGAGAGTTTGGTGTCCGGTGGCACCGACGGTAGTGTTCTCTGTAGCTCGAGGAACGCGTGTCTGAGCGTCTGTACGCGACTCCTCTCCCGCGCCGCATTGGCTGCCGCGGGTCTCCCTCTGCCGCCGAGGCTACTAGACGGGACCAACCTGGAGCGGGAAAGGGCCTCTGCGCGCCGGCTGTCCGTGTCAGGACTAGGGCTCGAGTTGGGGCTTGACGCGGGACTGTCATCCATAACTGTCACAGAACCAGTGCCATCCATACGGATCGACTGTCTTCCAACCATTGAAATCACTTATTAACCTAAATCAAAATATATATTGTTGAATAAATGTACACTTTTTTTTTTATTCTTAATAATATGCCAAAAACACCCATTAGAAAAGTTAACGTTTGTTCGAATTAAGTAATCCGAAAAATAAAATGCGGGCAAAATTAATCATTAGACTAAAGGTCAGCAATAAAACGAATAAAAAATAAGTACAAACGAGTAATAATACAGACTAATAGACGCCTATTACTGTCATTACATCTTTTCAAGAACATACAGTTCTAATACAAAACTTTAAATAGTGAGGTTTCATTAAAAGGTAGTGAAATAAAAAACACATACCTGTTTTATCGTTTCAAGTTATGTTCTAAAAAACACATTAAGGCATGAAAAGTTCCTCAGCTTGATAAAAAATTGGTGTAAAAGAATAGTCCTCTTCTCGTTTCAAAAATATATACAGTGGGCGTAAAAGGTGCGTGTATATCCGTGCGCACGCAGTGTCCTCACCTGAATGACTGCGTAAAGTCTCAGGAGCCTCTAATTTATCGGGGAACACAAAGAGCTGACAAGTGCTTCACTCCGGTGCAATTAATCACAAGCCTTTAAAACTCTGGCAACTGGAGCCGTCCGTTCTCCACACTTTCCCCTGCGCTTCGGTCGGTAGGAGGTGCAGTCCATTTTCTGACCCCAGAAGTAGCCTAGTATTTTTGGTCCTCCCCAGAGTTGCTTTACAGAACCCAACTTCACAATATTATCTAAAATATTGTTTATTTAAGAAATAAATACGCAATGGCTTTGACTGGTGAAAAAGCGCTTTGTGATACAACAATATTTTTCAAGCCATCAAATAGATCGTTGGGATTCTCTCTGCTATCAATTCACTCTTATTTAAAACGATATTTTAATATTAGATTTAATCAGACATCAGCCCTATTTCCTGGGACAAAGCCAATAAATAAACTCTAAACACTGCAATCAACTGGCATGCTTGAGGAAATTCTTGTGAGACTCCTAAATTAATCATTCTGTTTTCCGCAAACGGAGAATTAATGAATGGAATTATTCATAACATGTATATCTGAGACTGTTCTTAATAAACATTGTTTTTGTAAGGATGAAGTAACAGTATTGCCCCCGGGCCAATAATTATGAAGCAGAGCAAATGAGGTTAAGTAAGCTTCTCTGTCTAATTACTCTACATCTTTCAGAGGTTTTAGCCTACCCTGGTTTAGATATTAGTCTCACGCTGAAAATAAATTCGTGCGTTACTGTACTCAGCGCGTATTCTATATGTCCAAACATTATTATACAATCAGTTTTATATTTCATATGTTGCGCTACTTTTCCAGTCTATAACGTAATGATGTTGATAAAGCTAATGGATAATGCGCAAGTTGAAATTAATCCTTATTCCCCGCACATACAATTCTAAATCTGAAAGATAAATATACAGTTACAAGTTTAAAAATAAACGACTCATTTGAAATATAAATTAAAGCATGATGCAGTAATATTGGATTGCTACTTTGACTATTGTAAGATATTTTATACTTGATCAAATATAATTAAAATACAGAACGTGCAAATGACAAATAAAGGCATTATATATATTTATAAAGTGTGCAGTTTGCAATTTCACAATTAATTTTCATTTGACAAGTAAAATTTCACTTTGATTTTGTTATGACCTATTCTGACTGGGGAAATTAATTGATATTTAACTAACAATACTAATCTAAATATCTTAAATGTTTATTATTACATTCCAGAAATGTTGTGTAAAACATGATAGTATTTAAACAATATTCCTTAAAATGTAAATTTATTAAAAACACAGACAGGTATTTTCAAACAGAACTGTCAGAATTGCAAATAAGGCAGTGTAAAAGACTTGTCAAATAAATAAAATTTAAGCCATTATTCACATTTTATATAAGTGGCAGAGCTTCTTTTTCTTAAAAAGTATTCAGCATAAATCTTCACACACACATACCGCAAGCTTATTGATTGAGTTTTTGAGTTAAATATTTGAAGCCAAAAGGACTTCGATAAAGCTTCATATTTTCAGAGATTGCCATTCGGTACTGGAATCTCCTCTTGTCCTGTGAATATAACAAAATACATAAAAAATTTAAATTAAACATTGTAGATTACCATAAAGTATCTAAAGCATGATTTTGAATTGTGTATTACTTATAAAAACTAACTAAGAACATAAAATCATGGCACACACTGTCTAAAACATGCTTCTTTAAATAATGACTGCTACTGGACCCCTACAATAACACAGTAAACAGCTAATTAGGGCATTAAACAACTGTCATTCAGCATTATCATTCCTATTACTCATACATTAGTATTACTCATGCTCTTTCTTACAAGTACAAAACATTCAGCTCATATTTATTGTATTTTCTTCAGCAATTCATGTATACATTTTAGAGGCTGATAAAAAAAAACAGAAATGAAAGGATTAACGCATTTAAGATGCAAGACATCAAAGGATTTTTGCAGTCATTACACAGCCCAGCATAGAATGCTTAACCTCAGGCCAGTACTAAAAGAGAAAGCTGTTTATTTGCATGAGTGGGAAGAATAAAAGTCAAACAACTTGACAAATAGCAGGCTTTTTTCCCAGCATGTCTGAAGGCAGCAAATGAACAGTTACATGTCACATTACTCTTAAAGCATTCCTTTTATATAATTTAAGATGAGTTGTAATTTAAATGTTTAATAAAAACATATATCTTAGTTTAGTTTAGTTTTTAAAATTTGACAGGACAGGGTATTGCAGCACAATGCGTCGAACACACACTCAAAACAATGTTTACCTTATAAAAATACTAATATATAACATGATAAACAAACAAAGTAAAAACAACAATTTACTGAATATCTAAATAAATAATTAATTATTAGTAAACATAAAAAGTCTTTTAAGCACGATAGAAATTGGGATCGTTCATACTGTACCCTCTTCCTCTGCTGTCAGCTTGAATTTGGTCTGTCCGAAATGTAACGCCAGGCTTTTCATTTTCTGACGGCTTACTCAAAGAGCTGCTGCGCTCTCGGACAGAAGGATGTTGGGGACCCAAGTGAAAATCAGCTGAAGCTAAACACAGGTTAGTCATTGTAGTCATTGTAATAGAACTGACACAAGAGACATGCGAGGTGTACTTGGTGACATGCAGATAAAATACAATAGCAGAATATACGATTCCTTGACTGTTAGAAAGAGAAATATAATTGTGGAAGTGTAAATTACTGTAAATAATAGAATTTAATACAGTTTTTTTTTTGCAAATTCAAAAGAGATAATAATGACATATAAAGAACATATTTTATCTGTAATAAAAATTCTACAGTGTAAAGTGGTATTTAAAAAAACAATTGTGTATTTATACATACACATTCCTATATTCTTCACAATTCTTAGTTTATATGGATTTATTTATCGGCTTTATTTGCTTCATTCTATAAAAGTCTGATAACATTCCTTCCAAATGACAATTGGATAGAATAACAAATTGTTTTCATTTGTTGTGATTAAAAAGCAGCGTTATTCCACTAAATACTGTTTACTAAATTCTTATAAAGTATAAACATGGTGTTGTCTAAATGTAAGTGAATATGAAAATAAACAAAAGATAATGAATATAAACAAATATTTAGATATTTATATAAACAATATTACAATATCTAAATATATTTAAAAATATATATATATTTAGATATATTTAAATCTAATTATTATTTATTCAGCAAATATTAATACTTGAAAGTTGGTTTGCCACTTGTAGTTTGTTGTCTTTTCCATCCTCTGGTTTCTTCTTTGCATCTTTTGAGGCTTTCCAATTGATTAGAAACTGCCTGGACAGCTCATTTATTTGTTTCCCATCAAGGTCATCTAAATATCAAGAATAAAAATAATTAAAATTGCGCATGTTTCTGTAATTACATCTTCTAAATAATTAAATAAAACTTAAAAGCTACAGAGGGCATGTAAATATCAAGAAAATATAGTATAAATATGTAATTACAGTTCAAGTCAGAATTATTAGCCCCCTTGTTTATTTAGAAGTTTAGTTACATTTCTGTTTAACGGAGACTGTTTCAACACATTTCTAAACATAATAGTTTTAATAACTCATATCTAATACTGATTCATTTTGTCTTTGCCATGATGACAGTAAATAATATTTTACTATATATTTTCAAGACACTTCTATATAGCTTAAACTGACATTTAAAGGCTTAACTAGGCTAATTAGGTTAACTAGGCAGGTTAGGTTAATTAGGCAAGTTACTGTATAACGATGGTTTGTTCTGTAGACTATCAAAAAATATAAAGGGGCTAATAATTTCTACCTTAAAATGTTAAAAAAAAAAATTTTACCTTTAAAAAAATTAAAAACTGCTTTTATTCTAGCGGAAATAAAACAAATAATAAGAAAAAATTATTATCAGAAATACTGTGAAAATTTCCATGTTCTGTTAAACATAATTTTGGAAATATCTAAAAAGGAAAAAAAAATTCAAAGGGGGGCTAATAATTCTGACTTCAATTGTATGTAAAACTCATAACCACAACACCAATACAAATGTAAAAGTATTACTTATTTATTATGTTTATATATATTTTTTTATTAAATATAAAATGTATTCATTAAATTACATTTAAAAAAAAGTAAATTAATTAAATGTTGAGAAAATTAATAAAATAAAAATGAAATATTTATTATAATAAAAATCCAATTCAAATAATTTAATTATATAATGAAAAATCCAACAAGCTGTATCATTTACGAAGTCAGTGATTATTTTACCATAAATAATTACAATTAAAATTGTAAATAGCAAGGTTATTTCTCACCTAGAAATTTGCAAACAGTTATTAGTCTGTCCCTGTATTTAGGTTTGTGACACACAGGATTTCTACTCAGATCCAGAAGGCGCAGTTTAAACCATTGGCTGAACACCGTCTCTAACTCCTGAAAGCATAAATAAAGGAATTACATTTTACTTTAATCACTTCAGATCAGCTATACAGACAAAAATGAGCAGATCTTCACCAAATGTTTCAAACTAATATTAGCACTCTGCAGAAACCTAAAAAACAGTGATGTTTCCAGATTTACAAAAGATGTACGATTAAAATAATCAGAACCTTGTATTTAAAACAAGAAGGCCATAAACAAATGTGACTAAAAATGTGCAACGCTAAAAGTATAAACAAGACATCAGCTTGTTTTAATAAATACTGTCACTCGGACTGCGTGACTAACAAGTTCCCCAGGGCAGTAGTCCTCAAGCATGTTGCCTGCAGTGTATGTTTATCTAAGGACACATTAATCCAGGCTGGAAATATGAATACTCTCTGGACACGCTCTGATTGTTCATTGCCTTCCTGTCTCAACTAAAATGCTTCCACTTTTCAGTCCGTGTGCAATCAGCTCTAGAGGGACCCCGGCGAGCAGCGCGCTCTCAGGCTTTGATAAATGATCGTGTCAGGTCTGTCACTCTGAGGGCTTGGCTGGGAACTGCCCAGCGCCAAATTGCCCTCCCATGCGCAGGAGTGCTGAATGCACCCCTGACTGGGCTCTTTCCAGCCCTGCGTTGGGTTAATGATGGCCAGTTATGAACCTGTATTTGACCAGCGCTTCGATCCCTATCTGCACTGTCTGGACGTGCGCCACTAACAGCTTCTGCAGTACCCATTTGTCACTCGGCTGACTGCCTGTCATAATCTATTTTAAAAATCCATAATGTTTCCACTGGAATTGGACCAAACTGCGTAAGGATGGAATTGATCCTTTGGGTGCTGTCGTCGCTGAATCAATAGTGGCAAAGGGGTTGTATAAATTAAAGAAGATATCTGCTAAACACGAAAGCTTCCTCTGACACATGGATCGCTATTATCGGTGGCAGTTGCTCAGAGGATTGTCTTTTATGCTGTTGAACAAAGTTACCGAAATGCTTGACAAGGCAGCGGGAAGTGTTTCTTTTAGTCACTAAATGAGTAAGTTGGAAAATCTCTTTTCCAGGTTACTTCTCAGCTTTAGTTTCGCTAAATGTTTGCCTCAAATGGGTTTTTAATACAAGGCTGAGGTTATAAGGGGCACTGAGTGTATTTCAGAGGAAAATCTGTGCACTAAGGAAAGAGGAAAACTTGTGCTTGTTTAAATTGTCAGCAGAAGCTGTCCCTGGAGACCGGCCCGCTGATTTGTTGAATAATTCTGACCTTGTGCAAGTCCAGAGACTTCTGGAAGGATTTGGAGGATTAGGTTTTTTACACCGCTTTACCAATATCATTTCATACTTCATAGGAACACACAAGGTTGTCATGTTTAAACATAACAAAAACTTGAAAAATTACACTTTGTATTTTGTATGTTTTAACCCTTATGTGCTGTTTAGGATGTTTCATCCACCCTTAGGTGATTTTGAGTCTTAATTTGGTCACAACTCTCTCTGTGTTTAAGCAAATGAAATTACTTTTAATGACAAATCTTATTTTGAAATTTTGGGAAAATGCTTTGAAAATATTCTAAAAATTCAACAATATACTCATATTTACTACCCTTTTGGTATGTTCAAGGTTGTTTTTGCCCCATTGACTTCCGTTATAATGACATTTTTTGATTGCAAAGCCATTTGGCATTTTTTTATTGTTGCAGGTTATCCCTGTGGGAAAGAGGTAAAACTGTATTTTTTTTAGAGTTGATCATCAGTTGCAGTGCAAAAAAAAAGCTTAGTTTCTGGCTTAAAATTTTATTGTTATATATATATATATAGAGTATAGTATGTGTGAGTGTGTGAGAGAGACCTTTGTGCACTTACCTTGATATGTTTGAGAAAATAAAAAATAAGCAGCTCAGTAATCAGAACAGAGTGTATTTATGCACAGACACAATTTGTTTTTTACTCCATAGAATTCCATATAAAGGTCAGAAACCTTTTTGCATAGGCATATCTAAAGGGTTAATGGTGCCAACTGATGATTGACTAAAAAATGTAAATTTTGCATCTCACCAAAAGGAAAAACACTAATAATTAAGAATGCATGATTATTTAGCGTCATGTCTTTGCAATTAGAAATTGTTGTTATATCAGAAGTCAATGGGACAAAAACCCATTGCTAGATAAGTTGGCGGTTCATTCTGCTGTGGCAACCCAAGATTAATAAAGGGACGAAGCCCTTTAAAAAAAATGAATGAATGATTACTAAATTTTATTTGTTTAAATTCAACACATATAAATTGTTTGCAACAATTTTGCAGACATAATCTTTTTTCAGTAAACAGTACTTCGCTGTGTTAAAGAACCTTTATTTATTGAAAAAAGAAAAGAAAAATTAATTTACCTGTATGTCATGTAGCTGGTTATCGGCAGCAAAAAGATGGGTCATTTTTCTGAGAGGAGCCAAATCCCATAACTCATCAATGTTATTTTTGCTGATATTTAAAATGCACAGAGTTTCCTACAGAATATATGAAATGAAAGGGGTCATGAACTGAGAAATAAACCCTTTGTGTTTTGACTTAGAAGAGGTTCTGTATAAAAAAAACATCCAGTAATATTCTAAACTCAGGGTGCTTTCACACCTGGCTTGTTGTTTGGAACCTTACCGTGTTTTGGCCTCAGCTTGGTTTATTTAGGAATATGTGGACACGGCAATCACACTCAGATCTACACTAAAAACAATCAGTCTGAGATCACCTGAAATATGTGGTCCTGACTTGGTTGAAAACGAACTCTGGAACACTTTGCTTGTGGTGAGAAAGGAATCAGACCCATAAAACCAATAAAACAGGCTTTATAAAGTGTTATTACGTACTCTTAAAACCAAAAAGAAATTCACTTTTTTAATCAGTTTAGAAACAATTTTAATCTCTATTTCATGAACAACACAGCAAAAAATGTATTTCTTACTTAGATTTGAGAATTTTTATCTTCTTTCTAGTCCAAATATCTAAAAATTCTTAAATCATAAAGCATTTCTAGACAAGTGAAACATATTGTCTTGTTTTCAGAAATAATATTCCAATATTAGGTGGGTTTTTCCTTAAAACAAGCAAAATAGTGTGCAAATGGGGTAAGCAAATAAATTTGCTTTCCTTTTGACAAATGATTATTTTGCTTACTCCATTGCCAGATTCTGCCCTTTAAAAGTTGAGAAATAGTTTGCTCTGATCTGTATCTTAAATAATGTTAATAATTAAAATAATAGATAACTTCAATATACATTTGACCACACCTATAATGGTTCATACTATTGTGAATGCATGTTTGCGCCAAAAAATTTGATTTATCGGTTTGAAACCGGCAAATCTAGAGCACCAACAGTCAGTGTAAGTGTTCACAAAACATGTGTGTTTAAAAAAGGTATTTATAGGTGTCTGTAAAACTAGATGCATGGTTTGTATTTTATAATACACTGGCTTGCACATGGAAGTTAAACAGTAAAATAAAAATACGTGCAGTCTTTCATGGTCATTCATTAATAGGTGCAGGAAAGCAAACCTGTCATTGTTTACGTAATATAACAAATGTCATTGAGAACCACTCAATATTCCTCAAACACTGAATACAGAATAACACATTGAAAAAAAGTAGTATTCACATAAAAGTTTTAAATAAAATAACTCAATATTATTAGCACCCTTGAGAAATATATATATTTTACGATTGGCTACAGAACAAACTACTCTTGTCAAATTACTTGCCTAATTAACCTAACTTGTTTAGTCAATCTAATTCACATAGTTAAGCCTTTAAAAAAAAACAAAAGAAGTTAGTTAGAAATCTGTTTAAAAAATATCGTCTCTGTTAAACAAATTTTTAAATGAATTACAGGAGGGCTAATATAAATAGGCTTCTTTAACATCGTTAATAATGCACTTTAAGATGCTTTAAACTTTGAAACAAGTTCCACTACTGGGAAATCAGTGAAGATTTTACTGAGTAAGTAAAAGGAGAGCATTTAATATTTTTTTTCAAGGAGGAAAATTGGTGTACTTACGCTTGCAATTTCATTAATTATCAAAATAAACAAAAAATTCCCTTTTCGGTTTGTTTTCCCACTGCTTGGGCAGTAAACACTCGCTGTTGATTTGTCAGACAAGAAGGCACCCACAGAGACCTCTTTTACCCTCATCAAATCTTGCACAGAACTGCTTTGATACACGTCTTGGTCCCCGAGTCTGATTCTGACAGCAAACTCACAGGACACTGCTATATCAATCTAAATATGAGCGCACTAGATTATAGATATTATGAAGCACCCTTTGTAAGTCTCTTCACAGAGGTGAATATTAAAGAAATTAGTTACTTACAGACAGGCTAGAAATGGAATGAGGGTCAAAGGCCAGCTTTTCTCCACAAGGTAGTTTCTGACCTTCCACATGCAGCTCCTTTAGGCTTTTCAACTCCTCTAATCCCTCCACCACAGTGATGCTGTTTCCTCCCAGGAACCTTAAATTTAGAAACATTCATGGTCTATGGTCAATAAATGCCGCTTTTTATTAAAAATATTAGAGTCAGAGTTCAAAGAAATGCAATTCAGAAGTATTAAATGTGCTTGTACGGTTAAATACTTACAGTTTAGATAGCTTATGTAGAGACGAGAGGTTCTCGATGCAAGATATATTGTTATTTTGCATGTATAAGTGTGTAAGGTTTGAGGCAAACCCCAAGTTGCAGATCTGTGATATTTGATTGTCATATAGGTAAAGGACTGTGAGGTTTCTGCACACAGATAGATCATCCTATAAAGAGAGAGAAAAAAAATAATATTTACTGTTCCGAGTTTTAGTGTTCATAATGTTTAAACATTATTATTATTATTGAATTATTATTACAATGTAAAAATGTTTAATATTTTATATGTTAAAAATTGCAATTTATTACCTTTAAGTAGCTTATAAAATCTTTTTCACAAAACAATGAATATAAAGATATTGGTGTAGCTTATAGATATGCTGTTCATCCTTTAATTCTGGATATATACATACACTAACTGGTCACTTTATTAGGTACACCTTACTAGTACCGGGTAAAACCTCCTTTTGCCTTCATAACTGCCTTAATCCTTCGTGGCATAGATTCAACAAGGTACTGGAAATATTCCTCAGAGATTTTGGTCCATATTGACATGATAGCATCACACAGTTGCTGCAGATTTATCGGCTGCACATCCATGATGCAAATCTCCCGTTCCACCACATCCTAAACATGCTCTAGTGGATTGAGATCTGGTGACTGTGGAGCCCATTTGAGTACAGTGAACTCATTGTCATGTTCAAGAAACCAGTTTGAGATGATTCCCGGTTTATATTATGGCGTATGATCCTGCTGGAAGTAGCCATGAGAAGGTGGGTACACTGTGGTCATAAAGGGGTGGACATGATCAGCAACAATCCTCAGGTACTAATGGCCAAAAGTGTGCCGAGAAAATATCCCCCACACCATTACACCACCACCAGCCTGAACCTTTCATACAAGTAGGGATAGATCCATACGAGACTCATCAGACCAGGCAACATTTTGCCAATCTTCTATTGTCCAATTTTGGTGAGCCTATAACCTCAGTTTCCTGTTCTTAGCTGACAGGAGTGGCACCCGGTGTGGTCTTCTGTTGCTGTAGCCGCCTCAAGGTTTGATGTGTTGAGCCTTCAGAGATGCTTATTTGAGTTACTCTTGCCTTTTATCAGCTGGAACCAGTCTGGCCATTCTTCGCTGACCTCTGGATATTTGCTTTAATTTGGACCATTCTCTGTAAACCCTAGAGATGGTTGTGAGTGAAAATCCCAGTAAATCAGCAGTTTCTGAAATACTCAGACCAGCCAGGCTGGCACCAACAACCATGCCACGTTCAAAGTCACCTAAATCACCTTTTCTCCCCATTCTGATGCTCGGTTTGAACTGCAGATCGTCTTGACCACCTCTATGCCTAAATGATTAAGTTGCTGCCATGTGATTGGCTGATTAGAAATTTGCATTAACAAGCAGTTGGACAGTTGTGTACTTAATAAAGTGGCCGGTGTATATTTATTATTATATAGTGCATCCATACTTTGTATTTTGATGTACTGACACCAACTTTAAAAGAATTTTACAATATTCACTTTAATGCAAACTATTATTTTAAATACAGCTTCAATATATTTAAACTCAAAACTTACAATCTCCTCTATGTTTTTGTCTGAGAAGTTGAGATGGGTCAGTTTCCTCAGGTACTGCTGGAAGGATTCGCTTCTGCTGGATTTTGAGTGACTGCCCAATTTTGCGATCAGATGCACTGTCAGGCGGACCATAATGACTTGGAGTGCAGAAATATCGCAGGGTGGATAATTCTTCTGAAGCACAGCATGTCAATGGAATAAGGGGATTTATAAAATAGCACAAAAACACATGCAATACCATATGACTGAATAGACCTCTAAATATATGGATTTTTAAGGTATATTTGATGTGGTGACCATCATTTATTACTTAAAAGACAGCATAGTCAATTGACCCTCAACCCTTTGTCAAAATACATATTATTTTTTAATTGTGGGAATGAGGCCAAAGGTGAACCAGGCAAGTGACCTGAACTAAGATTATCATGCAGAGAGATCTGTTCTCCCAAGTACAAAAGACAACTCAGTTTCCTTGAGACTAGCACTTTATGTAAGCTTGACCCTGCAAAATTGCATCACATTAATATAATTTAAGGTATAGTCCACCTAAAAATCATTTATTCACACTTTATTTGTTTCAAACCTTTATGACATTCTTTCTTCTGTTAAACACAAAAGAAGATATTGCTAAGAATGTTGGAAACCTGCAAGCATTGCATTCCATAGTATTTCTTTTTTTTTTTTTTTTTTTTTAGGTTTTTAGCTTATTTCAAAATATCTTTTCTTGTTTAACAGGTCAAAGCAACCCAAAAAGGTTTGGAGTCATTTGAGCGTTAGTAAATACTGAGTAGATTTTTATTTTTGGGTAATCTATCCCTTTTAGTCTTAACACTATACTTGCAGCCTTACCAAAAAGATTTCCTTGGAAAGACCTTGGGTGTTATTACTCCGTATCCTGAGTCTTATATTGTCTTGTCAGGCACAGACGATGAACTGAAGTAAAGGGAATACATACATCAACACATGACAGCAGGTCGGTTTTACACTTGATCTCAGAGCAGCAGACTATTGGGAGATGACATGGAGAGCCTCTAAAAAAATCAATAACTTTCTGTGGTTAAACTCCAGGGAACTGGATTGGGGACAGCGATTTGCCAATCATTATAATACACTGCATTATATTTAACGATAGATGAATTGAACATTGTTTATTTAATAAGCCCAGCACCACTGTTGACATGTACAGGTTGTAAACGCAAACACTAAAGGTGAATTTACATTTACAGCCTACTGAAGAAGTAGGAACAATGAAACAAAACAGCGCTGCTTCTTACCTTAATGCACAAATGTTGTGCGTTAACAATCCCCAGCTAAAGCCTCTTTTCTTTTCCTTGTCTCGGGTTTGTTTAGGAAGTGAGAGCTGATATTGCCATGGCGACGCGACGCGAGGTCAATTTCCACGCGCCAGTGTTGATTCAGAGTTCAGATGCGGCGTGACACATTGTCAGCAGAAATGGTGAAAAGGTTTTAATTTGTTATGTTTGAGTTCTTTTCTATGTAATTTTAAAACACGTGTTGTTCGTTGCTGTATTGTTTTGATGCAAGAGAATGTTTTACTGAGGTCGTAAATATTCATTTGTTCTACAAAGTGCTTTAGTAGGAAAAGTAGGCTATTCAGGCTCACGAATGTTTTCATAACCAATAATTTATTAGTAACTTATTCATTAAAAAGAATTTTAAAAGAACGGCTTTTGATTTTTATTCTATATTGAATATTTACATTTCCTTTTCAGCTTGGTCAGTTTAGCGGAATGAACCGTCAACTGAATGTTTACATTATTAATCTTAATGAATGGATTTAGATATAAAATGTCATTATTTTTAGAACATGTCCTTAAAAGTTATATGGCACTTTCTATTACCAATTTGTGGTGGAAACCTTTTTTATTGGCCTGTTAATGGCTGTACGTTAAAGATTCGGGGAAAATGAAAAGGTTGTGACGTTTATGATGCTTCCAAGCACTTCCGTTCAACATGAAACGAATGCTTTTACAATTCATTCATTAATTTTCTTTTCGGCTTAGTCCCTTTATTAATCAGGGCTTGCCACAGCGGGAATGATATTGCATCATTAATTAAAATGTTTTTAAGCCACGTTTTCTAGTTATTTTTCAAATATTATCCAATAATTTAGGAAATTACCAATGGGAAATTTAATATAGGCCTAATACAGTTTGGCGTACTTAACTTCACCCCTCATCCCCCAATCAAGTTTGGTTTTTGACCCTTTATAAGAAAAAGTTTGGGCATCCCTGATCTAAATGTTACTCTCAGCAGTATGGAGTTTGTAAAAAGAATACCGCAAAGTTATTTCCAAATTCTTGTGACTTTTATCCAAAGGATGAAAAAGAACAAATGTCCTCTCTCTATCATTCCACAAGCTCAAACTGCTGTTCATAATAATAATAATGCATATCAGCTTTAGAGAAATGTGGTGGACACAGACTGCGGTGACCCGTGTATTGTTGTATACTGTGGAGGAATGTGCTTCCTGAGAATGAGTGACTCGCTTGCATTTATGCATGCAGAGTACTTGTCAAAAAGGAAACGTTGCTTTGGTTGGCGTTTGGTTGAGCGACGTAGAGGGGGAGTTCAGCCCCTTTCAGACTGTCCTCTGGGGCAGTGAATATGTTTCAGCTCCTCGGTGCCATGCTTGCTCAGATTATTATTATTATATGGTCCAAAGAAAACATCAGTGCAACAAGATCTTTGGGTCACTGGTCTCAACGGTTAGTTTAACATTGGCCTTGTGATCAATAATCTACTGTTTGTGCTCATCACCTGGATATATTTTCTTGATTACATTTCCTCCACACTTATTATTCTAAAACATTTTCATTGAGCTCATCAAATGAAGCGAAAATCCAAGTAATTTAAGAAGACTCTTACTAAAAGACAAAAACAAGATTCTATTAATGGGTCGGGGTGATGTTAATTCACTCATGGAAAACAGAATGTTATACTAACTTCTATTTCAGTTATACCTTTATCTCCTTTCTTAAAAGTATTAAAATGCTAATCTGGTAATAATTATAAAACTAATTCATATTTACGATGAGAAAAAAACTTGTGCATGGAGATTTTTGATGACTGCAAAAATAAAGCACCTTTAATATAATAATTTTTATATAATATTCTTCTACTTCACTTTCCTCACTGCCAGTCTTGTGACAAAACTTAAAAAAGACACTTTTCCTGACTTAGAAGGTTGTCTGTAAAAGGCTGTGAACACTGTAAAGCCCAACAGTCAACTTTATCAAATAAAATGAGTGTAGTTTACTCAAAATTGACTGAAAGTTAATACTAGTCATTGTAACTCAGTGTTGAGGGTAACGAGTTATTTAAATACCTCATTACTTCAGTTTAAATGGATTAAGTTCACAGTACTCATATAGATTAGTTTAATCAAATGGTTTGTTGCAATCGGTTTCCTCAAACGGCTTGAGTTGCCTTAACTTATTGGGTTTTACGATGAAGGATTCAGAACTATGGCTAGACATTTTAACATTGTAAAAAAATACCATCTTCAGGTTGGAGGAAAGTCCATACCCCAGGTGGAGGAGTTCAAGTATTTTGGGGTTTTGTTCATGAGTGAGGGAAGGATGGAATGTGAGACTGACTGGCGGATTGGTGCAGCGGCATCAGTAATGTGGTCGATGTATTGGTCCGTTGTGGTAAAGAAGGCGCTGAGTCAAAATGTAAAGCTCTCAATTTACCGGTCAGTCTACGTTCATACTCTCTCCTATGGTCATGAGCTTTGGGTCATGACCGAAAGGACAAGATCTCGGAAACAAGCGGAAATGAGTTTCCCTCGCAGAGTGGCAGGGTGCACCCTTATAGATAGGATGAAGAGCTCTGTCACCTGGGAGGAGCTCGGAGTAGAGCTGCTGCTCCTCCACATTGTGAGAAGTCAGCTGAGGTGGCTCGAGCATCTGTTTCGGATGCCTCCTGGACGTATACCTAGGGAGGTGTTCCAGGCATGTCCCATTTGGAGGAGGCCTCGGGAAAAACCCAGGGCATGCTGGAGGTACTATGTCTTCATTTATATTTCCTATCTTTAAAGTAACATTTTATAAACTCGTCTAGACAGAATGGAGTTCAATTAAAAATCTTCATGAAATAAAAACTCTTATAGTGACATATGTAGTATCTAATAAATAAGTACTATTAGTTATTTGGTACAAGTGTCTAATAAATAAGTGGCATCTTATTGCTAAGCACCAATATGTACAGCTGTACAGTTTAACTGTTGGTTTAACACTGTAAAACCAACAGTCAACTTTATCAAATGAAATGAGTGTAGTTAACTCAAATTGACTGAAAGTTAAGTCTCATTTGAAGAGTTTTGAACTCAGTGTTGAAGGTAATGAGTTAATTAAATACCTCACTACTTCAACTTAAATGGAGTAAGTTCACAGTATTCAAATAGATTAGTTTTTATAACTCAAATGGTTTGAGTTGCCTTAACTTATTGGGTTTTACAGTACTCAGTTGGTTTGAGTTCTCTTCATTTGTCGAGTTTTACTGTGCTCAAATCGATTCATTTACGTAAATGGAATAAGTTGACAGTACTCATTGGGATTAGTTTTTTGTTAAATACCTCATTACTTCAACTTAAATGAAGAAAGTTCACAGTATAGATTAGTTTAACTCAAATGGTTTGTAGCAATCAGTTTCCTCAAATAGTTTGAGTTGTCTTAACTTGTTGGGTTTTACAGTACTCAGTTGGTTTGAGTTCTCTTCATTTATCAGGTTTTACTGTGCTCAAATTGCTTCATTTACTCAAATGGATTAAGAAACAAAAAAAACAAACAAATTAGTATTTTGGGATGCTGATATTCAATCTGACGCAATCTCATAGCAATTCGTAACTTTTTAATTTAGTGGCTAATTTGAGCTTGTAACAGTTTATTTTATTACAATTTGGGGTGGGGTTTTGGGGTTTTCATACAAATAAAATCGAATGAATTAGCCACTTATCTGACAATGCATAAGTTAGTTACATATTTATGCATTGCATCCACACAAGTGTGAACATGATCAATAAGCTGCTAATCAATGTTCTCTCAAAATCCCTAACTATGAGCCTCAGATTGTTGCTTTACAGAACATAACAGTAGTCAGCCCTAGTGTAGCGCACAAAAATGCATGATGACGACATCAGCCCAATTGTAAGTAAATGCAGACCCGTTTTGTATGCATGAAACCGCACGGGCGCAGCGATAAAGAGCAGACACACAGTTCTGAATAGACTCCACTGTATCCAGCTCCTGTTTCTGTGATGCATCAGTGACAGGCCACAGCTAACGCTCAAAATCTTGAAGGATCGTGTACAAAACAGAGACACCCTGCACAGGGTCGTCCTGACAGATGCGCCGGTGCCCTGCCAAGCTCTGTTTATCTTTGAGCTGTAGAGTTTGTTATTCCATTATGTAATGCTATGACTGGCAAATATGAAAATGACCTCTTGCGGAGCACTGCGGTTTTCGTTAGCATGCTAAATATAATGTAAAATACGAGAGAGGAGCTTTGGGAAATGGGAATGGCAAAGTACCGTGTTACACACCGAACCCAGAGGAGAATACATTTCAAACAGCTGGTAACAAGCGGCGCTTAGGAAAACACATTTGTCTTGATCTAAAGGACAGCTCTGACGATGAGCTGTGCGAGCTAGAAAATATGTCAGACGAGATTTTATACATGGAAAGTTTGTACATGAAGTTTTACATGGTGTCCCATATTAGGATCTGCATTAAATTAAATTTATATAATGGATTTTATAAGTAAAACATAATAAATGCAGTTTTAGTGTTTAAAATCAATGTGAAAATTAATTATTATTTAATATATATATTTATGTAAAAATGATGTACTTATTCTGACCACTACTTACAAATATATAAAAGATGGCATTGAATTTTACTATATTGTACATTATTAATATTTTTGGCTGGCAAAAGGTCAGTAAAGGATAGTGGTTAAGTATTAATATTTAATCAACAACAATTAATATTTTTTTCCTCAAGAAAATAAACTGAAACAGAACATGTTCTTATGGTGGAGAAAATAAATAAAATGCTTGGACTCGTTTACACACAAGTAAACATAAGCAATGTACATTTAAAACATGAAGCGAAACCAGGCAATGTGTTAATGAATGAACAGCATTTATTATTATTTTGTTTTAACAAATGATAAATGATGCAAACATTCCTACAGGAGAATTCCTTAAATCTTTCAAAACAGAATCATAATGAAAAACACATAACTAGGTAAACAGAGAAGTCATCCAACATCAGTTTAGTTGGCAGATGTGTTCACTTGATTGAAGAGTTTATCTTTGATTACCTGGGACATCAAACCATGAATCGCTTCAATGGTTGTTTTGCAGCTGAAAAGAAAAGAACATTTTTTGGTCATTTACGTAAGATAACATGTCAAATTATTTATTCTAAAAATAACCTTTAAAAGAAATATGAAAGAAATCTAGAAACAAAATCACTTATAACATGAACATTACAAATGAGGTTTACTTTATAGAAAACAAAAATACTCCAGCAAAAAAACCTAAAAGTAATAATATTATAATAATAATTAGAATATTAGAGAAGCTACATAAAAACATATTTTGTACTGCAGTTTTAAAAATCTTTACATTTTAAATTGATCCAAAGCAATGTTTAATTTTTACAAAATTACATTAAGCTAAAAGACAAAATAATGAGTAAAAAGGAAATCAATATATTCAGTACTCAAATTCACTGACAATACATAGATTAGCTTAAAATTATTGTTATTTTGCATAATATTTGGAAAATAAATGTTTTTTGGTTTATGTTGTCTGTTTAATTTTTCCGTATATAGTTGAATTTAGAATTATTAGCCCCCCTGTATTATTAGCCCCCGTTTATTTCCCCCCTAATTTCTGATCAACAGAGAGAAGAGTTTTGAACACATTTCTAAACAAAATAATTTTTAATAAATCATTTCTAATAACTGATTTATTTTTGCTATGATGACATTAAATAATATCTGGCTAGATATTTTGGTTGATTATTGATATTGATTATTGATATTGATGGTTTGTTCCGTAGACTATTGAAAAAATATAACTTAAAGGGGCTAATAATATTGACCTTAAAATAGGTTTTAAAAAATAAAAAACTGCTTTTATTCTAGCCGATTAATTAATAGATTTTCTCCATGAGAAAAACATATTATCAGACATACTGTGAAAATTTCCTGGCTCTGTTAAACATAATTTGGGAAATATATAAAAAAAAAACTACAAAAAAACAAAAAACAAAGTGGGGCTAATAATTCTGAATTTAACTGTATATATGGAAACAAAAAAGACGATCTAAAGTGTTTTCCCTTTGGAATTTAAAACTGAATTAACAAGTATGGTGTTACCTGTCACGTGTTGCCTTTGCTAGTTTGTCCTCAGATTTTCTATCATGTGTGTCCAAGCCCAGCATGAAGCTGCCTCGTCCCAGCTGCGCTTCCGCCTGCTCCAGCTTCTCAGACAAGTCAAACACCTGTCCGGTGGTGTAGTCTGCATTCTGGAGAAACAACCATTAGACCAGACCTTGTAAGCAAAAACACTGCTTTTTCAGTCACCTGTCAATTTTAAGAATTTGGCTTTTGACATTTCATAAAGTGTGTTGTTTTACTTCTAATGGAATGAAAAAACAAAAAAACAAAAATACAACTTTAAGTGTTTCTTTTACGACATTTTGCCAATTTTTGTTTTGAAGTCCTCTTTTCAAAATGAGTTGTTCTCTGGCACTGAGCCATAAATCTCCACTTCAGCAACACACTCAAAGGATTTTTGCTGAATATATTCTAACTACTTATTTAAAACTACTTAATTGTTTTATGTTCAATCCACTTAAATGTGTAAAAACAAACTAACTTAATTTGTGTTGGGCGAACATGAATGCATTGTGCAAAACCCTATATTTTTTTAGGAACACTTACATACACCAAACTGCACACTACTATTTAGATTTCTGAAGGTTTCTACATTACAAAACTTGCCTATCTATACGTTTTAAAGTAATTTTTTTTCTTTTCTGGCTGTTGACAGTATTTTCTGAATTATAGCGATAACATGGGATTCCTAAAATCCTCCCTCTAAAAAACTATAAGACTATAATATAAAAAACAAATTAATTAATAAACGAGTACTCAGTTTTGTTCAGATTTGTGTGTTAGAAATGTATGAAGATATGCATAATTTAACCAAACAATTCCTCTACTGCATATATAAACAACATTTTAGAAGACCTGTAACATGAATGTTTGCAATTCTTAATCGAATCAAATCAAATGGGTAAGTATGGTCAAATCAGGTATTTATTTTTTAACCTTATTCACCTCGAAGTGCCTTAAAACGCCACTTCGCTTGCTCTCATTTATTGCAAAAAACACCTAAACGCCTTTCATCAATGGTCAGTGCAAAATCTTGTTGAACAGTTTGCTGAAGCCCCTGAATGAGGTCTCAAATGTTTGCAGAGGGTGAGGTTGTAAACAGCTGAAACAAAGAGTCGCAATAAACACAGACTCGATATGACTTAAGGTCTATAGTGACGATGTAATCGCTGACAACACTTCTGCTTTGGAGAAGCAAGTCGCTCTTGACAAGTAGTCAATTTATCTGCAGCACATGAGGCCGCTGTTTAGATAGTCCACAGCTCAACGAAAGCCTTAAACAAAGCTCATGACAGAATGTCGTAGAAGACGATGACAAGCTTTCAAAACAAATAGGCAGGGAAACAAAAGCAGCATCTACAAATATTAATCATGTGCACAGGTTGTCAACAAGCCCCCCTGCCATATTTGCAATCTCCTAAAATGCTTAAACCGTTAGGAATGCAAAGCTCCAGGATAATAAATATGTGAATATCTTAACAGGAGAAAGAAGAGATGATTTTGGAATATTAGCAAAGTGACAAAAAGATTAATACAAGTATAATATTTCTATTATTATTATTAATATATACATTCTTTCTTTCTATATATAATGCCCAAAACTACTTTACACTCTAGCCAATGGCTGCTGAGTGAAAACTGTGAAATTACTTAAATTAATCTTTAAGTTCATAATAATAATAATAATAATAATAATAATAATCATTAAATAATTGAATTATAACAATATACAATTGCATGTATAATAGGGCTGCACAATATACTGTTTCAACATCAATTTTGCAATGTGTGAATCAGCAATATTCATATCGCAGGATATGCAATGTCAAGTTTGTAGTTGATCAGCATCACAGTTCTGAACATGGGATTTGTGGAGTCATTGCAAAGTTTCACCCTAAAATAGAGTGTAATATTTTCATTTAGATGAATTTTTAAGACCTGTGACTGTGTATGATTTAAGCAAACCTAAACCAAAAGGTTATAAAGGTATATAAACCAAAATGAATTGTATTTAACTACTTGTACTATGAAGACTGTACACTATACATTGTTATTTTATCTGTTATTATAAAATTTCTATACCTTAATACTATTAGATTCCGCAGAAAACCATCACATGAATTTATATTTGTTCAATACAAAATGTAAAACTGTACAAAATGTAAAAACATGAATTCATTCCAAATGGAGTTATACGCCATCTTGTGAACTTACAGTGCTCAGCATAATTGAATACACCCCATTTTGAATATTTGTATCCATTTCTCAGTAAATATAGGCAATGTATTTTGGTGCATTTAAACAAAACAGATTTATAAAACAGATATATTTATTAAAAGAATATTTTAGTCACCAAACATGTTTACAAATTGTAAGATAATACAATTAAATTTAAGCAAATTAATGCAAAAAATATTTATATTTATTACCTACAAAATTTCAACAAAAATTTTCAGTTTTTTTTTGTTTCACTTAATTTTTTTTTCTGTTTTAAAATTTGTATTTAATATTTTTTATAACATATGAATTTGACTGTACTAGTTTTTGGACCGTTATCGTAAGTTATTTTGTTAGACAAGCTCCAGATTTGACTTCAGTACAGACTAGTCTAATGTTTATGCACACATATATTATTGTAAAGCTTCCTATTAAAAATTTAAAAGACAGATTTGTGAAGGGTGTACATATATATGCTGAGCACTGTATGTTACTATCGCAATATACATTGCAGACAAACTAAATATTGCAATATGAGTTTTAGTCCAACATCATGCAGCCTTAATAATAGAACTATAAAATGAGAAAAAAATTATATTTATGCTGTTTTTACTTTGCTTTATTTTGGCAAAAATTTGAGGGTTAATTTCTCATTGGAAATGCTTTTTTGGGGACAACAGATTTTGAAATCATTCTTTTCTCTTCTTTGTAAAAACTTTATTTTGCAGAGATTATTGTACTAATGTTTTGCTTCTTGTACTAATGTTTTGCTTCTTACACTGTCTTTACACACCTGAAACTTGCCTACAGCACTTATTCATTGTTGCTCTTATAGTTGTGTAAATTGCTTCCTTGTCCTCATTTGTAAGTCGCTTTGGATGAAAGTGTCTGCTAAATGACTAAATGTAACTGACAGTTTAATTGCAAAAACAGTTTACATACAACATTCGTTACAGATTTTATTTGACTCCTTTATGGGAAAAACAGCAATTGTGATTTTTAAAGATAATACAGATCCCCTTCACTCAGCTTTTGAAATGTTACCATCGGGACCAAGCTTAAAATGCATGGAACATGAAGAAATACTTATAAGAAGTCATTTATCCCTATTGCAGTTGTATTAAACCTTACCACTGTTTAATGTGAACGGTGCGGTTGTTAAGAATAATCTGGAGTAATATGTATGGGGCTAATATGGTTGTCTTGAAGAGTGTTGCTATTATGTTATTGTTGTACGGTTTATTTATGTTACCAGTGTAAAAGACAAATTTCCTTTCTGTGCCAAGCAGAAAAGATAATAATGTTTAAACTAAAATTAACATAATGTAGCTTTCAGAACTGAAGCCCTTTAATTTAAACAATTTACAGGGAAAAGGTTGAAAGTGATTTTCTATGCTCCTCAATTTTTCATTGTATTTGCAATCTCTTATATAATAGAAATGAATACATGCATGCCTGCTTCATAAAAGCTATATTGTCACCCTTCATCACATTTACTGTAGATGTTTTTAGAAACTGGTCAGAAATTCAGATTTTGGATTTTTTGTATTTATATTTTTGTAACAATTTACAGTGGTTCAGGCCATTTTTTGATTTAAGAACAAATTCCAAGCAAAAAAAAAAAAAGGCTAGACTTAAATTTATGCCGTTTATATTAAGTAATCCAACATGACAGATGATGTTGGCACATATCTAAATGTAATATATATTAATTTTACACCAATAAAAGTGTGTGCTTACTGTCAGTAGGCTTGAGGAGCTCAAAGTGTTGACCCAATACTTATTCCACAGCAGCTCTAGGAGTTTGCGGTCCAGGGAAGACTTAAAATAAGACACTTCTAATGCATAATACCTAAAAACAAACAACAGCTTATCGTTAACTGCAAGTCAATATATTTTCAAAATATAACAAGTGCATAAAAAGGCTAAAAAAAAGGAAATATATTCAATATGTCATGCACACTTACTGTTTGCAATGCACTCCAAAATCCTCAATTTTGTTAAGAGGTATCGTCTGGTATTCAGAAGGACCCTCATCTGGAGGCTTGTAACCCTATTTTTAAACATTTGAATGTGATTCAACATCTTATAAAACGCATATAAATTAGATACAGTTGCCTAAAAATAGTTGCTACCTTCGGATATGTCCTGAAAGCTCCAAGATTGACCTTCCCTGCGGATATAGTCCTTGTGGGATCGATCTGAGGATGAAAAATTACAAGGACTGAAATTAGCAAAAGAGTTCAGTCAAATATAACAAATAAAAACAGTAAGCTGCCAGTTTTGCGAGTGAAAGTTATGAACGCCAGCTTGCTATTTGCCCTCGGCACTACATAAGCAATGAAGGATAAACTGTATAATGTATTCTGTTACAAAGGCAACAGTCATTAATCAGACAGCAGTACAAATGTCATCAACTCATTTGTGTCTTGAGGGTCAATTATGGATCACTGATAAAGCTGAATTTAAACCGATACTTTTAACTATTTCATAGCGGAGCTGTTTTCCCCTTGTGTCTTTTGAGATGGATGGTAACCCGCTTTAAAGAGGGAAATCAGCAAAATATGCAACAAGTTTAACATTTCCAACAGCGCTTACCACTACTGCGACAAAGGGCTCTTGAAACTGCTGGTTAAGCATCTGAGTGCTGACATCTATGCCTGAAAGCCAGCAGCCGTATCCTGGATGACTGTGGTACCATCCAATGGCATTCTCCAACCGCCCCACCTAAATAAATATATAGACAATTAACCTCAGAATTATTGAACTTCCATATCAATTCTTTCATATGCTGGTTATTGCGAATTGATGCATAATGTGTTTATACATTTATAAAGTGCATTTTTGAGTTCCTGTCGCTTGTCAAATTTTATTTTTTATTTTATTTTTAAAATCATATTTAATGGCAAATATATCTCAATTAATATTAGACCTTTCAATCTGAATAATAATAATATTAATGATAATTATAATAATAAAAAATCTTTAAAATATTGTTAGAGTAAAAAATTAATTTGCTTGTTCATTTCTGTTCCTGTATTGCATCTGTTAAGTATTTAAATTTTTTGTAGTATTTATTAATTACTTTGATGTGATAAACACATCTGTGTCCTTACTGCATGCAGTCCCTCAATAGTAAAGTATGAAAACTGAATAAAAAAAAAAAAAATTATATTTATATAATAGGGCTGCATAATATACTGTTTTAAAATTGATACCGCAATGTGCGCATCTGCAATAGTCACATCGCAGGATCTGCAATGTCGAACCGTTATTATAATTGACCAGGAACCACATTTGAAAACACTCATGATGTGTGCAGTCATTGCAACGTTCAACCATAAAGTTACCAAAACCTTCACTATTTCTGTGCGTTTTCACCATTTACTCTAGCAAAAGAAATTACATTTCTAACTTTATGGTTAGAATGGTTTCACACTGGATTATTAAATTTGTAAATCTGAATATTGCTAGACTTCTAGAAAATCATAAAGCACTGTATATTTTATTTGCCTTTTATTTTCTATTTGTTCTCTACTGTATTGGTTTATTATATTTTATGTGGACCCACTCCCTTACATTAGAATGTCAACGTATCGAAAACTATACATTCTTTCCAAATAGACCTTTTTAATTTAATAGCATTCAATTTCTTTTTGTTTCAAGTCCTGTGACAAGAATTCTGTTCCGTCTCTCAATTAATATTAGAAAGTAAAGACTAAATAAATAATAATTATAAAAGATCTAGGATGATTTTTAGAGGAGTATAGGAATACAATTCATGTTTATTTTAGTTCTGGTAACTGTTCACTTTTTATTTTAGATTTTTTTTTAAATCACATTCGAGTTTATTAGATTTAAATGGTTCTGTGATGCGATACATATTTAGATGTCCAACTACTTCATATATTCTCTCTATTAATCCTAAACATGAAAACAGAATACAAACCAATAACTTTCTTTACTCTTTAAATTGTAATTTTTATATACACGTTTTAAAAAGGTAACCACAACATGTAGCTTCTCACATAACATTGGATCAATCCTAAAAACGTAATGCAGAATAATTATAAATAACAATTAATAAAATATTTGTGATGATATTGCTCTTGATTAGAAAATCTTAAAGATCAGCATACATGCTCCACATATAAAGCAGTGGATATGATCATGTTTATAAACAAACTGTGCTTATATTTATCACTATTCATCTAATATGAATTTTAGAGTAATTATAAGTCAGTGTACCTGTTTAGCATTCTCTATATAAGCAGCCATGTATTCATAGGCTGCAGCCTGAGCGTTGACTCTGGTTTCAGTGCCTTCCACTGGTAAAGCAAAACTGTCCATGATGATCATGGTCTCTCCATCCACCTTCCCCAGCATAAGTCCCATCACCTCCAGGTTTCCTCCAGATCTAGCGTGCATCACCATCTTCAGCAGTGCCAACGCCGATAGCTTGCAGTATTTAAAATAATGATGACTGTAAACAATTAAAACAGTGTAGGTTACACAACAGTGGTATTAATAATTCGAAAACAAGCCGGGCCTCTAGGAGACATCATTTTGGTTTTGTTTACTTACTCTTTAGTCCACGGTTTGGCCGCCAGAATTTCTTGTTGTTGTTTTTTGTCATATTTATATATTTCGTCGATACTCTGAACTTCCTGCATGCTGTTTGACAGCTCCCATGTTTTCATCGCTATGCTACTGCCAGCCATAGCTAATACTACAGTCGGCTTATATCTTCTGTTCGACTATAACGAAGTATGATTAATAACACTCGCAATTAATAAAATATGAAGAGCTAGATAATGTTAAAATTGTGTAGTTTATCTAACTATTTAAATAGATCATTTAGCAATAATTAACAAAGCTCTTGCAGTACTCCTTTTCTGAACAACTCTACAACCTGAGTGAAGCGAAGCGAGCGACCGTACGGGTTACTAAGGAATAAAATTGATGCCAAAATAAGAGTCCTGAACGCAAACCGACCGCTACTGTTTTACAGTCTATGGCACCGCCACTGTTTCTTGATATATTCGTTTTTGTTTAGTTGTTTATCTAAGATATGGTTCGATCTATGTCATTTCTGTTTAATGACCCACTTCGTAATGTGACAAAATAGTGTTAAAAATTGATCTACCTAATTATTTGCAAATAATAGAGGTCATATTTGGTCTATTTCTATTTGTATTATATTATAGAATTATGATATTGTATTTCTGAATATATTAATTATTAACACATTTACTTTCTTAAAAAATAATTATCCTCTTTAATTAAACTTGTATTTATTTGTCTTTATTTGTCAATTGTTTTAATATTTTTAAAAATTGCATGTTGGATAATTTATAATATGTTATGTACTCATATTTGTGTCAGTTATTTCATTATTTTTTACAATTATTAAATTGTTTATTTTTTATTTTATATCTCAATATAATGTTTGATTGTTTATTTTAAACTAATTTATTGTTTAAAGCATTTAAAATTTACGTTTCTTTTTATATATTTTATTCTAAATTTTTATTTTTTTATTTTTTTTGTGCAATTTTTTATTGTAAAAAGGGAGAAATTTCAGTTGAATCAAATAAAGTTGTAAACAGTCATAAACTCGCTGGCATTTTAAAGCACCTCTTTTGTTTTTATGAAAATATTAACGTGGCGTTAAAAACTACATTTCCCAAAATGCACTGCGCAGACACAGTTCAAAGGTTACTGCTACAAGGAAGTGCAGAAAAGTTCTCAGTTAATCTTCTTACAAACTATTTGGTTTAGCAGGTCAGAACTCAAAGATACAAAAGCACCTTAAAACAGATTAAAAGCCCATGCGCGGGTTTTGCTTCAGGGCGTTTCGTTCCCGCGCACTCCTGCTCTGCCCGGTGCTTTCATTGACAGATTAACGTTACATGATACCTTTATATGTCTTCTGTCCACCTTCAACTAATCAGCTTTATGAATCTGTTTCAATCTCAAATTAGCAGAAAGGTAAGTACAATCTTAAATAAACCCCTAACGTTACTTTTAAAAAAATGTTGTACAATATAACTTATTTGAACCTACTGTCCTGCTAATGTAAAACTAATTCATAATAAAAATCTATTAGACTAATAACAGAATGTTTTCATAAATTCATTTGTGTATCTTCTTTTTGTAAATCAGTGTCAAAGGTCTGACTGGAGACAAGATGAAGATGGTGACATTCTTCGTTGTGGGACTCATTGTGCATGTAGTCTTCTTTCTCTGCATATTTGACATTTATTTCACATCTCCTCTTGTCCATGGAATGACTCCTCAGCGGGTCTCTCTGCCCCCTCCGGCCAAGCGCCTGGTGCTGTTTGTGGCAGATGGTTTGAGGGCCGACAGCCTCTTTAAGCCAGACGACAGTGGGACATCCAGGGCTCCTTACCTAAGGTGACGAACACTGGATAATCTTTGTCCTGTTTACCCATGTGCTCCAGAGAGTTCAGAATTGTTTATGTTAGTCATTAATGTCTAAATAATATCTATTAGTCATGCTTAATGTTAAAAATATTCACCATCCTTCATGATTTCATAAAAAAAAAAAAAAATTCACCTAAGCATTGCATTTAATATTCCATTCATTCATTCATTCATTCATTCATTCATTCATTCATTCATTCATTCATTCATTCATTCATTCATTCATTCAGAGTTATATGTATCTAAGTGTTAAATCTATTTAATAGCATAGTAGAAGTTACATTTTTACAAAAACACATCCTCATACAGTATATTGTGTAAAAACAAACAAAATAGATATGTATTTTATAGGTAAAACTACTTAATTTAGTTTACACTAAATAAAATGCATATAGTACAACTTAATTTACTAATTACATTTTATGCATGTATTTATTTATTCATTATTCTGTTGGATAAAGTTTTTCTGATCACACTTTACAATAATGTTTCATTAGTTAAATGTTTATGTATTTACTAACATGAACTAATAATAATGAACAATACTTGTACAGCATTTATTAATCATAGTTCAGCATTTACTAATGCGTTATTAAAATCCTAATTCATGCTTGTTAACATTGTTTAATACAGTGAGTTAATGTGAACTAAGATTACATAACTTTATTGCCATTAATTAGAGTTAACAAAGCTGCATTTAATACTGTATGTGTTGTTATTATTTGTTCATGTTAGTAAATGCATGAACTAATGTACCTTATTGTAAAGTATTACTATTAATTTTACCATATTTCTTTTTACTTTAACGTCATCTTAAGGACCACTAATGAGCTCCCCTTCCCACCAGTTTATGCCTGTCATACATTAGGGCCTCTATTTTAACAATTTAGGGGCAAAGTCTAAAGCGCATGGCACAAAAGCATTAAGGGCGTGACTGAATCCACTTTTGCTATTTTAAGGACAGATCAGTACAGTTTGGTCTAACAGGGTTGTGCTTATTCTCTTAATGAGTTCTGGGTGTGTTTTGAGCATAACGTGCATTTAAACAATCTCTGTTTGAAAGTCTGATCTCCCATTTCCTTTAAGAGTCAGTTGCGTCATGCCAGGGTGCGTTTTACATCATTTACATGATGAACTTTGTAAGTGGAAAAACTGAATGCTTTACTAGCGAGAAAACAGTTAAACAGACCATCTGTTCAAGGATAAAGAATGAGCCACCTCCATTCGACCTCTTTACTTTCTCTTTATTTTACTTTACTCTTAACCTTACTCATTTACTTTCGTGGACAAGGAAACGGTGTTGCACAAACTACATATTTAATTTCGTTTGTTAAGCACAGAGATTTGTTTCAGAACTATTTCTAAATTCAGTTCTAATTTCCCGCAAAGGAATAAATTAACAATAATAACAAAGTGTAGTCAAAAATCTGAGCTATATCCAAACACACATACTATTCTTATGCCCCATATGGTGTTGCATACGTCTCCATAACCTGACAGGTGGACAAATCTAAACCTTTGTTAAAACAAATATAAATTTGTGTATAATAAATATTAGTATTAATAATTTAACATCATACAAATGCAAATTATACAAAAAGCCCCCCAAGGTGAAGAGGGCATGGAGGTAGTGGTTGTTATATTTATAAAGAAAATATTAATTTTTGTAATATTTTAATCCTTAAATTTTTTCATATTTGTGTATTGCTGCACATCCTGTGTGTATTAAGTAATGTGTACGTGTTTTTGGAATGGCATATGCGCTGGACTTGGTTAGTGGCGCAGAATATTTCAGTTCCTCAAAATAGCAGCGCTCCAACAAAGCTCCTTAATGCACCCCCCTTATAGAGCTGAACACTCATGAGTCCACAAAGTGGCAAAAATGGATTTGCTATTTAAACAACATGGCCCAAAAACATGAAAATTAGGTTTGCACTGGTCTGAAAATTGGAACAAACCACGGCAAACACATCTTGCGCCTAATTGCGCCGGGTGTATAATAAGGCCCTTGGTGTATACAGGTATATTGTTTTATTTATTTGTGCTTTTTTTTTCCTTCATGCTGTTTCCTGTCATAAGGAGTGTGATTGAAGAGGGCGGCACATGGGGAGTTTCACACACACGGGTCCCTACTGAATCACGCCCAGGACATGTCGCTCTAATAGCAGGCTTTTATGAGGACGTTAGTGCTGTTGCCAAGGGTAAGCAGTCATATCTGTGTTTGTATCTAGCTTTCTATGTGTGTAAAATCAATCATGTGCGCCTGTGTTTCCAGGCTGGAAGGAGAATCCAGTGGAGTTTGATTCTGTCTTTAATGAGAGCAGATATACCTGGTGTTGGGGAAGCCCTGATATATTGCCAATGTTTGCTAAAGGTATAACCACACACCTACGAGTTGGTCTGGGGAAGCATGTTGTTTTTATCTGGTGGTCTTATCAGCATGTGTGTTTTGTAGGTGCCACTGGAGACCATGTCTACACTCACACTTACCCTCCAGAGCGAGAGGACTTCGCCTCCACTGATGCTTCCAGACTCGACACATGGGTGTTTGATGAAGTGAAGGTAGGACGCTCTTGTGCAATCACTTCATATTCATTTATTATGTGTAGCTTTTCAATGCATATTGTCATTGATATGTAAAAAAATGCTAGAAATTACAATATTTGTATGTAAGTTTAAAAGAAATGTTAGCAGAACTTTATAAAATAAAACAAATATTTTTTTTACAGAAACCCTAAAAATCCTGATAAACTGAGAATTTTCAAGTTGTCTCTATTTTTTTCCACTAGTTGTTTATATCAATGCAGCGGGGAAAATAAGCATTAAAGACTTGATGTTTCCTGAGAATAATATATATCTAAAGGAGCTGTTGACATGGAATTGAAACAGATTTTGGTAAAAACCTCAATAATACAAACATAAAAATACAACAAAAACCTGAAAAATGAGTTATGTGTGACAACAATGAAATGACACAAGGAGAAAGTTCTGAACTACTGAACCGTATGTAATACTTTATACAAAAGGCTTTTTTTGGTGATGGCAGCTTAAAGATGCCTCTTATATGGAGAATAAAGTCCCATGAATTGCTCAGGTGTGAGTTTTTCACAATGTTCAACAGGATGTAAAAATCTTGATGGTTCTGTGGGTCTCGTCTATCAAATCTGATGTTTATTTTGTATATTATATCGGATTCAGTTCAGGTGATTGGCTGGGCCATTCTACAGCTTGATTATCTTTCTCTAAAACTATTTGAGTTTCCTTGGCTCTGTTTTGGATCATTGTCTTGCTGAAATGTCCATCATGGTGGATCATCTTCATCATACTGATAATGTATTCATTGGACTGAAGCAGCTAATATTCATTTACAATGAAGAAGGGCAGAGGGTTGCTGAATAACTTCTGAGAGTTTTCTGCTGCTGTCAGGGCTTTCACTACCTTTCTATACCTCCCTTTCTTTATGTGTTCAATACTTTTTTCCTGTGTCATTTCATTTATTACACATAACTTAATTTGTAAACAAATTAGATTTGTTTTCTTTGCAATTATTGATTTATTTGGTTGTTACAACATCTGGGGTAAATTTCAATTTCAACTCAACAGCACCTTTAGAAATATGTTTTCTGAGAAAAATGGTGACATATTCAATACTTATTTTCCCTGCTGTATGTAATATATCACATAAAGCTCATGTATAAGGCTTTCTTGATCAAAAACAGTAAAATGTTACACACTCAAAAATATTTAAATTATTTAAAATGTATTTATTATTTAGTAATAATATACAGTGTCTATCTGTGCATTATCAAGACATTTTTTATCACTGTAATAGTTGATTCAGCAGCTATTGCTTCATTCTTCAATATCATGATACTTTAAAAAGCAAAAAAATATTAACGCAAGAAACATTTATTAACATTTTTTTTTAAAACTTGATACAATTTTTCAGAAAGTGCTGATTAATAGAAAGTTTATAATTTATTTAGAAAAAAAGAACTGCATTTATTTGAGTCTAAATCAATTTGTTACTTAGAAATATAAAATACCTTGTGAAAATATAACTCGATCAAATACAGTAAAATGTTACACTTGAAAATAATTACATTATTTAAAATATATTTCTAATTTAAAATAATATAACATCTAGCTCTTCTATATTAATTTATATTTTTTTATTTACAGTGAGGGTTAGCTGATTTAACAGCTATTGCTTCATTTTTTTCTCTCACAATCCTTCTAAAACCATTCTTGTATTTTAAAGCAAGAAACATTAATTGTTAACAATTGTGAAAATAGTTTACATTCAATCATTCATTTATTTTCTTTTCGGCTTAGTCCCTTTATTAATCTGGGGTTACCACAGCAGAATAAACCACCAACTAATCAAGAATACGTTTTTTAAGCAGCTGATGTCCTTCCAGCTGCAACCCAGCACTGGGAAACATCCATACACACTCATTCACACTCATACACTTTGGATATTTTAGCTTACCCAATTCACCTATAGCACTTGTCTTTGGAATTTTGGGAAAACCGGAGCACCCGGAGGAAACCCACGCAAACACGGGGAGAACATGCAAACTCCACACAGAAATGCCAACTGACCCAGCTTAGTCTTGAACCAGCGACCTTCTTGCTTTGAGGTGATCATGCTATCCACTGCGCCACCGTGATGCCCTGAAAATAGTTTTAGTGCTTCATTTTTTTTTGGAAACCATGATTAAAAAAATTCAGAAAGTGCTGATAAACAGAAAGTTTATAAGTTAAGAAAGAAGAACAGCATTTGCTTAAGTCTATATAAAAAAATATGTATATATATTAAAAATATAAATTATATTGTGATAATATTGATAAAAAAAAACAAAATTTCTTGACTTCCTTCTGATAAAAAGTTAATGTATTATTGCTAAATAATAAAAAATTAGACCATAAATTGTCTTCACTGATCAACTTATTTCATATTTTTATGAAGGATTTTCTCACTGCTGCCAAAAGCAATGAAACTTTACTAAAGAAGTTACATGAAGAACAAAACGTGTTTTTCCTTCATCTACTGGGGATTGACACCAATGGTCATGCCCACCGGCCCATGTCAAAGTAAGCTCATTTTACATCACCGCACCAATCAATGACAATGAAATTCACTAAAATTACATTGTAATTCACCAGAACCTTTTTACTTTATCTTTATTTATTTTACTGTTTTATGGAAGCCACTTTTAAAAAATGTTGTAAAAGCTGCATAATAAATTTTGTTGTATTGTACAATAAGTGATCGTTCTCCCAAAAATAGACATTTCCTCACCATTGGCTCACACTCAGGTGATTCTAAACTTTTATGAATTTTTTTCTTCTGTTGAACACAAAGCAAGATATTCATAAAGTTATTCATATTTTTACGTTTTTTGTAGTCGATGGCTGTTTGTTTTCCAACATTCTTCAGTGTATCTTCATTCGTGTTCTGCAGAAGGAAAAAAAGGATGAGTAAATGAAGACAGAATTCCATTTTTTTTTTTACAAATAGTCCATTTCAATGTGGTAATGTCATAGGCCCTTGAACATTTCCTGCTTGTTATCATAATTTAACTGTAACAAGAGGCAATTCAATCATAACTTCATGTTAAAACTGCTATCATAGCATTATTTGTCAATATGTGGACCTCTTTGGATTCTTGAAATCTATGGAAATAAAAAATGTAAAATAGGAAAATGCATTAGGACCATTGTTATTGTTTAAGTCCCTCGAAATGGTCAATAAAATCCACAAGGACCAAATATACCACTAGATGGTGCTACAGTAGCTGTCAAAGCCTTGCATTTAATATTTTCTGCTTCCAGGGAATGTCTAGAGAACATTGGTCTGGTTGATGCTGGTGTCGCTGACATTGTCACTGTGATGGATGACTTTTATGGCCATGATGGAAAAACGGCTTATGTTTTTACTTCTGACCATGGCATGACAAATTGGGGTAAAACATCTCTCTGACCTAGTCTTTAGAAGTCTAAGATAGGATGTTTTGTTAACATAATTTTATCCGTCTAAATTAAGTCCAAAGTTTATAAATCAAATAGCATTCTTTTGATTTATATCACTGTTCAAGTTCAAATCAGCAGAACTTATCCACCTTTTGCCTCCCTTGACTATTGCATTTCAAATGATTGGTTGCACTAAAAGAACTGAAACAAAACTAATTTAGATAATAAGGTGGCTTAAGATATACGTATATAGTGTACATATAATGAAGACTGATATTACGAAAACTGCTTGGTACTGAGATTAGTATAAAAGTGTATTTATTTAGAGGTTTCTTTAACGATTTTGCGGTCTGCTGAAAATAATTTACTGTGAGAAGAATTATGTACACAATGATTTAAGAAATGCTTCATCAATTGTTAACAGTTTATTGTAAGTTACTCCTATAATTCACTCAAAGCATAATGGTGTGCATGACAAAGGTGAATACATCTGTACACGACATATGACCTTATGTTTTATAGGATCTCACGGTGCAGGACATCCCTCGGAGACTCTGACCCCGCTGGTAGTGTGGGGCGCTGGGGTTCAGAAGGCACAATGGGAGACCTCTCAGAAATATGAGGATAATTATTTAAAAGGTTTGTTGAATGGTGTGTCAGTGGCAATAGTATCTGGATGCAGCCTCTTTGATACAATGCACTCAATGAAATGATTGGGTAGGGTTAGGGGTAGGGTTAGGGGTGGGGTTAGGTGAGCACATTAAACACCATTGGATGCGGCTCAGATTACTATGCACCAGGTCTGCATCCAAACCCCTCTCCTCAGTGGCCTAACACTATGGTAAGCCATTTTAACATGTAAACTGTAAAATGTGCCTGTGTCCATTTTCATGCTACATAATTTTAGATACTAGTTGCTCTTTATTAGATAGCAGAACTTTTTTTTTTTGAGTACTAATGGCTATTATCAGATACTACTGCTTAATCATTTGATACTTGTACTTAATAAATACATTGAAGTTTTTAATAATTGCTTGTAGTTGGATACTAATTCCATTAGATACTAATTTAAAAGATTAAAATAGATTCCACTCAATGGCCTAACACTATGGCAAGCCATTTTAATATATAAACTGTAAAAGGTGCCAGTGTCCTTTTTCATACTTCATATTTATAAATACTAGTAGCTATTCAATAAAAACCAGAACTTTTATTTTAGATACTAATAAATATTTTCAAATACTAGTACTTATTAAGTACAAAATAGCGTATATTAAATGCTAGTAGTTGGATACTAATTCCATTACATAAGTATTTTATAAGATACTAATAGATTCCACTACCATTAGATGCGTATGTATTTATTTATTGGGTGCTAGTATTTAAGAAATAATTACTAGTAGGAAGGTAAGTTTGACCTGTGGTTTGACCTATATTCAGAATTTGTTCTCTGCATTTACCATATCTTAAGTACACACACCTGCACAAATGTAAACATACAGTCTTAGCAGAGGGTAGCCACTCTATCTAAAATATGTACTTCTAAATATGTATAGTTTTTAGAATAAATGTGAAATCTTTTGTTTTACTAATACCCCCCCATCTCTATTAACAGACATTAAATCACCATAAACCAACAAAATAGATTGTCTTTTAACATTCTTTGCCTTTCAGAATGGGGGTTAGAGAGCTACAGGAGAGTGGACGTCAATCAGGTGAGATTTTCTTTCTGATTTACATATGAAATGTCTATAAAGGATGAAATATTGCTGATCTGATCTTTTCATGCTGTTGCAGGCTGATATTGCCCCACTAATGTCATCTCTTATAGGCATTCCCTTTCCTTTGAACTCTGTGGTGAGCTTAATTTTAGAGATTTGAGATCTGCAATTCATTTTGTGAACTTGCACACATTGCTTATATAATCTTCTGAAGTATTTTTGTTGCTTTACAGGGGGTTTTACCGCTGAGTTACCTGAATAACAGCCAGCACTTTAAGGCTGAGAGCATGTATGCAAATGCTATTCAGATCTTGGAGCAGTTCAGGGTAAAGTATAGTACATTTCAGTTCATTCTGGTTGGTTTATTTAAATTAGTTAGCTATTTTTTTTTTTTTTTAATCCACAGGTAAAATTGGCACAGAAGAAAGAAACAACGATATCGTTTTTGTTCACACCATACCAGTGAGTATAAGTCAGTGCTAAGGGAGAGTTTAACAAACAGACATTTCTTGAATTCTTAGGTATATATTTGGGTATATTTAATTTATAATTTATTTTATAAAGGTCTGTTAACCTTTCCTAAAACTTCAAATAAAAGTATAGATTAAAATAAACAATAGCTTAAATTATATATATAAAATATAATAATATTGTACAAAAATAACAGTAGAACTAGAGATACTCAAACTAGGGTCCGACAGGATCAACAGGCTGGCGCAGAAACTCCATTGAATATACTGGGGTAAAATAAATGTTAATAATTTAAAGACATGATGCAGAACAATGTAATATAATGCAGTGCTTCTTGTACATTCTGAGACCAACTTTATATTGTATATCAATCAGGCAGAGGACATTGTTGATTTTTAAAGAAAACAGACCTTAAACGCTCCGATTTTGTAACGGCATAAAGTTCACTGAAATAATCTGGGTCAACTCTTAATAGTCCTTCCGCATACTTCTGCATATACTTTATATCTCTGACAAAGAAAGTCATTTCAAATTTAATGCAACCTTTTGTTTATCTTGTAATTTTTTTGTTTTGAAAATGAATCTAATTTTTTAAAATGTAAATATTGTCACTCGACAGATAGAAGGACAAGATATCGGCGAGCAAATCAAAGGCACATGCAGCTTAGTGTATTGAGCATTGAATTCCATTGTGTCGTTAATGGGATTGTTTAAGTTTTTATTGTAATAATTTCATTAAAAAACTTTAAAATATACAGCATTAGTTGAAATAATTTAAAGCAATGTTTTGTAATTATTTTTAAATAGTAGGAAATGAATTAAGAAGTTACTCATCGAAAATTTAATGTAATACAGTTTGGTATATTTACCTTCAGCCCACAGCCCTCAATCAAGTTTTATTTTTGGCCCCTAATAAGAAAACGTTTGGGCACCCCTGCATTAAGCTCTATAAATTGCTCATTTCGTTAATATATAATGCTAAAAATACATGTAAATTAACTACACCCATTCAGCAATGGTCAAAATTATTCAATGACAGGTGAATGAATTAGAAAATGGTCCTGTTTCATTATAAAAAAAGATATCAAACACAATACTTACTTTTAAATGCATTAATAAATTGAATTGCAGGTCTTTTTTTCCTACAAGCAAAAATCAGTGATTTTAGAAAATTTCATAATATAAATCGCAAAACAAATAGCACCTTTATACATCCGCCCTTTTCAGGAAATGACAACGTGATCAATACTATTGCTTTTCACAAATCATTTACAAATAAAAATAATAAAGGAACATTATCAGTGCAACTGGGGAAACGATAATGGAAAATGTACTTTTATAAGTAAAATAAAAGGGTGGCACTGTGGCTCAGTGGTTAGCAATGTTGCCTCACAGCAAGAAGGTCGCTGGTTCAAGTCCTGACTGGCCCAGTTGGTATTACTGTCTGGAGTTTGCATGTTCTCCTGGTGTTGGCGTAGGTTTCCTCCAGATGCTCCGGTTTCCCCCACAGTCCAAAGACATGCGTTATAGGTGAATTGAACAAACAAAATTGGCCATAGTGTATGAGTGCATGTGTGAATGTAAATGGATTTCCTAGAACTGGGTTGCAGCTGTGTAAAAACCATGCTGGAATAGTATGTGGGCGATTCCTTAGTGGCGACCCCTGATAAATATGAGACCAAGCCGAAAGAAAAGCAATGAATGAAAGTTAATGAAAGGGTGTCTCGATGACTCAGTGGGTCCATGTTCGAATGGGTTTTCCATACAAGTCCAAAGACATCCGCTATAGGTGAATTGGTTAAACTAATTGGTAATTGGTCCGTAATGTATGTGCATGAATGAATGTATGGATGTTTTCCAGTGATGGGTTGAAGATGGAAGGGCATCTGCTTCGTATAACACATGCTGGATAAGTTGGCGATTCATTCCGCTGTGGCGAACCCTAATTAATAAAGGGTCTAAGCCAAAAAGAAAATGAAGGAATGAATGAATTAATAATGAAAGAGTAAAAAACGCTGAGTAATCAACCCTCGAATTTGATTGGCCAAGCAGTATTTGGATCCTGCTGGTATAAAGTCAATAATGTCAGATATCTTTGTGATCATTTTTCTTTTATTATAATTTACTTTTTTTATTTTTTATTTCCAGGCCCCTTACTGACTCTAAACAAGTGGATTTCATTCGTCAGGCAAGAGATTTGATCCAAAAAGGACGTTTTGACGAAGCAGTGAGTGTTGGTTAGGTTACAGTATGTTTTCTTTTATCAGTAGTATTTACCATCACAACACTTGTTGAATATCTTGTCTTATCATATGGTTTTAGATTGTCTATTGTAAAGATCTGATCGCTCAGGCAATGGAGGGCTTGTCATATTATCACACATATGATCGTCTGTTTCTTGGAAGCAGTGTGGTCCTGGGTTTTATTGGTTGGACCTCATATGTGGTTTTATACATCCTGAAAACTCATGCTAGCCTACGCAAACCTCCAACTAACACGTCCATGGTAAGCAAGAAATAATGTTGTTTAATAAGCAGCAGGTTGTCATTGCAGTTGATGAACATTGCCACTAATAAAACAGTTTGTGGTTTATTAAAAGAGAGGTGAGACTTCGATATACATATCACATCCTGTGTTTGTGTTTGTTTCTATAAGTGTTTGATTCTGTGTTTGTTTCAAGGTGACTGAAAGGCTTCTGGGATGGGGATTTCTGTGCGTTGGTTTGCTGATGGCTTTGTTCTTGTTGGTTCAGTCCAGTCCTTGGTCGTACTACATCTACAGTTTAATGCCTGTGGCGGTGTGGTATGCTGTATTGAAAGAGTAAGTCACTTTAAGTGGGCATAGGGATTTTCACCTGCTTTTGCCAATTTCACGTCAAATGGTAAACAAAGTGGTTAATTTGTGCACAAAAATTTATTAAAAGTATTGTAAATATAGCTAAATAAAAATAAAATATCATTGTTATTTATTTATACCAATATTAAGAATTATAAATAATATTTCTTAATAACTCATAGTAACTGTAGTGTATGTGTACACTCATTGGCCACTATATAAGGTACACCTTAATAGTACCCAGTTGGACCCCCTTTTGCCTTCAGAACTGCTTTAATTCTTGGTGGCATAGATTCAACAAGGTACTGTAAATATTTCTCAGAGATTTTGGTCCATATTGACATGATGGCATCACGCAGTTGCTGCAGATTTGTTGGCTGCACATACATGATGCGAGCTTCCCATTCCACCACATTCCAAAAGTGCTCTATTGGATTGAGCTATGGTGACTGTGGAGGCCATTTGAGTACAGTGAACTCATTGTCATGTTCAAGAAACCAGTCTGAGATGATTCACGCTTTATGACATGCCACGTTGTCCTGCTGGAAGTGGCCATCAGAAGATGATTACACTGTGGTTACAAAGGGATGGACATGGTCAGCAACAATACTCAGGTAGGCTGTGGCGTTGACATGATGCTCAATTTGTACTAATGGGCCCAAAGTGTGCAAGAAAATATCCCCCTCACCATTACACAACCAGCCTGAACTGTTGAGATATGGCAGGATGAATCCATGCTTTTTATGATGTTGATGCCAAATTCTGACCCTACCATCCGAATGTCACAGCAGAAATGGAGACTCATTAGAGCAGGCAACGTTTTTTCAAACTTCTATTGTCCAATTTTGGTCGGCAAAATGTAAGCCCAGTTTCCTGTTTTAACTGACAGGAGTGCCACCCCGTGTGGTCTTTTGGTGCTGTAGCTCATCCGCCTCAAGGTTTGACATGTTGTGTATTCAGAGATGCTCTTCTGCATACCTCGTTGTAACGAGTGGTTATTTGAGTTACTGCTGCCTTTCTATCAGCTTGAACCAGTCTGGCTATTCTGCTATGACCTTTGGCATCAACAAGGCATTTATGCACACAGAACTGTCGCTCACTAAACATTTTCTCTCTTTCGGGCCATTCTCTGTAAATCCTAGAGATGGTTGTGCGTGAAAATCCCAGTAGATCAGCAGTTTCTAAAATACTCAGACCAGTCCGTCTGGCACTAACAACCATGCCACAATCCAAGTCAATTAAATCACCTTTCTTCCCCATTCTTATTCTCTGTTTGTACTGCAGCAGATCGTCTTGACCACATCTACATGCCTAAAGGCATTGAGTTGCTGAAATGTAATTGGTTGGTTAGAAATTTGGGTTAATGAGCAGTTGGACAGGTGTACCTAATAAAGTGGCCGTTGAGGATAGATAGATAAATAGATAGATAGATAGATACATGCATAGAAACATACATAGATACATACAGTATATATACAGTTGACGTGAAAATTATTAGCCCTCCTGTGAAATCTTTATTTTTTTATATTTCCCAGGTATTGCTTTAGAGAACATGGACATTTTCACAGTGTTTCCTATAAAAAATGTTTCTTCTGGAGAAAGTCTGAATACTTGTATATCGCAATATATAAATAGTAAAATAGTATGTACTGTCATTATGGCAATGACAAAAGAAACTTTGTAAAAATTATTAATTTCACAGAAAGTGCTTATAATTGTGATGTCAACTGTATATAACCATAAAATATGAAACACAGAAAGTTTAAACTAAGTTAATGTAGACATCACAGCATAATTTAATACCGTATGAAATGGAAGATAAAGACTTCAAGAGGACACCAAAAAGAGGAATGAGCATGAAATCCACTTTATTAATTTTTATTCAAAATAACTATATTAGGCCAATAATTATTTAAATTTTACAATTGAATGTTTACATAAAGAATTTAGTTAAAGAATTGACTAAAGCTGTATTGGTCTAATTAAAAATGTCTATATTAAAAAAAAACTTTTTTAAGGGTTTTTAGACATCATAAAGAGTCCATATATTGTAAATAATATGCAAGATAAATACAGTTTATAGATGGAGATTTACTAAATGGCTTTATGTTATAAGCACTTTTTAAAGTGTAACTTGAATTAAGAATAAAAATATTACAAAAGTCACAATGTAGGAATATTGAGCATGAACAATTAAATATCTAATATAATTTCTTAAATATCCAAGATGAACAATGCTGATAAAAAAAAAAACACGTCTTAAAACCACTGTGATGAAATGGTCCAACAAAATTAAAATGCTTCGAAAATTCACCTTTTTTTAAAATACATTCAAATGTTATCACAAATATTTAATTGTTTGTGTTTTCTCTCCATCACAGGTTTAAAACTCTTGTTGGTCTGGTTCGCTCGATTCCGTCATTACCACTCACCAAATGCTTCGGATATTTTGTACTGGTTGCATTTGGAATAGAGTTACTAGTAAGTGCTTACAGCAAATGATTTCTGAGAAACACTAACACTGTGACAACCAAACAGACACCCTGCTACCAAAAAGCAACACACATTCCTGACACATAAAGAATCAAGCATGCAAAATCAAATGTGTTTTAGCACACACAGAACAGACAGATAGCAAATTTTCAGTTCAGACTTTCAGCAGTGTTTAAGCCCATTTAGTCGCGTTCTGGACATGACAGACACTGTTTCCGTTTATATGTTTGCAGTTTATTGTTAGAAGCATGTAGTTCTCTTATAATATGAGGTGTTAACTATGACACTTTTCATTTATTCCTTGGTGGTTTGTTTGTTTTTTTAGGTCATGAGTTTTTTTTATCGGGCCATGTTGTCCTTGGGCCTTGTGGTGTTGGCACTATGGCCTGTGGTTTCTGGCTTCTATACAAAAGCCAAGGTAAGGTGACCCGATCAGACCTTTTTCGATAGGACAGGGTTCACATCCAAATCTGCCATGATTTACAGAAGACACACACAAACACTAATTTTATTTATTATTATTTAATTATTTATTTATTTCATACGGACATCAAATTTCACTGGACAACCAAATGCATTTGTTTGTGTTGTAGCAGACTTGCTAATTATCAACACCTGTCTACGAGAGGCTAGACAAAATGAAAATAAAATAGATACAAATACACAACATTATAATTTTTACATAAAATTATTGTAAGGCGAAAGCAAAGGCGGCATGATCAAACAAACTAATAGTAGATTATTTGTACAAACACTGCTGTTTTGTTTTTTACCACTTTTAAAGAACACCACTAAATTTAGGCTAACAAGTAAATCATTCCACAATTTGGTTCCTTTAACAGAAAAAATCTGATTGACTTAAAGAGGTCTTATACTTTGGCACTAGACAATCACCATTAGCAGTTGCTTGTGTGACTGTGAGTGGGCTGATGGCTACTGATTAGATTTAAAAACACCATTGGAACATGATTACTTACACTTAAAAAAAACTATTTAATATAATAAAATTTAATAAAACTATCAAAGCTAAAAAGCTTATGCTAACATAAAACTTCACAATGATGCCAATCACATAGGCTTTAATGTGACAGTAGTTTAAAATCAGGCATATTCATAACAAAAATCACTTGATCACATGTAGGATAGGGAAATGTCCTTGAGCTGGGATTCAAACATGGGACGCGCTAACCGCTAGGCTATTGCGCCGACTGTGAATGCTTTTTAAGAACTCTAATCTAACAGGCCTTCCTGTTTTTGAGGCTCACTAATGGTTTACATCTTGTAGTTAAACCTCTGTATTTACTCTGGTGAAGTCTTCTCTTGACTGTTGACTCTGACACACATACACTTACCTACTGGAGAGCGTTCTTGATCTGGCCAACTATTGTGAAGGGTGTTTTCTTCACCAGGGAAAGGATTCTTCAGTCGTTCACCAAAGTTGTTTCTATGGTCTTTCAGGTCTTTTGGTGTTGCTGAGCTCACTGGTGCATTCTTTTTTTTTTTTAATGTTCCAAACAGTTGTTTTGGGCACGTCTAATGGTTTTGCTATCTCTCTGATGGGTTTGTTTGATTTTATTTTTTTAGCCTTTCAGCTTGCTTGACTGATAGTAAAATCTCATTAGATCTCATCTTGAGAGTTGACAGCAACAGATTCCAAATGAAAATAGCACACTTGAAATGAGCTCATATTTTCAATGGAATTTCTGCCCTAGCCTGCTGCTAATGACAGCGCCTGTGTTTAAACGGTCTTTCGTCTCTTTTTACGCTTAAGGCAAGGCAAATTTATTTATATAGCTCATTTCTTACACAATGGTAATTCAAAGTGCTTTACATAAACAAGAATAAAAGATACAAGAAAATAAAAACGATTTAAACAATTGAAAATGATTAAAAAAGAATAAAAACAGATTGAAATGGGTTTAAAACTGGGTTATAAAAAAAGAAAAAAGAAAAAAAAGACAATAGTGCGATCTGTCGGACGTAGCACAGTGCTAATTCAGTAAAAGCACAGCTAAACAGATGTGCTTTCAGTCTTGATTTAAAAGTGCCTCATGTTGGAGCACATCTGATTTCTGGAAGCTGATTCCAGCAGCGGGTGGTGCAGTAGCTAAAGGCCGATTCACCCTACTTTGATTGAACTCTTGGAATTTTCTAATTTACTTAATCCTAATGATCTGAGGGATCTGTTAGGCTTCAGTGAACATATCTGTAATGTATTGAGGTCCTAGGCCATCTTGTGATTTATAGACAAGTAATAATACTTTAAAATCTATTATGAATGTAACTGGGAGACAGTGTAAAGTCCTGAGGGCAGGTGTGATCTGCTCTGATTTTTTGGTTCTGGTCAGAATCATGGCAGCAGTGTACTGGATGAACTGCAACTGTCTATTATCTGTGGATATAATAGCTGTGCATATAGGCCATTTCTTTTGTCTTTGCCATGATGACAATGGATAATATTTTACTATTTAGTTTAAAGTGCAATTTAATGGTTTGATCTGCAGCTAATGAAAAACTAATAACTTCTTGAGGGGGCTAAAACATTGACCTTAGCAGTATTAACATAAAAAGATAAATAAATGAATTCGACCAAACTAAAAGAAATAACTTTCTCCAGAAACAGGATATTATAGGAAATGTCGTTGCTCTGTTACAAATCACTTGGAAACTTAGAAACTTGGAAATTTGGAAACATTTAAAAAAAAAAGCCAATTATTTTACTTGTGTGTTTTCACAAAATGTTTTCAAGACCTTAGTGAGTTTGCATGATTTCTATGTATATAAAATACATTTTGTAAATCTAATTTAATGTAGATAACATTTTTAAACACATTTAATATTGAAAACACACATAGAAACAACACTTTGTGACCAAGAGGTTGCTGGCTTTTTTGCTGATTTTTCTTTTGAATTCTCTGTAGTTCAAGTCTCTGAGCTGGACGCTGAGTTGTCTCTCACTGGCTGTGTTTCCCCTGTTGCCTGTTGTGGGACGGGAACCCAACATAAACTATGTGTGAGCACTCTGCTTTTATTTTAATGACTCAGCCCAAATCCTGTCCTACACAATCATTCCAAACTGTTTAAAAATTGATTCTGTCTGATGCTGCTGACACCAAGAAGACATAACTTAATGTGTTTTACCATAGGATTAGTGCTGGAGGGTTGATCCTCTTTAACTCGTCCTCATTCCTCTGGTCTTCATGGAGAGACTCTCCTCTGATGCGAAGGGATCGTCAGCTCTTCATTTTCCAGGTCATTTTTTTTCACTTCAATGACATTATTAGCACAGATATTTTGTTGCAGAGAGTTAGAGCCAGATTTACTAACAGCTAACAGATTAACTAAAGAAATACTGTAAATGCTTCTTGCTGGGCAGAGACATTAAGGGCAGAATTATTGTAATTTTTTTACACAATAAAACAATAAGCCCACAATGTGTTAATACTGATATTAGCCTGGATTATCTAAAACACAGCTAGATTTGGGCTGTCAGTGAAAATCTTATATATGTCTAAGAAACTAGACTAGTCGTCAAGTAAACAGAAATGAATGACTACACATATAAAGACTGTCTAATCTGTCTATTTTGGCCTAGATTAGATTTTCACTGACAGCCAAAGATTAGCCTTGTTTTAGCAAAGCTAAAAGCTTCCAGTTTAATAGGGTAGTTAGTTTTTTTGGCAAATATGTTGTATTGTAGTTGTCTGACTTACACCTCTAGTAAAAAACATAGGTGTTAACAAACCCTGCTATTTATAAATATTTATGTGCGTAATTACCCTAATTATGTCTTATGCCAATTTATACAGTTCAGAAAATCTGGTGGATGACCATTTTAATACTCCGTGAATGATTGAACTCATTACTATTGCAGTGAATACCCCTGCTTAAATCTATAAGTCTGTTATTATTCATTCATTCATTCATTCATTCATTCATTTATTTTCCTTCGGCTCAGTCCCATCAGGGGTTGCCACAGCGGAATGAATCGCCACCTTATCCAGCATATTTTTTACTCAGTGGATGCCCTTCCAGCTGCAACCCAGCACTGGAAAACACCCATACACTCACATTCACACACATACACTACGGCCAATTTAGTTTATATAATTCACCTACAGCTCATGTCTTTGGACTTGTGGGGAAAACCGGAGCACCCGGAGGAAACCCACGAAAACATAGGGAGAAAATGCTAACTCCACACAGAAATGCCAACTGACCCAGCTGGAACTTGAACCAGCGACCTTCTAGTTGTGAAGTGACAGTATTTACCACTAAACCACCTCGTCACCCCAATTCTGATATTACTAAACTAATAAGGAGCTGTAGAATTTGTGAGAAACAACTGCCTTGCAAAAAAGGGCATAGACCTGTGTGCATTTCTGTTTAGATGGTGCAGGTGGCGCTGTGTGCTTATACTCTGACCAGCACCCACTCTAGTCTGCAGCTGAAGCAAGGCCTGCCGATCTTCAACCAGCTAGTTAGCTGGAGCACACTAGGTTTGTCATCTTCTTTCCCATGATACTTCAAAACTTTGGATGCTCCATGTAGACTCACTGTATTTGTTCAAAAGCTTCTCTGAGTAGGGATGCAACGATTATAAATTTTGGTTGTACGATTATAGTCTGAGGAATATTTTTGATTATCACAATTATTTTGCATTTATCAATTTCAAAACACAACTAGTTTAGAAAATCACATAAAAACTCTTACAGTATTTTAAAGTGTCATTTATTGCTACTCGGTAACTAATTAATGCAGCACAGAATAATATTAAAAACAAACAATAGTCATTTCTATTTTGACTTAAAAATAAGTAAAAAAAAGTTTTTGGCTTTTAAACATTACATAACTAATAATTTTACACTAAAATAAATAACAGAACAACGAATGAATAAATCAATAAATATAAGAATAAATAAAAGAGTTGTATTTGTTTAATGTAAATCTAAGCTACATATTGGCTAAGCATTTCCCTTTTAAAGAGAACAAATGTAGTCAAAGACTGTTGAACCTCTGTCTGAAAGGCACATTTGACCAACTATATTACAAAATTTTTTGGTATTTTTCCTTTTGTAATTTTTTTTCTCTTTGGAATAGAAATGTGTATATTCTATACAAAATATGCGGTTAATCGGTCAATTCTTGTCACGTGACTCGCGGTGCACTCGCCACGTTCTTTCAACAAGGTGTGCCTGGAAAGCGTGAGAGTGTCACTCCCAATATGCAAGTCCCTCCACTGGAAATAACAAACTTGTGCTTGCAAAAGACACAAAATGTGAACAGACCTTAATTCATAGCCTCAGCCATAGAGCTCTTTTTTGACGATCCAGGCACAAAGTCCAAGGTGCAGGGCGCAAAAGCATTAAGGGTGTGTCCGAATCCATTTTTGCTATTTTAAGGATGGAAAAATCCGCTTTGTGCCGTGCCGCATGGTCTAACAGGGTTGAGCTTATTCTCTTAAAGAGTTATAGGTGTGTTTTGAGAATAGGAGAGTCTCATCTCCCTTTCCCTTTAAGAGTCATTTGTGTCGCTCCATAGCGCATTTGCTATTTACTTGCAGGACTTTGTAAGTGGAAAAACTGAGCGCTTCACCAATGGGTTGAAACAGAGTATCTACAGCGTGAGAATGAGTCTCCTCATTCTTTACTTTCACTTTCACTCTTGTGTATAGGGAAATGTGTTGTATGCACAGACATCCATTAGCCTATACATAATTAATTTATTTTGTTAAGCACAGATTTGTTTCAAAACTATTTCTAAATTCAGTTCCAATATCCAGCAAACGAATAAATGAAAAATAATAACGAAGTGCGGTAAAACAACTGAGTTATATTCAAATACACGTGCTATGCCCCATATGGTCTAAAACCTGACAGGTGGGCAAATCTAAGCTTGTTTTTAATAAAACAAATATAAATATGCATATAATAAATAATACTACTACTACTACTTCTACTACTACTACTACTACTACTACTACTACTACTAATAATAATAATAATCATACAAAAGCAAATTGTTTTGAATAAACTGAAAAAGCCCCAGAGGTGAATAAGGCATGAAAGTATGGAGTTTATATTTATGTAGGCTAGAAAATAATAATTTTTGTAATGTTTTCATCTTTTAATTCTTTTTCATTTGTAAAGATAATTGTGTATTGCTGTACACCCTGTGTGTCTTAAGCAATGTTTAAGCGAGGCGCACAACTAATGTGCTCTGTGCTGGACTTTAGACCTTCTCTCAGCTGGTCTATTAAGCAGCCTAGTTCCTCAAAATCGCAATGTGCCAGCAATGCACCTTAACACACCTCCTTTTTTAGACCAGAACGCCTATGGGCACCCATATGAATGCAAATGCATTTGCTATTTAAACAGCATGGTGCAAAACATCAAAACTACTCTTGCTCCGAGCTGAAACTAGCAAACAACAATTGCGTCGCGCCTTGCGCAACATTGTGTCAGGTGTATGATAGGGTCCATAGTGTGTGTGTGTGTGTGTGTGTGTGTGTGTGTGTGTGTGTGTGTGTGTGTGTGTGTGTGTGTGTGTGTGTGTGTGTGTGTGTATTAGCCTTGGTGTACAAGCTTGGAACTTCAAACTAGAGCACAGTTGGCATAACTTTGCATTTCTGCATGGAACAAAGCTGCTGCAAATAAACAATATTGATAAGCCTTTATGATTAATTAGCGGTTAATAGTGAAATCAGTTAGTTGTTGCATCCCTAAGTTAGTCCAGAGGCAGCAACAGCCTTTGTCGTAGCTTTATCACAAGTTTTTTATTTATTTTTTTATTAAGCTGAATCGCCACGAAAAAGCAGAATACAGGGAGATGTTATAGGAAGTTATTTAAAGATAAAGATATTTTATTCTAAAAGTATTTCAGTGGACAGAATGTAACATCTTCATTGGAATTTATGCTACCTATCTCTGTATTCTGCAAGCTTTCAGATGCAGGCAATTGAATTTAACCATTGTGCGTCCTTATGGATATATAATTTGGGTAAATAATTTAGTGTATTATTCCAAAAAGCTAATTTGTGCCCTTTAAAGTGTATTTTAATTGAACTTTTAATATTTCATCCTTATTTCCTTTCAAAAATGGATGTTACACTATGCACAATAATATTTATGTGAGTGAATACATGAAAATATGAAAGAATATTTGTAGGACTGAAAAAAGTAGGAAATCTGTCAATTCAAGTGTAAAAATATAATACTTTTATGTCTTTTTAACAGACATTTTTGTCCTCTAAAATCTGTTTTTTAAACAAATTTTTTAACTGATGCTCAAGTGTTAATATGCTAGTTCACCTGAATATTCTCATTTTGTGAGCATTTACTCACCCTCATGTTGTTGCAAACTAGCTTAACTATCTTTTTTCTGTGGAACACAAAAGAAGCTATTTAACGGAATGTCTCAGGAGGTTCAGTGTTATTTTAGACCCCCAAAATATCTTCTTTTGTTAATGAAGAAATTAAGTCACTTGATTGAAAGCACATGAAGTTGAGTAAATAGTGTGAACTCTTACATTGATCATTTGAATTCTTACAAGTGCCTCCTTATAATCTTAAATAATTAATGCAGAGGCATATATAAATAAGCCAATGGTAATAAGTGATGCACAAGTTTAACCAAAGAATTGCACTTCTCCTTTTCTTCTATCCTGTGCATGTTTCAACCCTTATTTTTACACTTTTTTTTCAGTTTCCTCCTTTTTGATACCATTGTTGAGTTCCACCAGACTCTTTCACAGACTTCTGAGTATCCTGATGTCATTGACGTGTGTCTACCTTCTCCTGAGTACAGGGTAAAAAAAATCATTAATAAATCTTCAAAGTGTCGCCTTTTTTTTGCAGTCTTATATGTCTAACAGGAATTCAGCATGTTTGTTATAGTCAAATTGTTTTCTCGTGGGTGCTTAATTTAAGGAAACGGATTTTTAAAATGAAACCACATGTTCTTGCAGTAAGCAGTCAAGCTGCAAATGTCTTAATTCAGCTTCTGACTGGTTTCAGTGATGCAGACAGAACGTTTAAATAATAAAGAAATAATTCCTAATGATCGCAACGGCCCTTTTTTAAATTAAATTATTAGATCTAAATTCTGAAATCAAAAATGCATTAAAACAGATATTATATATATATATATATATATATATATATATATATATATATATATATATATATATATATATATGTATATATATATATGTGTGTGTGTGTGTGTGTGTGTATGTATATATATATATATATATATATATATATATATATATATATATATATATATATATATATATATATATATATATATATATATATATATATATATATATATATATATGTGTGTGTGTGTGTGTGTGTGTGTGTGTGTGTGTGTGTGTGTGTGTGTGTGTGTGTATATATATATTAGTTGGCATGTAGAGATGCAATGTGACTTAAATTCAACGAACGGACCATCAAAATAAAAAGTGACAATAAACTTTATTGTAAATAAATCAAATTAAAATTTTTATATAGACAATAATATTACTGAAATTAATTTAAAAACTGAATAAATATAAATTTACACACTTTTACACACAGTAAGTAAATTAATAGACTAAAACAGGGTTGGCCACCACTGGACTAAACGATGGACCAAAAATCTGCAAAATCTGTGAATTTCTGCATGCGCAGATTCTGTTTGAGTCTAGTTATTAGTAATGCGTTTTCTAGTTAAATGATAATTAATGTGATAAATGATTAACTATTTTTTTTAAATGGCAATTTCCTCTCATTTCATATTATATTTTACATTAAAACATTTTATTCCATTTTCTGTTTTGTATTTGTTCTGTAAAGGCATGAGGCTCTTTTTCCTCTGATGCTGTCGTGGCTTATGCTTGCATGGATTCACATTGAGCAGGAAGCCATGTCCAGACAAGGAAGTTCAAATCGAAATGAGGTAACACTGTCCTTTCCTGCTACAGTGGATTATTTAGGCACTTCCTTGTGAGAAATAACTTCAAAAGTGTGGCTAAAGATATTAGTTTGTGAAATTTATTGTCTGTTAATAGTGATTGTTGTCGGTCAATCGCTTTGAAAAAAAAAAAAAAAACCTTTTTGTAGTCCAAAAGCAATCATTGCGTGGATGAATAAATGCCTATTGACATCCTAGCTTGATAACAATTATTGCAACAATAAATATATTTGCCTACACACTAGGAATGGGATGGTAATTGCTTTCAAGGTATCCCGCAGTTGTGTTATACAGTTGCTATGATAAATGTAAGATTTGATTTTTGTGTGTTTTAAGGCAACAATATCTCCAGCAGAAAAGATTTTTTTAAATTGTAATGAAACAAATGAAGACAGCAGAAGTCAATGATTGATTTGAATTATTCAGCCTTACATGTTTACTGTTCCAAACTACTTTAAATGTTTCTCAAGATAAAATATATTGTGTTCAAAGTGGAAAAAACTTTAAGTTTTTTGCCTTTAATTTTAAAAAGAATATATTATAGAGCAGTAATCACAATACCGTAAAACCGTGATATTTTTATCCAAGATTATCATCCCATCAGAATCTTATTCCGGCCCATGCCTAGTTCACACTGACGAATGATAATTTTATATATGCTGGAATATGCTGGAAACCCACGGGAGCACGGGGAGAACATGTAAACTATGAACAGAAATGACGGCTCGCCTAGTAAGGATTAAAGTCGGCGACGTTCTTGCTGTGAGGCAACAGTGCTAACCACTGGGCTGCTGTTTCGCCCAATCTAGGAAAAAAGAGGAGGAGGAATAGGGAAGGAATGGGGGATTCTTCACGACGAATATAAAAGTGGTATAAAGTCTATGGTTATTTATAGTGACTAAGGTATAGTCTGATTGGAGAAACATGGATAGCTAATGCGGGTCCAGCCGTGGTCAATCATAAGCACATGATCCTCTAGAAATTAGTTTACAAATAAACCTATCGGTCCAGTTTGTAAAAGTGACCCACTATACCTCTATATCTCCCCACTAAAAAAAGGTTTCAGGGCAAGTACGATGTATACATATCGAGCCACTTTTGAACTTTTATTGCATACACATACACGATGTTCATCCACAAACTAAGCAGCCTGAGTACTGACGTTACACCAGTCTGTCAAACTTCGACGTTCTTCCTAGTTTACTTAAACAGTTGCTAGGATATAAAATGGCAAGCGTACCATCCCCGAACTATAACAAACTGAGAGAAGAGAAAAAAATTACTCTTGCGTCTTGATGCATACCTGGACACAACCTATTGGCTAGGAATGGTAATACACAAATCCATAATCTATTAGAATTATGACATATATGAAATGCAACATAAATGTGCCTGCATTTAACCTAACATGGTAAATATACACACTTGTATCTTTTTTCAAATACTCTGGAACATAATAACATCTATCTTTAATAATATACATATGCAGACAATAGTGACACATACTGGAAAGTCCTACTGTACGTTATTGTAATAGTTGTGGGTCTGAACTCTGCTGTTTTTTAACATTAAGAGTATTTTTTGTACTCTATCTTTATCGCTTATCTTTGTAATTATTATGCTTAGTATGAAACAGACATTAACAAGGTTTAATTTCTTATTTTTTTCAGCTCTCCTGCATTGATTTTGCCGAAAATATCGACATCACCAAAGTCCGTCAGCTGAGATTGGACGACATTCGGAAATCTTACTTTTTTGCATCCTTTTACTTTAGACTATTTGATTTTTGTGTTTTGGATTTGCTGAAATATTTAAAATGTGTACAACCCTTAACAGTATAAATAGGTGTTTTTCATAATAATTGCATTCTTCGGCTGTGGAAATATTGCATCTATCAACAGGTAAACTGCTTGTTTGCAATTAACACAGTACTACAGTATGAATCACATTCAAGTTTAATAATGCCTTCATCTACCCTCAAAGTTTTGATCCAGCGTCAGTGTATTGCTTTCTGACCGTCTTCAATCCTTTCATCATGGGTGGTCTGCTGATGTGGAAGGTATGGCACTTACTGAACATAAAGTTTTGTTGGGGCTACTGTTTTATTTTATGCTGTTAAATTCTCTTTCAGGTTTTAATCCCATTTGTAATTGTGATGTGCACATTCGAAAGCATTCAAGTGTCAACGCAGCTCTCCTCACGAAGGTACTTTAAATTACAGAATTAGCATAGCAGGAAACAAAAATGTTTTATTTTTCTTCTTAAAGCATTTGATGTTTTAGTTCAAGCCTTCATGTTCACTTCCTTGAATTATTGCAAATATCAGGTTGTATATGTCAAGTATTTGCAAAACAAATAAACTAAAGTCCAACATGGAAAACTTCCCTAAATAGAACTAAATATAAGCTCAATATTGATTTGTGTATTGTATAGTTTTAGGGTCTTATTTTGCATATGTTCACATATAATCTGCATTTTATTTTCTAGTCTTTTCCTCATCGTACTTGTCATATCAGACTTGATGGCATTGGTAAGTTTGGTTTAGAGAAAACTGTAGCAAAATGCTGAGTAAATCTTTTATCAGTGCAAAAAAACTCATTTTTAATGAAATTTTATTAACCGTTTATCTTTTTCACCAGCACTTCTTCTTCTTAGTTAAAGATTATGGAAGCTGGCTTGACATAGGGACTAGGTAGGTTAATTGTATTATATTTCAGAAGATTTTAGCTAAAACTATCGTCTTTGGTGATCCTTATTAATGCAAGTTAGTGGCTGCATGAACATTGAGTGTCAAAAAACACATACAGGCAAACCAAAATGTATACCAATGGCTTCTGGGGTTTGTACCATGTAGCCAGATTAGCTAGATAAGGTTAGTATTTAGTGAAACCTTTTTCAAGATAACATCCACTGATAATGTATTTTACTGTTTTGACAATATATTTTAGATGATTTATACTTATTTTATTCATAATGCATCGGATATAATTTTTGTTTAATAACCAACAAGTTTAATTGTACAAATGTACAATGTAAATTTATATACATTATACATTTAAGTACAGTTGAAGTCAGAATTATTAGCCCCCTTTTTTATTTATTTTTATTTTTTTTAAATATTTTTCAAACTATGTTTAACAGGGCAAGGAAATTTTCATAGGATGTCTGATAATATTTTTTCTTCTGGAGAAAGTCTTATTGAAAATTATCTAATCAAATATTAGTTACTGTCATCATGGCAAAGATAAAATAAATCAGTTATTGAAATGAGTTATTAAATGAGTTATTAAAACTAATATATTTATAAATGTGTTGAAGAAATCTTCTCTCCGTTAAACCGAAATTGGGGAAAAATAAACAGGGGGTCTAATAATTCAGGGGGGCTAATAATTCTGACATCAACTGTATATACAGCTGCAATTTAAAGCTTTATTTTTATGGAGATAAAGCTTCAAAAATGAAAACCGCTGATCTTAGATTTCCCATTCTTCGTATACCTATATAGCATGCATTATTAACTATATAACCTATATAAACTTCATGTCTCTAAAGCACGATTGGTTGATTGCTGCTGATTTTTCGTCTTCGTGTTCATGCGCTTACAAACTCAAGATGAAAGCTAACAGTGACTATGTTTACGTGGACATCAGTAATAAAATGATTTGCCTTAATCTGAATAGGACAATAATATGATTAAGATGTTTACTTTTCAAATGTTAATTTCATGTTACTGTTTTACATGTTATAGCACATAGTTCGATTAACGCCATTGTGTCTCCACGCCATCAATATTTCCTCCAGAGTTTCGTGTAATTTTGTGTGTTTCATTTTTAATGTGTTGACTTTAACATTAGTTTGGCACTTTCCCTTTCATTCAGGAATATTTTATGCATGCCCCCATGACAAAAGAGATATTAGATGCGAGTATGAACTGCTAGAAGAGGGTTGTTTTAATAGAATTTGATACTGCATGCCTTATGGAGAGAAAAAACTCAGCATTTCACGATGCAGCTGTCTGTGGTTCTTCACAGACTTGGTAGATGTGGAGAATAGTGTCAAACAGCTGTGTGTGTAGACTATACGTATGCAAAATGCGGCGAAAATCCTACATGACAGTAATAGTTTGATTGCGACCGTCAGTACTGCACTTCAATAATGCGACTAAAATCGGCATACTCTACAAGTCTTAATTCGATTTCTGTTTAGTTACATTATGACCTTAATCGGAGTAATCAAAAATTGCTGTCTACATGGTAGACTCTTACTCAGAGACAGAGTAATTGCATTAAATCGTATTATTGGTGTCCATGTAAACATACTGAAATTAGTGAAAGTTAATCAGAGCATCATGGTTCCAACAAAGCCTGATTGCGTTGGTTTTGGGTCAACTCTAATCCTGTAATCTTGAGTTTGTTCATCCACCTGTCAAGTCTAATGACTTGAAACAATTAGCCTGTGCAAGAAGCTAATCATTATTACTTCTCTTTAAAAGCCTTAGAGAACAACTACATTACCCATGATGCTGTGCAGAAATTCCCTCCAATCAGAAAGCATTATTTTAATTTTCAGGTAACACTTTACAATAAGGTTGTATTAGTTAATGTTAGTTAATGCATTTACTAACATGATCAAATAATAAACAATACATTTATTAGAATATGTGTTCATGTTAGGTATACTTTAATACAGTTGTTCATTGTTCATGTTAACGCACAGAAAATCAACTAATATTAATAAGCATGAATTTGGATTTGAATAATGCATTAGTAAATGTTGAACTATGATTATTTATAGCTTTTTAGTGGTTAGTAGTAGTGGTTGACTTGCAGTTTTATAAATCACCATGGACGACAGTTTTAACAGCACATTTTCTTCTTTTAATGAACTTCTATCACTTGATATAATCATAAGGAAAACAAAAAAACTTTTTCATTTCACATTTGACTTTGTATTTGGGTAAATGCAAAGTTATCATGTTAAAAAGGTTTATTTTGCATTGCAGCATCAGTCATTATGTCATCGTAATGTCCATGACCATCTTCCTCATGTTGCTGAGTGTCATGACGCACATATTAACATCCAAGAAGATCCTCCTTGGACGGAGCCGAAAGATGCACTTTAGGTGACCCCCTCGTACCTGGATCTCCCCGTCTCATTGTTTACAAGGTGCAAAAAAAAAAATCATTGAACATTGAACTGCACAATGATCTGACTGGTGTGGGGTCTTCCTGTTACTGGGAATTTCTTAACATCAGTATTGCTTAAGACAAATGACTTTGCATCATCCTGTCTTAAAAGCAAGAAACGCTCTGGTGTACTAATGTTTAGGATTTATGTTTTTAAATGTCAGTGGGAATTTTTACAATAATTTAAATGTACTGTATGGTTTATGCCAAAGGACAGGAAAGGAATGTTACTGTACGGATGTGTCAACTGATATTAACTTGGATCTAATCCTTGTAAGGTATAACAGTAAATGTGTTATTTGTTTAATACAGTATTTTATTAATGTGATGTAAATATGTTAAATAATTTATTAACATTAAACTTATAAATTAAATGTTGGGCATTTTTTAAATATGACAAACAATACCTTGATTTTTATCAGCACATTGCCAAATGACACTGCTAATAAAATACTTAAGAAACAAAAAGTACTTTTAAAAACTTTGGATTCAGTAAAACTTACTTTTATTAATAAAGGATAGATTAAATTAATTAAAATTGATTAAAATTAACTGTAAAGTGTGAATATTATGTAGATACATAGATAGACTACCTAATAAAAGTCTTGTTGTCGATCCCAGTTGTAAGAGCAACAAATATAATTGACTTCTAGTTGATCATTTAGAAGTGGCAGAAGGTTAGATTTCTCTGATGAGTCAGCTGTCGAACTGCAGCTCAATCTTTACAAATACTGCAGAGACCTATTGGAACCTGAAGATTCTCACAAGATATCAGTCAAGTTTGGTAGAGGAAAAATCATGGTTTGGGGTTACATTCAGTATGAGGCGTGCAAGAGATTTGCAGAGGGGATGGCAACATCAACAGCCTGAGGTATCAAGACATTTGTGCTGCCAGTTACATTACAAACCATAGGAGAGGGCAAATTCTTCAGCAGGATAGCGCTCATTCTCATACTTCAGTCTCCACATCAAAGTTCCTGAAAGCAAAGAAGGTCAAGGTGCTCCAGGATTGGCCAGCTCAGTCACCAGATATATGAACATTATTGAGCATGTATGGGGTAAGATGAAAGAGGAGGCATTGAAGATGATTCCATAGAGTCTTGATGAACTCTGGGAGTCCTGCAAGAACGCTTTCTTTGCCATTTTAGATGACTTTATTAATAAGTTATTGCAGAGATGTATGGATGCAGTCCTCCAAGCTCATGGGAGTCATACACAATATGAATTATTTTTCCACTGCACTTTGACTTTATATACAATGCTGTACATTATTCTATTAAGTGACAAGACTTTTGTCTAAGCAAAGTCAGACCTTACTGTCCTAATTAAATAAAGGCATGATCATATTTTATTTTGGTAAAATAATCTAGAGAGCTTTCCTTGTCATATAAGCCACTTCTAATACCAAACGATCAACGAGAAGCCAAGTTATTATTTGTTGTTCCTAAAATCTTCCTCTCTATATACAGTTGAAGTGGGAATTATTAGCCCCCTTTTGTTTTTTTTTAAATCTTTTTTAAATATTTCCCAAATGATGTTTAACAGACCAAGGAAATTTTCACAGTATGTCTGATAATATTTTTTCTTCTGGAGAAAGTCTGATTTGTTTTATTTTGGCTAGAATAAAAGCTGTTTTTACATTTTAAAAACCATTTTAAGGTCAAAATTATTAGCCCCTTTAAGTTATATATTTTGTTGAAAGTCAAACCATCGATATACAATAACTTGCCCAATTACCCTAATCTGCCTAGTTAACCTTAATTAACCTAGTCAAGCCTTTAAATGTGACTTTAAACTGTAGAGAAATGTCTTGAAAAATATCTAGTGTAATATTATTTACTGTCATCATGGCAAAGATAAAAGAAATCAGTTATTAGAAATGAGTTATTAAACTATTATGTTTAGAAATCTGTTGAAAAAAATCTTAAACAGAAGTTGGGGGCGAAAATAAACAGGGGTGCTGATAATTATGACTTCAACTGTATGTATTATCTTATCTTAAAGAAAATTCTATAAACATTTTTTTAATACTTGTTACATAGAAACTTTTTTTCTCACAAGCAATGTCCATTAATAACTTACTAATAAAGCACATCCCCTGCAGCTGTGACAAACAGGGGAAACCCAAAACCACAACCACAACCTTGTTGCTTGTAAGGTTTAAAGTAGGTAAAAGTATGCTCTGCTGGACTTATTTGTTGGTGCTTATAGGTTGTAATAAGAGAGAATGGTAAGAGGCTCTGTTACAGTATTCTGATTCATGTCAAGATAAACGTTGCTGTAGTAGATAGCTGTGATCACAACTAGCATCTGAACATGGCAGAGTTGTAGGTTGGCAATGCGGCTATCATTGTTTTTGTAGTTTCCTGGTAAACTGAAGTGTCAAATGCGCAAGAGTGTGAATCATGAAGCACCCAGCAGTCCGGCCTCTTTGTCAAGAGTGTGTTCTAATGCTGTGGTTGCTGAATAAGTGAATAGCCGAGGCAGAAAACTCCATACCTTACTTCCTCATCTGGTCTACTATCTCCAGCTTCTGCGCTGTTGCTGTAAGGGTGAGTGTCTCGTTTCACTTTCTCATTATTGCTCTTAAGTAAACTCATTTAAACTCTATAAGTGCACATTGTTGTAAAAGACATGAAATGTCTTGTTTTTTATTTTTGGAAGGTGAAAGTATCACTCTAAGCAAATATTCTGTTCTGAAATGTTAGATTTTGTTTTATTTTAGTGTATACTTAATTTTAAAATATACATTTAAAGGTATGCAAAGAAATTCACTTAAACAACAGCCTTGTATCTGTCTGTTTCTACTGCACTGTAAAAAGTGAAAACTTAATTCATTTAATTGTAACAAGTCGAAGTAAGTTGTTTAAGTTAAACTAAATTAATTTATGACAGTTTTCAGTAATAAATAATTAAATTAGTTATTTTATGTGTAACAGGTTTTAGTAATTTATTTTAGAAAACAGGAATGGAACAGTACATACAGTATGATACAAATTATTTAATATAATATTGTAAATATAAAAATAGTAAAAAGTACTTTTATACAAATAATTGCCTTCTCTTGTTAATATAAAAATAATACTTGTGGCAATTAAAAAATTATGTTTTGTGGCAAATACAAGTATAGCTCGTTATTGATAGTGTACAATACTTATACTTTCCATAAATATATTACTAAAACCTATTACACCTTAAATGACTAGCTTAATTTGTTCATTTTTCAAACTTATATTATTTAATTGTAACAAGTCAAAGTAATTAGTTTAAGTTTCCACTTTTTACAATGTGTGCACTGTAAAAACGAATGAATTGAAATTGTAAACAAACTCAGTAGTTGGTAATACTTTACCTAAAGTCCTGTATTTACATCAGCTAATAAGCAATTCTTAGACAGTATTTTAATTACGGATCATTTAAAGTGTTTGTGGCTTGATTTAAAGGAGCTGGAATTGTTCATGTTTATTGGAGACCTTATACACGTGCTGTTTATTATATACTTTATTTAGTGCTATATGTAAAATTTGTAAAGGAATGCAAAAAGGGTTTTCACAATGCATTCTCTAACGCAATACGTATTTGTTTGTCTGTTTCTACAGTGCACTTTAAAAACCGCTGTTGTATGAGCTAACATTGAGCAATATGTCGCACGTGATACAGTGTTTAAATTTTTTTAAATAAATGCTAATAAAAATTTGTTTATTGTAGTTTATGTAAGCTTGAGTCTTGTAAATAATATAAACAAAAACTATTTGCATAAAAAACACGCCACAGTGTACCGTTGTTGATGAAATGAAGTTAATGTTAGCAAAATACAGTTAAAGAGCTGATTTTTTCAACAGATTTCTAAACATAATATTTTATAACTTATTTCTAATAACTGATTTCTTTTTTTTTTGCCATGATGACAGTACATAATATTTGACTATATATTTTTCAAGACACTTCTATACAGCTTAAATTTACATTTAAAGTGTTAACTGGGTTAATTAGGTTAACTAGGCAAATTAGGGTAATTAGGCAAGTTATTGTATAACGATGGTTTGTTCTGCAGACTATTGAAAAAATATATAGCTTAAAGGGGCTAATAATTTTGACCTTAAGTAACTCTATGACTTGTTTTAGCCTGTGGAGTGTAACATTTAAGAAAAGTCTTTGTATTTACAGTTATTCACTTGCATTATGTATTGAACTTTGTTTAAATGACAATGCCATGGAAGTGAATGGTAGACAAGGCTGTTTGATTACCAATGGTTTTCATATTTCACATTTTATTTTATTATTTTATGTTCCACAGTAATTCATGCAGGTTTGTGACACTGGTTCAATTTAAGACAAATTTGGGTGCGACTGCTCTGTTTAAGTCTTAATGCTGTAACATTGGTGGGATGTACATTAAACGGCGTCTAAGTTCACTTTCAAATGATGTGTTGGTGAAGTTTGATAACGTGTAATGAAAACTTGGACCATCATGTAATTATCGAGTATTCACACTCTTTTGTCAGGGCCAATGAAGAATAATTGTAATAATTAATAATAATTTGTAATAATAAGTAGTAATTAGTAATAATTGTTTGCATAGTGTTCACACTGTCAGAAAGTACAAACAGGACAATAGTTCCCCACACATAAACAAAGGAAACACATTTCCTAAGACTTTACTGAAAGATCAGCTTTGACGAGAAATCAAGCTGGTATGATTTAGCATTTTGTCCATGTTGTGACACCACTTCCTATTTTTGGTTGGTAGATCTCTTGGGTGCATGTTGCATTCATGTTTTAGTCAAACTTTTTCAAATGAACTACAATCACACCAACTAAACCTTACTCTTTCAAACCTGCACCACTAATTCTGTGGAATAAAAAATAAGGTATTCTGTATATTCATTCACTTAAACTGTAGGGACAAAACAATCAAAAACTGAGAGATTTTATTAAAAATTTGATGTTTCACAGAATAAAAAATATCCGGGTGAGTAGTACACACAGTTGCAATCAGAATTATTAAACCCCCTTTGATTTTATTTGATTTTTTTAAATATTTCCCAAATGATGTTTAACAGCAAGGAAATTTTCACAGTATGTCTGATAATATTTTTTTCTTATTTGGTTTATTTCAGCTAGAATAAAGGCAGTTTTAAATTTTTTTAAAAGTCATTTAAGGTCAATATTATTAGCCCTTTTAAGCTATATATTTTCAATTGTCTAGAGAACAAACTATTGATATACAATAACTGACTAATTCCCCTAACCTGCCATGTTAACCTAATTAAGCCTTTAAATGTCTCTTTAGGCTGTATAAAAGTGTCTTGAAAAATATCTAGTCAAATATTATTTACTGTCATCATGGCAAAGATAAAATAAAGCAGTTAATAGAAATGAGTTATTAAAACAATTATGTTTAGAAATGATCACTGATCTTTTAAAGAAATCAGACCTCAAATGTGGCAATTTTATAATGAAAAGTCCATATGCATTAGGTCTAGTTATTAAAACAAATCTACTGGTAAGTTAAATTAAAATAAAATCGATCTGTCTATTAAGATGAGATACTGCAGGTAAAAAACTCTATGCACCAGAAAACTTATTAACTTTTTTCAGAGTAATGGAAAAAATGTTTCCCCCACCTTTTTTGTCCCACCTTATACATTTTGCCTGTAGATGTGAATTACAATATTTTTAAAGATGTCACGATCGCAATTTTACTCTTAATCGTTAACACGTATAGCCTAAAATATTTAGTCATTTCACTGTTCAAATGAGCTGAAGAGAATCAAACAGAGCTCTATTTCATTTTTAGATCAGAAATTTCAGAGATCTGTTTGATTCTGATTAGAGAAAAAGATAGCCATCTACTGATTTAGAGTCATTACAGGACAGATACTTTAATAAGGATTAATTTGCTATATTTAACTTATACAAGTAATTGTGTCTCCTTGAAAGAATCATTGATTCTCTCCACACCAAATCGCCTATACTGCTTGATGTGCTATTGATATGGCAAGGCATTTTTACAAGTTCAGTCTATGGCAAGCCATTTTGCATGTATCGCTTAAAAATGATTTCTCAGTAGATATCATACACTTTTTTTGTGTTTGACTCATGCTAGCAATAAGACTTCTTGTATGCTACACGTGCTAGCATTGTGTAGCTGTGCTAATAAAAAGTTGTTAAGTGCTATAACACACTAGAAATGCTAAGTATTAGGATTTGATCAAACATGTAAATGAGGCTTGCCAGTTAACAACGCAGTGGACCCTAGCAACTGCCTAGGAACCACTCAGAACACCCTAGCAACCGTCTAGCAATGCCCAGGCAACTACTTAGCACCACTTAGCAATCACTGGGCTTCCTGCCAATTGCCTTCGAGTCCTAGCGCAGTCAAGTTGGCTTTCTCAAGCCAACATCAAATTTTTTAATAATAAAAAACATTTTATTATTATTATTATTATTATTATTATTATTATTATTATCATACTAATTTTTAGAGTTTTTTGTTCATACATGTATTCTGAAGGTTTTTACAGAGTGATCGTTCATTTAAAATTTGCCTGATTATATACATAATTTAATCCACTAAATTCTTCATTTTTTTGACTGTCAGAATTTTAACCAAACTTCATCCAAAATTGGTTCTACCAATTTGCACAATCATTTAATTTACCAATGCATTGTTTGCATATTTAAAAATAACATAAGTCAATTTATTCCCTTGTCACCTACTGTACAATGTCTTGCTTTAAATACCTTCATCAGACTTGCATTTGAGTTCCACTATGTTTTCTTTCTAGGTATCATGATGACAAACGCCACAGTTTCCAACTTCACCAGTCCTACAGTGACATCTGTTTCTATTTCAACATCAGCAGAACCCAAAGCCCAATTCAGCCAGCCCATCAGAACCACTCTTATTGTTATCTACATCATCGTGCTTCTAGTGGGTATGACAGGCTTGACTTTCATGATCAGCTTATTAAAAACCAACATTCGCTCATTAACCACCATCGCCTTCTTGAACCTGATGGTTGCCCACTTTCTATTCTTGATCACCGTGCCATTCAGAATCTACTACTTCGTATCGATGGAATGGAAGCTAGGCCCGGTTTTTTGTAAACTGGTCAGCGCCATGGTACATCTCCACATATACATGGTGTTTACCATCTACGCCATCCTCCTCACTCTCCGTTTCTTGCATTTCTACAAGAAGACGCAAAGGACTGAGTTCTATCGCCGTTTGCATGCATTGGGCATGAGCGCTTTTGTCTGGTTTCTCTTATTGGTCATTGTACTACCTCTGATTATAAGCAAATATGGTCAAAATAAAGAGCCAACAAATGAGCAGTGCTTTAATTTTGAGCAGACTCTGAAGAACGATGCTGTCTACGGCCTCAATATAATTCTGTCGTTGGTGATTATCATTGTTTCGTGCGTTCAGGCCTGCGTCCAGGTGTGCATCCTGCGCACGATGATCCTCAAGTATGGAGCCTCCAGTCGCTCGCAGCAGGAGTTTTGGGTCCAGATGAAAAACCTCTGCTTTGTGCTCATCATGCTAATCTGCCTGGTGCCGTACCACATGTTTCGCCTGGAATACCTGAATAAACCGAAAGAGCTAAATGAGATAAATGAAGTGTTTTTGGCCATCACGGGACTTACGTGCTTTGATATGTTGACCTTCGCAGGGAAGGGGTTGTGTAAGATGTGCTACTGAAAAGGACAACATGTATATAACACAGATGAAAAACTTATAAAACCGATGTAAAAGTTGTAAACTACTGGAAAGGGGTTTGTTAGAGAGATGTTATGTTATGTTGTTATGGTGAGAGTAATAAATAAACAGGAGACAGTGTTGATTATTTAAAATTACACGGTTTCTAAACAGCATGATGAGAAGAAAATGTAGAAGTATAAAAGAAAGCATCTGGTGCATATGGAGAGGAAAAGGGTCTCTCCTATAAGATTTCACTTCCAGGCAAAAGTTTTCAGATTACTTTTGGATTACTTTTGGTTGATGCCAGAATAGGATTGATGTTGTATTGTCAAATAAAATGTAAATATGACATTTTAAGTGAGCGATTGCTCCATGTTTTAAATTTCTGTCTAGAGATGTCATGTTTTGGTCCTCGGTTGGTCTCACGCATCAAGTGATGCGATTTCACAGGACAGAGTTCACCAAACTTGAACTTTGCACAGCAGCAACCTGGGAAACTTGACGCACGACCCTGCTTTTTTGGTCTGACGCATCTGCGTGCGTATGAATGGAAGTCTATGGGAGGAAAAGCCCAGTGTGACCGCATTAGACATTTAATAAAAGCGAGTGATTGCTCCATGTTTTAAATTTCTGTCCAGAGATGTCATGTTTGATCCTCGATGGGTCTCACGCAGTCAAGTGATGCGATTTCGCAGGTCAGAGTTCACCAAGCTTGAACTTTGCACCTAAGCAACCTGCACAACTTGACGCATGACCCTGCGTTTCTGGTCTGACGCATTCACGTGCGTATGAATGGAAGTCTGTAGGAGGAATAGCCCAGTGTGACCGCAGCTTTAAGTGAGCTGGGCTTTTCCTCACTTGGACAGAAGTTTAAATGAAAGTTAAATTTGGATTTTTTTTCCTCATTTTGGACAGAAATTTAAAACATGAAGCAATCGCTCACTTTTTTTATTGTCTAATAATTTTGTTTATTCCCGCCCCTTTTCGCAGCACCTTACGACAGAATTTCGCATGCACATGTCTAGTGTGAGCTTTGAGCTTTAAGCTGCGGTCACATTAGAGTTTGAGCATGCGATATAAAATATTGAAGTAACTAAACAATATCTATTTACAAATACAATTAATAAAAATACAACAGAATTAATGCATCAAAATCTAGTATGTTCAATATTTTATATAATAATGTATTCAATCATAGCGTAATATTTCAGAGTAGAAAAATAGTTTGTTACAATTTATAAGCAGCTGAATTCAGGAGATATGGATATTATTGTGGAATTCAGGTTAGTCGATCTTTCAAACAGCAGGTGGCACTGGAAGTGCAGATCAAGCCGTCTGAGCGTGCAGGTCTGAGCGTGCGGTTGGGTCTCTGGGCCTGCAGCTTCATAATGTTGACCTGAACACGTTTACATGCCAATATTCAGTTAAAGTTATAGCGCAACCTGCTGGCAACAGGAAATGACTTGTTTTACATTGTAACAAATTCCTACAAATTTTTTTTTAAATCAAATCCATGTTCCGTTAGTTAAAGGCCATAAAATTGTGAAGATCTAGAGTATTTGCTGAAGAGCGTGTCCGTGGCAGACTGGCAAAGCTCTGTGTATTAATGATCAATCTACAGTTTATTTGGTACAATAACACATCCTTGAGTTTGAAATGTCTGAGTTTTTCAGTTTAAAAGTAAATCGAGTTTAAAGTTCCTGTGGGTGCAAAAGTAACACTGTGACAGTATTTATGTCCCACTTCATGCCTTATTTTTCACTTCCACATTAGTTTTCTAGGTTTTGACTTATATGTTTTAGAAATGCATATTGCCAACATTAATAAAAACTATTCAAAAATGAGTGAAAATGTTAACATTTTGCATTGTTGGATTGCTTTTGAAACCTTTGATGAAAGTGAAATCTAAAATGAAAATGCCATTTCATTATTATTATTGTTTGCAAACATAAAGGACATCATACGTTTGCTGGTATTAACAAGGTCATAGTAATATATTTTAAAATAAACAAGATTAATCCAGTAAATTTTACGAATATTGTTGCGTAACTTTTGACCCCCCTGTGTGTTACTTTCTCTGCCTGGGGACAAAATTAACAATGTGCAACTTTTGCTTAGAGCGAAGTTATATTGGAGGAGTTGTTCTACATTGATACAAAATAACTGCTGATTTTGATAGAGCACTCTTGTGAGATAGTAACAACAGAAAAAACATATTTCTGATATTGAATTAAAATTACATTTGAATATGAAACATACCATGTAACATATTAAAAAAAAAATCCACTGTGCTTTTGGTAAGCTAAGAGATATATTACATAATTATTACATTTTATTATTATTATTATTGTTATTATTATTACATCATTTCATGATTTAAGGTAGTAACATTTTTATATCTGTAAAAGGATGGGCAGTATTTATGATACAAATATTTCAACTATGTATTTCAAATACAAAATAGTATTTTGTAATTTGTATTTTATCTGGTTTATAAAAAAATGGTTTATATTTTCTATCAAAATACATTAATGTCTTGTATTTTAGTGTTTTAAAATACTTTGTAAAAAGTCTAATGACTTTATAAAAATGCGGCCTCTGATTGGTGCTTTATCAGTTATTTACATAGGCTTGAGATCAGAACAGAAAATGGATTATTATTGGAGAAGGTGGTCAATTTTAACCAAAGGTGGAAATTTTGCATCACATAACAGACAAATAGCATATTTCAGAGCAAGTTCACAATCATTGAAAATATTATACTTAGCAATAATATTTAATGGCAGTAAAGTGTACACATTATCAGCATCTTTGCTTTAGAAAAGAGATGGGATAAAATATCAGTCTACAAACAGGAATATGAAGCCGACAGCACATAATCATTCTCAGTCTCAGTGCTGCAGGTGGAAATGTAGAGGAAGTTTAGAAATAAAAAAACGTGTTCACTAAGGAAGCAAACTGAGACTCTTCCAGTTAGAGAAGAACAGAAAAACTCTTGGGAGAATGAGTAACAAAAATGCACAAAGATTTAGATGCCCAGAAAATAAGACAAACAACATTAAAACAAACCCTACCGTGGCGATTCTGACAATACTTCATTGGCTGTTTCAAATGTCAGTAGTTGATCTGTAAGAGTGCAATTGCAAAAACAAACATGATTTAAATAACTAAAACAGAAGATTTTAGTAGTTTTCTGAAATCATGTTTTTACATAAGTATTGAAGATTTTCAATTGCAAAACCACAAAAAAACTAAAAAAAAATTGTAATAATATTTAATAATGCTAAAAAATTAAAACAACCCATATTCCCCTTTTAAAATGTAACACTGCTAAGGGATGGTGTCAATTTTACTGGCCACAAAGTGGGCGGAAACATTATAAAGAGATATAGCACTATTTCAACTCATTATCTGCATTGCATGTTTTTTTTACAGTGATTAAGATAATCTTCAAGACAGGACTTTATGTGTGGAATTTAAACAAAATGTACAATAAAATCAAAGAGAAACAATTTTATGAATACCTCCACATGTACAGAAGTAGAGGTGAATAAGTTGGCAGAAAAGCTGACTGAAACTTGCTCAGAGAAACTCTGTTGCTGTCAAACACTGTTTACTAAGTCAGTTTAATGGTAAAGGGAATGATCGAATAGGTCTATTAACAAAAAGTTTGCGACATGATGTCAGTATTTAATACTGTATACAAAATGCAGTATTTTATTTTGATACTTCTTGTGGCTGCTGTAATTTGTAGTTTATTTTGATACATGTAAAACTGAGGTATTTGGAATTTTATTTTAAAATATATTTCGATGTAATTTTTAGCCCATCCATGACAACCATTTAAAATAGTATTGTGTTAAACTATTTTACTATTTATTTTAGGGTCAAAGGGTAGGAATCATTGCACAAACAAACTTAACCTATATAAATGTTTTTTTGTCAGTTATGCAGAGACAATACATATTTATCATAAATGAACTGAGCACATACATTTTTGTTTGTGGATAAAAACAGTATTATTAATATTCTTTAGATTTGTTCGCAATCTCAGTAATCATTAATATTTTTCAAATGAATGACGCAACATTGCCAATCTCTGTGTAGTGTTGTGTGTGGCAGCTAAAATCAGTCTCAAAGCAAACCGATTTTACAAGTTACTAAACAATTGATGTTTTACGTCCAGAGCCATAAACGCAGGGCCATTAACACAGTTTAATGCTTAAATATGATAAAACGTTGCATCGCTTTTTTTTTTATAGATTTGCCGCCCTCGTGTGGTAAACATGAAGAACGTCAAACACCCGCTCAGAGGTCATATGAAGTAAATATGGATATAACGTAAAACTGCTATTGGATGTTTTAAAAGGTGTAGTTTTTATTTTTTTAATTCGAGTTCAAATAAGGCCATCTTTTACAAATATCTGACAACTGTTAGTTCGGCTGCAGTAAAATGTTTTGTTTTCTGGCATCTTGGTTGGTGTGAACCAGTCATTGGTGTGAACCCACGCGCACAGGTAAAACGATTCATGTCTTCAGTTTTATTGGGGCTAGTTACTGTTTAACATCTCCACCCAACTTTCAGTTTGTTTAGTAAATCGATCTAACGAGGCTCCCCCAACACCACCAAAAGCATTGTCCAAAGTGAAGCTTTTGACATGTTAAACACTTCATGCACTCGCATTAGCTCTCTGTAACAACCTAAATATCATATTATTGGCATTACATTTCTGTTGACACACGTTCGTTTGGCTTTTGGTGGATTAATGAAAATCGTTGTTGGACGCGGAGAAGGTAAGACCAGCCAGTTTTGAGCTGTAGTCATCTAGAGACCAGTTAGGGACAATTAATCTGTCAAATTAATTAGGTAAAGTGTATTTTTACTCGCTACCTAGTAATAAGTCCTTTGAAAGTTACGACTAGTTAACGGTGAACTTGAAATATCGCCAGGTTTGAACGGTGAGGTTGTGACGTCAACAACACTCCCTAAGTTAGATGATCTCTGTCGTGTCTTTGTTATTAACAGAATAAATCTGTAGATGTTGTTCCTTACATTAAATGAACTTAATTTGTGTGTTTATTTAGCCTTAAACGTAATTCGTGGGCAAAATAAACAATGCTTACTGTGAATATTTATATGAAGAATTCAGATGCAAATGCCATCTGAAATTTCCATAGAAATTGAGCATTATTCTCAGCATCCTTTGTCTATGTTGAGTTATTTCACTTTGAAGACCATAAAAACAACTTATTCTTTGCAATAAAAGAGAAATTACTGAACGTAGACACAGGAGCCTGATAAAATGCTCATTTTAGTAGATTTCAGACAGCATTTAGAGGTTTTTGCATCTGAACTCGTCATATATTTATCAAATCAGTAAAAAAAAATTATATCTGATTATTAGTATTGTTGAACAATGGTTTAAAACGTTACAGTGTAATCTCAAAACAATATTACAACTCTTCTTTTCTCACAATTAGATTTGCTTTGTTCATTATTCATGAAAAATATTCCTGTTCAATATTTGTACACTGTACAACTCAACAGTCAACTTTATCATATGAAATAGTTTATTTCAAAACATATTTTGAACATTATGACATAGTTTATTTAAAACTGACTAAAAGTTTTGAGCTCAGTGTTTAAGGTAATGAGTTCATTAAATACCTCATTACTTCAACTTAAATAGAGTAAGTTCACAGTACTCATATAGATTTTTTTTTTACTCAAATGGTTTGTAGCAATCAGTTTCCTCAAATGGTTTGAGTTGCATTAACTGATTGGGTTTTACAGTACTCAGTTGGTTTGAGTTCTCTTCATTTATCGGGTTTTACTGTGCTCACATTGCTTCATTTACCCAAATGGATTCAGTCGACAGTACTTATTAGGATTATTTTCTGAACTTAAATGGTTTGTTGAGTTACCTTAACTTTTTGGGTTTTACAGTGTAGGGATGTGTTTTATTAGGCAAATGGCTATTTTATATTACATTAAATACTAGTAAATACTTAAATACTAGTCCTGCAATATTTTACTTGAACAATTCTAGTTTGACCTTGAGTTTATTTGACTGTAGAAATGGTAATGCACTGTAGGCTGTATCGCAATATGATTGTAAGTACAGTACATCTGTCCCTATGCATTGGAGCTGTTGGTGGGCTGTAATGCAATGTATTGAACATGGGATAGAACAGATGGACTGAGAGACTCAAACCTCTTATCACGTGAACATTTGAGCACTTCCTCATTTGAAACATTGTTTATTGGAGCGAAGTTAAAATGTAACTTGTGTGCTGTGACAGGTCTCAGAGTATCCCTGGGCTTTCTGAATCGATCTTATAAGTCTGATTTTGATAATACATTTTATATCTTTTATTTTAATGTCATTTTGTTTTGGTCCTTGTTTGGACTGCATAGGTTCTGTACTTTTTAACATTTATTCATTTTATTTTATTGATTTTTTTTTTATATAAAAATCACATTATAGATCTTTTGAATTAATTTTTATAAGTGATTTTATTACATTTTTTAAATTTAAATTTTATTGAATTATATTATTATTCTTTGTGTGTGTGTGTGAACTCTTAAAGTTTGTAATTTGCCTAAAATACTATCTTACCATCTTTCTTGCTTGTGTGAAAAAACATATATAGACCCAACTGACTTTCATTGTGTGCTTAAAGAATGTCATTTATCACAATATATCTGTTGTATTCTGCAAAAGAAGGTCATACAGGTTTAGAATGACATGATGGGTGAGTAAGTGAAGACTGAATGTGAATTTTGGGCTGAATATTCCATTTAGGAAAAATGGCTCACCAAGTGTCTGTAATAAGTGAATATTTAGAATATTACTTTAAGATTATTGTCTTTTAAGGCATCTGATTCTGTAGCCAGTAAATTAAATTCAAATAACATGTCCTTGTGTAAAAGCTGCTCTGTGATTTCTTAAAATATAATATCAGGATGCAATACCAAATTAAAGTCAGACAAAATGATGCCTGTTCTGTTCGACCTTAGTCCCAAAATATTATTACACAGTTGCAGTTGCTGTGCAAATGTATTTATGCCACCTCTGAGTTGTATTAATTTCAACAGTCTGCATTAAACCACTGTAATGTTGCTTTAGAAATGCCTTTTTGCCACTTTTGCAGTTCATATTATGCCAAATAGTCCAAATTTTACATTTAGATCAGATGTTTCCATGTCTCACACTGTATAAACAAAAAGCAAAGTTAAGGATGCTCTGCTCAGAATCTGCTCAAAATGATCATTGTCAATTCTATTCAATTCACGTTTATTCATATAGCACTTTTCACAATTATTTTTTCCAAGCAACTTTAGAAAAGGTGGATATTATTGGGTAACACTTTAGAATAATGGTCCATTAGTTAATGTATTTACTAACAGAAACTAAATATCAATAATCTTGTAAAGCATTAATTAATGATCGTTCAACATTAACTAATGCATTATTAAAATCCAAAGTTGTGCTTGTTAATATTAGTTAATGCACTGAGCTAAATTGAACTAACATGAACTAATGGTATTTAACTTAAATAACATTAACAAATATGAATAAATACTATAACAACTGTATTACTAATAGTATGTTAATGTTAGTAAATACATTAACTAATGGACCATCATTTTAAAGTGTTACCTATTATTGCATTACAATCAAAATCAGAAAAGGTAAGGTCATCAGTTACTATTAACTTTAATTAACTAATTACTAATAACTTTATCTGTTAAAGTTATTATATATAAACGTATACTTAACCAGCAGTTATATATTATATAGGTGATGTCCATGTGCAGATGTTCAATGAAGTGTATTTGTGTATTCTTTTAAAATTAATTGCACTTAAAGCTAAATACTAATTCCTTGAAAAATATCTAGTAAAATATTATGTACTGTCATCATGGCAAAGATAAATGAAAGTTATTAAATCTATTATGTTTAGAAATCTTCTTTCCGTCCAACAAAAATTGGGGAAAAATGTACAGGAGGCTAATAATTCAGGTGGGCTAATATTTCTGACTTCATACACAGCATATATAGCAGAAAAACGGCACATCCAGGGGTGATTTTAGGAATTTAATTTTAGGGGCGCTCAGCTCTTTATAAGGTTTAAAAAAAAAAAAAAAAAAAAAAAAAATTTTATATATATATATATATATAATACTATATAGCCTAATGTTACATTTATAAGTAGTAATTTAGTAATACACTTAAAAATGTTTGTTTAATATCGGTTGTATACTAGTATGGCACTCTATTACATAGACAGGCATGGCCATTTCAGTTCCGATTACTACAGCCACCCCTAAAAGAGGCCTAGCAACGCCCATGGACACATCTAAAGCATGGAAAAACCCTACTGATTTAAAACAGAAGTTCTGTTTGTTGAAATGTAAGTTCCTAGTTCTCCTACATGCATTAAGAAGGTAATAATGCTGCCATATTTTAGTTCTGACATGGCACATTACTTTATAAGAGTGTCACTTTACCTAAGAATCAGGCCTGTTTGTTGGCCTGCACCAATAAAACCTTCTTGTTCCTTTCTGGAACAAATGGGGAATACTATTATCTCTTTATCCTTCTGATAAGTATAGGATAAAGCGAGAGGAGATAAGTTCTGCGCAAAAAGGTGAGGAGTCTTGGCCAAGGCTCCTCCCTTGTCTTAGAAGACGACAAATCAGCATTCTGAAGAGATGGTCAACCTAAGGCTGCCCTCACTTCTCTCTCCCAGAGACACTGTCCCAGGACGACTTTAAGTAGAGATAGCCAGGCAGGGATGAAGTTTTCTCCAACTCCTCTCCCTAAATCCTTGTTGGACATGGATGTAGCCAATTACTGCGAGGGCCTGGACCCGACCTATAGCACACTAGGCTTTGAGAACGCAGAGGTGCTTTATTGTGGTGGTGAGTGTTGCACATTTTCTTTCCAAATGGTGTATTTTTTAAAGGTGTGCAGCTTGGGTTTGTGTAATTATTCTACTTGAAGTTTGTGTTCACTAGTGTTGCTGACTGAATTGTTGTGTTAATTTGTCTTGGTTGGACAGTGGCGTGCATGTCTGGAGCGGACGGATGCCATGTCATGGCTGGTTTAATAGCTGTCTGAAGGGTCTGGAATGATTTGTCCCAGCAGAATCATTTACCTCAAGCTAAAGGAGATAATTGTTAGCTAGCTATTTTGAAAGTCTTTCCGTTCGGTTTAAAATTCAACTGAGAGTTTCACTCAAATCCTGGGAAAAGAGTACTGAGTCTTAGGATTAGAGATTGAGTTCTTTGTGAGTTGACAGTTTTGGGGGGAAAAACAGGGTATTTTAAGTGTAAGTTTTAAGTATATTTTGTACGACTGCTATGCTAAATCAGATCGTTTGCCCTGTCATGTTACTTTCTACTTTTATCCCCCAAAAAAGTTAATTAGCAAAGGGATGTCACCCTGGGGCATCATGGGAAATGTCTTACTTTTAAACCACGGCCCTTTGGGAGATACGTGGCTTGGATCTTTAATGACTTCCGTCATCTCAGTCTGATGTGATTTATCCAGTTTGGTTCTCCATTAACCTAAAGCTGGATTAAAATTGCTGAAGAGATTTTTTGGTTATCTTTACAGTTTTTACAGCACATCTAAAAAGTGAGATAGAGAAAGGTCATAAAATGCCTGGAACAGAAACTAAAGGTAAACGCACGCTCTAGGATGAATATTTCTTTGGCTGAACTTACACTACCAGTCAAAAGTTTGTACTCAGTAGGATTTAAATGTTTTAAAATGAGCTTATTCTTTATTCATTTAATCAAAAAATACAGTACAAATTGTAAAATTGTGATATATATTGCACTTCAAAAACTGTTCAAAAGTAGTTTATCATTTCATTTAAACATTTATTCCAGTAATTTTAATGATGAATATTCAGCTTCATTACTTTAGTCTTCAGAATCACATGATCCTTCAGAAATCACTCAAATATTCATTCATTCATTCATTCATTCATTCATTCTTCTTCTTCTTCTTCTTCTTCTTAATATTATTATTATTATTATTAATGTAATATTAATAAAATCAATAATGACTGGAGTAATAATTTCATTTAATACTACATACAATTAGAAAGTAGTTATTTACATTTTTTAAAAATAAATATTTAACAATTATTTACTTGTAATAAATGCTGCAGGGCGAAGCAGTGGCGCAGTAGGTAGTGCTGTCGCCTCACAGCAAGAAGGTCGCTGGTTCAAGCCTTGGCTGGGTCAGTTAGTGTTTCTGTGTGGTGTTTTTATGTTCTCCCTGTGTTCGTGTGGGTTTCCTCCGGATGCTCCGGTTTCCCCCACAGTCCAAATATATGCGGTACAGGTGAATTGTGTGGGCTAAATTGTCCATAGCGTGTGAGTGTGAATAAGTGTGTATGGATGTTTCCCAGTGATGGGTTGCTGCTGGAAGGACATCCGCTGCGTAAAAACATGTTGGCAGTTCATTCTGCTGTGGCGACCCCGGATTAATAAAGGGACCACGCCGAAAATAAAATAAATGAATGAATAAATGCCACCTTGGTGAACAGAATAATTAAAAAATTAAATAAATAAATAAAAATTACCCCAAACTTTTCATTGGTAGTGTAGTTCAGATTTTCTGATTTAACTTATTAGTTGTCAAAATATCCTTAATGTGGTAAACTACTATTGTACACTACTCAATCATACTTAGTTACCCAGTCCAGTAACATGCCAAGCATGCTGGAATCTGCCTAAAACACAAGTGTCAAATCGAGCTCCCGTAGGGCCACAGCTCTGCACAGTTTAGCTTTAACCCTAATTAACACACCTGATCAAAACTAATTAAGTCCTTTACTCTTGTTTGAAACCTACAGGTAAGTGTGTTGAAGCAGGGTTGGAACTAAACTGCTGAACTGCGGCCCTCCAGAAACAGGATTTGACACCTGTGGCTTAAAATAATAAAAGCAATTAAGCAAATGGATAGAATAAACTGAATAAGTCAGATTGCATTTAAATTGATTAGACACGGTTAAAATTAATTAGCGTCAGAAATCAAGCATTGCATTAGCACTGTGATGTCAGACACAATGCGCTCAATTGACCTTATTCTAAAATGCGGAAGTGCGCCTGTTTTCGCGATTGTCTTAGAACTTCCGATTTAGTCGCCTATGGGAGAAATGACTAGGAATAATAAACGCCAGAAAACAGTCAAACTACGTGCTCTACAAACAAATGTTTGCATGACTATACAGACCAAGTAGAATAATATAATAAGAAAATATCAAATTGCAACATCAAGCAGCGTAACGAGCAGTTTTTTTACGTAAAAAAATAAATGGAAGTGAATGAGACCGGAAGTCTCAAGCCAAAAAGATTCAAATGGCAGCGCCCACTCGTCGGCGGAGAAAAGGTGAATAGAGCTAGTGACGTCACTGTGAGAGGTAGGGTTAGGGGTGGGGTTAGATGAGCGATTTAAAAAAGCATTGGATGCAGCTCAGACCCTTCTCAGTTAAATGCTAACTAGTGGTCAAACTGTCTTTAATGGGGTAAACTATTATTGTATACAGTGCATCTGGAAAGTATTCATAGTGCTTCACTTTTTGCACAATATTTTTTTATATTACAGCCTTATTCCAATTTTTTTTTTAATTTTTTTTTTAATTTTTAACAAATTTGCAACAATTTAAAAAAAATCTTTTTTCCACATTGTCATTATGGGCTATTGTGTGTGGAATTTAAATAAGCAAATAAATAAATAAATGAGTCCATTTTGGAAAAAGGCTGTAACATAAAAAATGTGGATAAAGTGAAGCCCTGTCAATACTTTCCGGACGCACTGTACTAAAATCAACCTTACCCAATCTAGTAACATGCAAATATACCTGTCAATATTTTTCAACATATAAACTGAAAAACATTCAACTGGATATTCTGTATAATATATGACAGTTGTTAATCTTTGCTCATAAAAAGAAAAAAAATTGGCTGCATTTTAGTGTATAAAAATATAAAGCCTTGCACTTTTTTTTTTTACCTCTAAAGAAATATTTTTAAATAATCAACTAAAAAATAATTAAAAATAGAGAAACATTAATATCCAATATCTCGTCCATTTTAAGTGCCGGAGTTAATCAACAAATCACTCTGGCAAACAATAATTCATAAAATATCTTGTGCCCTAAAGTTTTCTGCAATGTGACAGAATTCCATACTTTTTTCTAGAAGCGTCCCTTTAATTAAACCCTTAAAATCATGAATCTAGTGAAATTATTTGTCAAACCACTGCCTGGTTTGAACTTCTCCAGCACCTTACTCTGAAACTCAATCCTTCAAAACACACCGCAGGATGAAATTGCTTCTCCACGTCCACGTGCAGTGCCCTTTGCGCTCAAATGATGTTTTATTCTGAAATGAGAAGGAATCACTTTGGGAATACACTGAATCAGAAGAGATTGCTTTCAAGCCACATTAACATTTATCCATGAGATGTCAATCTCCATTGAATATCAGTCTATGCGATAAAACAGAGGCTAATCCTAATTAAGTCTGTCCTACAACAGCAGGAGGCCTCAATCAGTCTCGGCGCATAAAAGGATAAAGTCCCCTGCCGCATTTCTTTTGTTGAAATGTTATGATTTTGGATGCACAAAGGAATGATTGATTTTTCATCCTGGGCTATATGAACAGAAGGGTGCCGCTCTCTGTTGCATTAGAAGGTCTTTTAGGATGAGCATCCTTTGTTCACTTATGCAGAACTCTTCCTCATATTCTCCTCATTAGCCGTAATGATTGAGAGACGCGACTAAAAAAGACCCGAGGTTTGATAGACGTGTCGTTTATTAGCCTGGCTTGGATTAGCACGCTTAGCTTAGCATCTGCAGTGTAATAATGCTGGGTTCCACACAATCAACTTGTGTTGGGACAACATGAAGGAATTAAGTTAACCTATTAGTTTTTATTAATTTAATTGGATTTAATGTTAAACAATTAAGTTGACCTAAAAGAAAACAAGGGAAGTATGGAACATGAGATTGACAGGCTGATTGGTGCAGCAGTAATGCGGTCGATGTACCATTGTGGTAAAGAAGGAGCTGAACCAAAAGACAAAGCTCTCAATATCCGGTCAATCTACATTCTAGACCGAAAGGACAAGACACAAGCGGCCAAAATGAGTTGCACCAAAACGAATGGCGAAAAATGAATGGCGCACCATTATAGATGGGGTGAGGAGCCCTGTCACCTGGGAGGAGTTCGGAGTAGAGCCGCTGCTCCTCCACATTGTGAGAAGTCAGCTGAGGCGGCTCTGGCATCTGTTTCGGATGCCTCCTAGACGCCTACCTAGGGAGTTGTTCCAGGCATGTCCCACCGGGAGAAAGCCTCAGGGAAGATCCATGGCACGCTGGAGGGACTTTGTCTCTCGGATGGCCTGGGAACGCCTCGGAATCCTCCTGGTGGAGCTGGAGGAAGTGTCTGGGGAAAGGGAAGTCTGGGGTTCTCTCCTGAGACTGCTGCCCCCACATCCCTGCCCCGGAAAAGTGGATAAATTGAGTGAATGAATGAATGAAAAAAGAAAACTTAAAAATAGTGTTGATTTAGCTCATTTTTAATAAGAAGTTTGACCAAACAGCAAGCATCATTTTGATGCTGCAGGCAAAAACACTTCATGCATCTGTCAGTTTTGAGAAATTGAAGTGTTGTTTTCAGGCTAACCAATAACAAAACATTCAAACAACACTTTCAAGTGTTTCTTTTATCACACTTTATCAGTTTTTATCTAGATTTCGGTACAAGGCATACATTGTAAAAATGTTTCAACTCTAGTTTGAACACGCAGCAAAAGTCATTTTTTGGGTGTATTTTTAAAGGCTGTTTCCTCAATATACAATAACAATATATGTATTTATCTCTTTCACTGAGCCATAAATCTTCATTTCAGATACTTAAGCCAAGCTTGCGTGTGTTTTTTGTTTCATCTGCGTTCTGAATGTTTTTACAGAGGGATATGTTTATACATATTGTAATAGTGCTGATTAAATATACAAAGTTTCATTCTGCAAAAAAATATTGAAATGTGTATTTATTTTAGTACTGGGCAAAGATTAATCATGAATAATCACATCCAAAATAAATGTTTGTTTTGACATAATATGACATAATTATTATACATATATTACATAAGTTATTATACAACTTATGATAATGGTCCAAAAACTAGTACAGCCAAATTTATATGTTATAGAGAAAATATTAAATACAAATTTAAAGACATTTTTTAGAAAAGCAAAAAATTTTTATTAATTGTATTATCTTTCAATTTCTAAATACATTTAGTGACTAGAATAGTATTTTAATAAATATATCTGTTTAATAAATAATTTTTCTTTTCATTATATTCACAGAGAAATCGATAAAAATATTCATTTTCAAAATGAGGTGTACTCAATTATGCTGAGTACTGTATGTGATACACACACATACCAAAAACTATATAAAACAATTTTGTTACAGATATTTAAGTTCATTTATAATCTGCATTAATAAATCTGATGTTTTTTCTCTAAATATAAATAAACATTTCTGAAATATATGCATGCATGTGTGTATTTATATACACTGTAAAAAAATATTTGTAAATAAGCAGTTTTTCGTATTTTGTGATTTATGTTCATTATTTTTTTTTTTTTGTATTATGGGACCTTCATCTCTCATTTGACAACTTTTAACTGGAAAACGTTGAAAAAAGATGGCTTTTTTGTAACAATTTTAATAGTTTAAAATGATATGCTGTCTGGGTTGGGGTTGTATATTACGGTACAAACAGCTTGTAATAAGCTGCCAGTACATTTACTGTTATTTCACAGATTTATTTCTTTGTAAATTATATCTTATACATGATGTTATTTCAAACTAATAAAATGTCAATAAAAGTCACTATTTTTTAAACTGTAGAGTTGAATTTTCAGCATCAAAAATCAACCGAGCAAAAATTACCTTCCCATAATGCAATCCCCTACTGTAAATAAATAAAAAACATGAACTATGGAAACTGTTAATTAACAGCTATTTTTTTACAGTGTGCACAGTACACACACTTTTAGTACACACACTGAAAATTATGTCAAACTTTTATTTTGGATGCGATTAATTATAATTAATTTTGCCCAGCACTAATTATGTATATTCAGTGTATATTATGTGATTTAAAAAGATTCTCAAATTCCCATCTGTAAAAATCTTTCACATTAATGTGTCAAAAAAAGAAACCTTAACTAATGTTAACATTTCTATGCTAGAAAAAGTTCATATATATTCAAATCATGTTTAGTTTGCAAATTTAAACATAATATTTTATATAAAAATGTTTGCTCTTCTTAATGGAAACAGTCAAATGGAAAAGTAAAATGATAACTATTAGTTGTTTTTTTACCCAATTAACCTGCAGTGTGTTCTCTTAACACTCTAAATGAATAATTGACACAATTCTCCATTCGCAATGATCACCCAAGTGATTCATTGACTCATCTTCTGAACTGAACAGTTTTCAAACTGGAGCCAGAGCGTTCAGGTGGCAATAACAGTATGTGTAATGCTCCCAGTCCTGAGTGTGTCTGTTGTTGTTGACAGAAAACATGCCGACAGAGCCCAACATCAGTCAAGGAGAAAATGGCGTGAGCTCCAACTGCGCGATCTGTGGGGACAAAGCCACAGGTAAACATTATGGCGCCTCCAGCTGTGACGGATGCAAAGGCTTCTTCCGCCGCAGTATCAGGAAGAGCCATGTCTACTCTTGCAGGTACATGCACACTAGAAAAAAATGTCCAAGCGTTTCGATGCCACACAGAAAATGCTTTTAGTGTTATTTGAGTACACTGATAAATATGATTCATTGGATTTACTAAATTATTTTAAGGTAAGTGGTTGCTAACAGCTTGTATGGGCTGAATTTAAGCATTAAATTTAGTAAAGTTTAACTTGGTTCGTTTGTTTAAATTCAGTGCATATAATTAGTTTGCAAACACTTACATTCAAATAATTGAGTATATCCAATAAATCCTGTTTTTAAAGTGTAGAATGTTTGGTGTTTGTATAAGTATTGCAAATGAATTATAAATAGTTTGTGATTGGATTTGAATGAAACTGATAAATATGTTTCTGGCTTGTTCTGCATTTGACAGCAACTCTTTTTAGTCTAACTCATGGTTTTCTGAGTGTTGTTTTTAAATTTTTTTTAAATAATCATGTTGAAAGACGTATCTCCAGCATTGCACTCTCAATATTCATCAGACTGAAACAGATTTTTTTTCTTTGTAAATTCTTGGGTGAAGATCTTCTTTCATAGTTTGAGCTGAATGAATCTTGATCTTGATTAATTGATTATTTTAACTCATTGCGATTAATGAACGATTATTTTATTTATTTATTTATAGAATTTTTTGCCCTCATAGTTCAACGACAAGTTTTATATGCCGTCTAAAGGCATCTCTGGTGCAGCCTCCAATCATTGTCATATGTAGTGCAAAATAAGGCTCAAGAATGAGTCCATCATCCTACTTGACAAGAGATTAAATGTGGCTGCAAAGTGGCAGCAGAAGTAGAAATCAGCCACAGACTTTAACAGAGCGGGGTCACGTGACATGCAGGGAAAGTAATTGAAAAAATCGTCCTGGAAAAATTAGACTATTAGATTATTCTGAACGTCGATTCCGATTACTTTTCAATTAATTGACCAGCCCTACTTGATCCCAAACAAAATAACAAGCCAGAAACATAATAGTCACTGAAATAAAGATCAAATTATAGACTCATTTACTCATTTGAATTTAAACAGAGATTTTTTCATGTTTTATTATAGGATTTAATAATATTTTTAGTAGTGTTTTTTTTATTTGAATATTTTTTAGTTCTAGATTATGTTTTAACTTTGTTTATTCATTTTATGGTTTCGTAGATTTTATATTTTTTTACGGTAATTTTAGAACTTATTTATTTAATGTCAGTTTCCAAATATATTATATAATATTTAATATAACCTTTATTTGAATTAACATTCAACAAAACAAATTTTTATTAGCCAGTGATTATATTAATGTGGGATGGGAACTAAAGATATTATTTCTGTTATGAAATTCATATATTCCTATTGAGTGCCTCTTAAAACCATTTTATGGATCAAAAAGTTTCTCAAAAAATTATTTGCTTATTAAATTTAAATTATAAAATGAGTTTTAGGTTTTAAAATACTTTTGATGTGGAAGACAAAATCTTTTTTGTATTACAATAATACTATAACAAAAACATAGTGAAACAGATAATTAATTAGGCTTAAATTTGTTGCTTGACATATACAGTTGAAACCAAATTTGTTAAACCCCCTTTGAATTTTTTATTTTTTATTTTTTTTTATATTTCCCAAATGATGTTTAACAGAGCAAGGAAATTTTCACAGTAAGTCTGATAATATTTTTTCTTCTGGAGAAAGTCTTATTTGTTTTATTACGGCTAGAATAAAAGCAGTTTAAAATTTTTAAAAAAACATTTTAAGGTCAAAGTTATTAGCTCTTTTAAGCAATTTTTTTTTCGATAGTCTACAGAACAAACCAATACAATAACTTGCCTAATTACCCTATCCTGCCTAGTTACCCTAATTAACCTATTTAAGCCTTAAAATGTCACTTTAAGCGGTATAGAAGTGTCTTGAAAAATATCTTGTCAAATATTATGTGCTGTTATGTAGTTATTAAAACTATTGTGTTTACTAATGTGTTGAAAATCTTCTCACCATTAAACAGAAATTGGGGAAAAATAAACAGGGGGTCTAATAATCCAGGGGCTTTAATAATTCTGACTTCAACTGTATAACTGATTAAACATTTCTTTTAAACATTATCAGAATGGTTTTATCCCTGTAGGTTGTATAATGTAGGAAAAATGCAATTTTCAGGCCCTTTTACTTGTATATATAGTACACACAAACAATAATAATAACATTTAACTTATAATATTTAATAATCTAGTACGTTGAACTGGATAATGAATCCTCTTCTGATAAACGATGATAGCAAGCCTCTGATTTCATCCTGGATGACTTCATTCATTCATTCATTTTCTTTTCGGATTAGTCCCTTTATTAATCAGAGATCGTCACAGCGGAATGAACTGCCAACTTATCCAGCATATGTTTTACACAGCTGATGCCCTGCAACCCATCTCTGGGAAACATCCATACACACTCATTCACACTCATACACTACAGACAATTTAGCCTACCTAATTCACCTGTACCGCATGTCCCATTACTGAGTGTTTGTTAACCTAAACTGACATAAATGTTTGCATGAGCGGTTCAGTTTGATTCATGATTAAGTGGCTTTTATGAGTCAAATCAGTTGAAACAATCACAAATCATTTATTTGGGTTATTAATCTGACAAGTCATTTGACTAGTTCACTGAACCATAAACCATTAATTCTGCCACATTCTTTAAATTTACAGAGAATTGTTACATTTTAATTTAAATTAGTAGTTATATATTCAATTTATGGAATTTAAATTTTTTTGGAAGATTTATTATTCAATTTGTTATAATTCTCAGTTCTAATAAGAAACAATTCACCAAAAATCACTCATACCAATATTTCAGTCATGTATTACTGTCAATTTAACATGGTGTTTACCAAATTTTATTCTTAACTTTATTTTTATTTGTTTTAGGTTTAATCGTCAATGTGTGGTCGATAAAGACAAAAGGAACCAGTGTCGTTTTTGCAGACTTCACAAATGCTTTCGAGCTGGAATGAAGAAAGAAGGTAAACATTTTGCAGTATATAGATGTAATATAGTTTCCAGCAGATAGCATGGAGTAACAAGGAAGAGGGAACTCAAGAGAGCAAAATGGATGATGCCATAAAACTTGCCCTGATTACACAAGGATGTTTAGTTTATTGGATATATAACCTTGGCTTGGACTTTTATGACAGGTGATCATGTGCTCTCCAGCTCACTTTTCCGTGCAGACACGTTGTTCAGAACTGCACTCAGTTAAAGTTTTACCTCTCGCTTAAGCTGTGTTTTGCACGCTAGTCCTTGCTCACAATTGTTTTCTCTTCTTTCATAATAAATGTTTACAGTTGTTTAGAGGTATATTTGTTTAGAGATATATAAGACCTATTTCAGTAACATCTGAATAATAAAATGAATTGAAATTGTGATAAATAAATAAAAATAAAGTAAAATAAAGTTTTAGTGTTTTTAATAATTGTAAAAAAAGCAGCTAATTACAATTTGTAGAATTTTTATATTTACATTAGTTTTCACATTTTCATACAGAAACATTTTTAATAAGCTATTTTAAGCTATTTTATTTGTAGCTATTTAATAGCTATTTGTAGCTATATAAAAAACTGAATAATTAAAAATTATATGCAAAAAGACCAAAATAAATATATAAACAGTAGAGAAAACACTATATCTTAAAAACGAATAGATACAAAACAAAAACAGAAATAATTACCCGTGTTTCTTCTAGGATTTTTTCCAGCTATGGCGGTAGGCCTTTTTTACACCGATCTATCAACTACCTGTGTCGTTTTTTCAATGACAAATGTCGTGAGCAAAGTATTACGAGTGATTGCATTTATGTAATAGCCTACGAGCATGCAAATCTCTTTGCTTGCGCACCGATTTTCTCTGCTCGTGCACAAAACTTCTTGCACGCCCTCTCAAATATACGCTGCACGATCGCAGATCTTCTTGTGCGCTCTCAAATAAACACAGCTAAAGTGTGATTTAGTGCGTTTATGTAACAAGTATGTCTCCAACATTTATTATATTTGCTAGGAATATTTATGAATGTCTCCATTAGACCTACAGAGTGGCATTAATGTGTCCTGAATTAAAGCGAAACGGCACCATCACGCACCTGTCAGTCAGCCAGTCAGGTCAGTCAGCACGTAACCTTAAAGGGTTAAACAAATGACTCACAGCACTACTACAGTTACAGAAAAGTTCACGCTGTTATAATTAACTTACCTTTTAATACATTTTAATACATTCACCCGCTATTAAAATAAAAAAAACAGGGCATGTTTTGAATGAAAAGCTGAAATGTAGCCGTGGTGGGATCCATTTTGACATTGCTTCCTGCCATGGAAGAATGAATGTAGCAGAAACCATGATTACATTCTCATACTATCACGTCTACCAGCAATCGATGACTGCAGAGATTGCTGGTGAACTACAGTCACAAACTACAAATCCCTTCATGCCGCTACACACACACATACACATACACACACCAGGATCCACTTTCACTGTTGTGTTATAAATGAAAAAGTATATAAAAAATACATAAAATGTTCTATAAAAATATATTTTAAAGTATTTTGTAACACTGAAATACCACAAAAAATGTTTAACTTCATGACCAATAAAACTTTTCACACATAATATAAACATATATAAGGTTCCTATTGCTTAATGTTACTTAATAGTAACCAAAATAACTAGCAATAACTAACAATCAAAAGACACATTTGTTATAATATTTATTCATAATATTAAAATAAACTTATTTCTTTGTTACTGTTAAACACAGCATACAAAATTCATCTGGCCTGCATAATGTCCTAAATCATTGATCAACTTTAGATGATATTTAATGATGTTCTTATACATTAAAACGAACAAGTCATTTTCCCATTGCACCCCTTATTTTTCTTGGCTGTTTGTGAGATTCTGTAAATAATAAGCTACACAAGCACACCCATCTTCTTGGCTAATCAGTAATAACTCCTGATTGTTATTAGCTCAATAATCAGCAGGATTGTTTGTGCTTGTTTTCTCTCTCTCGTTCTTTAGCTGTTCAGAATGAGCGGGATCGAATCAGCTCACGGAGGAACATACAGGACTCACATGACCTGCCGCCAATCACAGCCCTCGCTCACGCTGAAGCACTTTCACAGCAGGTAAACCATCCTGCCAAGGTCAACCCAAACACGCATATGCACACAAATTATGAGAAAAACCACAAACATACATACTGTTAGGAGATCTGTGGAATAAATAGTCATTGAGCAATAAATCATTGCTGGGATTGTCAATAACAGAGCAGCAATCCTCTTGGAGTGTTTTCAATGTAAGACACTGCAGGTGAATATGGTAAATGAATATAATGAAACTAATATTTATCACCATACTTCCATTGTTGATTGATTACATTAGAAATTGCTAACTATTTTGTATTGCATAATAATAAAATTCTAAAATAATTCTGTATGTTACAGTTAAAGTAAAAAAGATCAGCCCTCTGTGAATTTTTAGGATATTTCCCAAATGATGTTTAATAGAGTAAGGGATATTTCACAGTATTTTCTATAATATTTTTTCTTCTGGAGAAAGTCTTTTTTTGTTTTACTTTGTGTAGAATAAAAGCATTTTTTAAAAACAATTTTAAGGTCAAAATTATTAGCCTCCTTAAACAATATATTTTTCGATTGGCTACAGAACAAACTGTCATTATACAGTCACTTGCTTAATAACCCTAACTTGCCTAATTAACTTTGTTAAGCATTTAAATGTCACTTTAAGATGAACACCAGTACCTTGAATAATATCTAGTAAAATATGATATAATGTCATCATGGCAAAGATAAGGTAAATCAGCTATTAAAATTGAGTTATTAAAGAGCCTCTATTTTGCATTATAAAAGGTCATATTTTGATTTTGGGGGTCTCCAACAGCAGTCTGATATGCATGCAAGGTCAAAAACGCTTTCATTGTCATATAATTTGCATTTATTTTACCTGATTATCCCAACAACTCCCATATGATTTGTTAAGTGATTCATTGTTATGATCCCGAGAAAGAAGAAACTGGTCCATATACAGTAGGAACTGTAACAGTTACTGACAAAGTCCCTGTCAAAGTCTAACAAAGTCCCATACATTATTGGTTCTCAAAGTGGGGGTCGGTACCCCTCGATGGGTTGCGGGACAATGAAGAGGGGTCGCCTGGTGATTTCCAAAAATCTATTTATTTTATTAAGTAATTAGAATTACCATATTTTATCCATAACCTAGTCAAGAGAAGAAAATAGTTGTTTATTGTTACTATATACTATATAGTTACTATAGTAGCTTATAGTTACTAGTTCTATTGGACTGCAACCCCTGGGGTAATGACATAATATTAAAGACACAGCAATAGCGCCAGATGCAGCAGATTAATTTTATAACACCAGGTTAAACTTTCTGGGCCATTTACAGCACTCGCATACATTAAAAAAATAAATGAAGAATAGACTTGGGTCTATTGGTGTGTGTGCGCTATTGCATGCAAGGTTTCTGTATTTATAACCACCTAAGAGCATATTGGGGGTCGCAAGTCACTGGCATTGTCATTTTGGGGGTTGCGGGCTAAAAAGTTTGGGAACCCCTGCTATACATAATAGTCTCTGCTGCTCCTTTAATAGCAAACTGCTGGCAAATCCCGCATTGCAATATATGTTATTGTATCAAAAATCAGAAAAATGACAGGAACAAACACAACACTAGGTAGGCTTTACTGTGGTGTTGTTGTGAAACTAAACTTTAACCATTTATTGACCAGAGCTGAATCTCCATCTATCAGTGATCGTCATCTTCGTGTCATGATCACTCCCGTGATCCCCCGCGCTCTGCTAGTCTCTGAAGAAAAAGGCACATTCTCGTTTTACTGGATCCAGTAGTTCGTATTTGGTGATGTACCTTATTGATGTTGATGCATTCAGGCAAAAGATTTGAACCCAACACGATTCATTTATTTGACTCTGAGTCGACTGTTTCGTTAAAGAATCAATAGTTTTAATCACAGTGCACTTTAAGATATAAACCCCAGCTGGATGCTTTCATTCACTTAGAGCTGTGTTAGACACTTTGTGAAAGCTCATTTTCAAAAACCCATAATAGGGGCTCTTTAAAATGTTTAGAAATGTGTTGAAAAAAACTTAAAATAAAATAAATAAACAGGCTGCTAATAGTTCTAGAGGGATAATAATTCTGACTTCAACTGTAAGTTTAAATATGTAATTGAGCCATTGTTTCATTAAAATTGCACACATTTGCATAAAAGTCTAGGACAAAAATATGAACTATATATGTAAAATGATCTAGGAACATGGTGTGTGCAAGCAGGGGCATATTTACAATTTTAACCCTCAGCAAGGACAAAATTGCATGGTCGGTAAACACTGCACTGTATGTACAGTATGTAGTGATGCTGAAGTGGAGATTTATTGCTGGGTTAGGCGGAAAAACTCATTTTGAGAAAACAAGCCTTTGCAAATATTTTACAATTGATCAAGAGAAAAACTAAAAACATTAGCTCATACTTTAATAAATGAAAAAAAAAGATAAAATACCAAATGTATACATGAACAAATGCAATAAAAATAATAAAACAAATGAGAAAGTGAACAGATGTTTTAGTGCTGACTATATAATTAAAAGTTTAGAAAAAATAGCTTAAAGTAAGAGAGAGATTGATTAGTCCAAAAGTCCAATAAATTGACCTCAAAAAGCTGAGAACTTTCCTTTAGAGTTAGTCCTCAAAAATCTGAATTTCCCCTCTAAATAACAGATATCATGTCTATAATCCAATTCTAGAAGTAAAGGGGTAAGGGTGACTTCTAGTTCTTAAAGGGATAGTTCACCCACAAAATGAAGATTCTGTGTTAATTTTCTCACCCTTTACTTGTTTCAAACATTTTTAAAACTGCTTTATTCATAAGCATTTTTATAGGTTTGTTTCTTTCTTCCATTGAGCACAAAATAAGTTATTCTGAAGAAACTGGAAATCTGTAACTATTGACTTCAATAGTATTTGTTTTTCCTACTGTGGAAGTCAATGGTCACAGGTTTACTTCTTTCTTCAAAATATTTTCTTTTCTGTTCAACAGAAGAAAGAAACTCATAAATGATTGTGTCCAAATAATAAACAGTGAATCAAATTTCATTTTTGGGTAAACTTTCCCTTTAAACACAAGTCTTTTGGCCACAACCATGCCCTGTGTTAAAAATAGCGGTAGTGTTGTAAAAATGTATGCTATGAGAGGCTAAAAATAGCAAATGCAGCATATGGTGAAAGATGTAAGCCTGCGAGTACCAGTCAAATATCCTTGACTAAAATCCAGACTATAAAGCATAAGCAACTGGATCCTCTGCTGTTCTGCACCCGTCGCACAATGGTGAAAAAGAAAGGAACATTTTTTATGTAACCTGACTTTAGTGTAATGCATACAGTATGATGAACAACTTTGAATTGGATCAGTTGATTCCTGCTGTGTCGCCATCCACTTGTCCCATGTCATTTTAGAGATCTAATTTCCTATAGGTCCCATTTAATAGTACCTTTTTGGAAATACGTGCTTTAGACTACGTTTTTGAGAAACAGCAAAAATAAACATACATTTGACTATACTTTCTAGGTTAAATGAATGCTATGGAGCAGGATGATGGTGTCTATGATTTGTAATTGAGTACATTTGCCTCAATTATCTTCATGTCTTCACCCAGCAAGCACACAACATCATAAGACGGTAATATTAGGTCAGATTTAGGTTATGATGCCAGGTGGCCAAAATTCAGTGTCGATTCAGCGTCTAAGGACAATATTATTATGACGTCCAATAACAACGTGAAATTACGTTGATATTTGGTTGTGTTGGAAAGTGACCAAAATTCAATGTCGGATAGATGGTAGTATCGTCCACACAGAGTCAAGGTGTAACATGATTAGACGTTGATATTTGATTTATTTTAAGTAGATTTTAGGTTGGACATTGGACATTGAAGTCAGCCTGACGTTGGGTTCTGACATCAACTCGATTTTCATTTCCAAGAAAAATCCAATGTCTGTTGACGTACTGTGCCTGCAGAAGCCCTGTTCCAGAACTTTCCACAAGCCCTGTTCCATTAAATGACTAAAAATCAAGTTAAAACTACATAGCCACACTGCACTTTTCTCTTATGTTTGCTTTTGAAAACACTATTGGTTGGGTTTAGGGATAGGTCCAGGGTTGTCATTTATAAGTTTTGTATATTCACAAAATAGGGTGGAAACGTGCGCTACTTCCCAGCCAAAAGTTGTGATGCACAGCTGTAAGTAAACATATTTCACTTAAATATTGACTTAAATTAACCACTCTAAATCATCATATGGACCATAATCCTTAATAAATAAATAAATAAATAAAAAATAAAAATGTTTTATGCCATGCTTTCACTTTTAGGAATGTTTCTATGCAAAGTTTGAGCAAAAAATATTCCATTCTATGATTAAAATTTAATGAGATTTTAGTCCATGTTCATTACCTTTTAGGTCATTTACTGTATATCCTGCGTGTTAATGTAAGTTATTTTGTGTTTTAATGCATGATATTTTTGGATCTAAAATAAATGACTCATTTTCAGTAGGTGATCTGTACGACATGCCCCACTTTCTCATGGACATGTACAAGAAGGACGTGCATCTGAAACTTACAAAGCATATCTAGAGCAACATATTTTACATTTCGTAAAATTGTAGACTGCGACCTCTAGTGGATATGTCATCAGAAAGTGGAATGAAATGTGCATCAAGGAATGTATTTTACATTTCGCTAAAATGTAGACAGCCCGCTCTAGTGTGTTTGTCGTCTGAAACATGCAACAAAACATAGCCGCAACCAACACATTTTATGTCTCGCAAAAAAGTAAGGCATGTATTTCCAATGAGTCTGGGATGAGTAATCCATTGGTTTGGTTGTTAAAGCAAATGTGTATGGGTTTAATGCTTTCTGCAGGAGATAAATCATCAACAAAAACAAAAAATTAACCAGTAACAGTGCTGATTAAAGAAGTAAGAGTTTCATTACAGTGGCTCTGATTAAGTTCTGCTGGTTAATAATGACAATGAGAGATAAATTTGCTTTCTATGTGCATCAGTCGGTGTCATCAACATTTCTAATTATCTGCTTGAATACCTGTGGCAATTTTCCTTCGAGAGAGGCAATAGTCTGTGCAAAAGCATTTTTTTGGAGGACATGGTAAATTCAGCTCTTCTCCTGTCTGTCTCTCAGCAGATCACGGCCGCCAGTCCAATGGGCCCTGCTGATGTTTCAGAGAAAAAATCAGCCACTATCAGTGACGTCTGTGAGTCTATGAAGCAACAGCTGCTTGTTCTGGTAGAGTGGGCTAAATACATCCCAGCCTTCGGCGAATTGCCACTTGATGACCAGGTAATGGCCGTTGGAAAGCAACACTGGCTGTGCTAATTGGGGAGGCCCTTGGGTTAAATTGCAGGGCCGTTCACTGAAGCTCAATATTTGCTATTCACATGGCTGACTCAGTTTAGCCTCCATTTAACATGCTGTCTGTGCTGCTTTCAATTTTTTTTCTCTTGTGCTTATTGTTATCAAAAGCGCGGAACATTCTGATGGTTCAATATAGACTTGACTGACCAAAATAGCGTTTATTCCATATTTATTAGCTTTAAGGTCTTACACTTTATACAGTATGGTAATGTACTCCTATTTTGGATGTTTACAAATTATTTTATCAGTGTTTTGATTCATGATTTTTTGTGTCTAAAATTAATTTCTCATTTTGCATGTATGACACAATTCATTTGCACCCGTGGTCTATTAGTAAGTCCATTTAGCCCATATTGTATATTATATAATATTATGTATATTAATATTAATATTATATATATATATATATATATATATATATATATACATACATACATACACACACACACACACACACACACACACACACACACACACACACACACACACACACACACACACACATAAATGTGTGCTATTAATTGAAAATTAATATTTGTAACCATTTCTCAGTGAATATAGGTAATATACAGTATGTTCGTGCATTTGAACAAAACTGATTTATTAAATGTATATATTTAATAAAATAATATTTTAGTCACTGAACATCTTTAGAAATAGAAAGATAATACATTTAAATTAATGCGAAATATTGTGAAAAACTATTACAAACCACACATATTTAATAAAATTGTATAAATTTTTAGTTTGACTGTTTTTTATAGATTTTTTACTTAATATTTTTCTTCAACGTTTACTTTTTTTATGTACTAATTTTGGACCGTTATCATGTTATTTTTTAAGATTAGCTCCAGATTTGGCTTTAGTAGTGACTAATCCAATGTATATGCACAAATAAAATATTTTATAGCTTCCTATAGAAAATATTCATGTAAATGAGAGATTTGTGAGGGGTATACTCATATACTGTATGTTAAGCATTGTGTATATATAACAAGTAAAACATTAATCATTCAAATCTTTTATACAGCATTAGTACTTTTATTTAAGCAATAATCCAATAAGTATCTATAACTCTAAAACAGTCATTGTTACTGTAAAATAAAAGTATTATTGTTTTGGCGAGCAAGAAAATGTCATGTTTTTAAAGGTGCAGTATTTAAGTTTGACACCCAGTTGTTAAACTAGTTTTTGCACTCCTGGATCAAAACAAACGCAAGCGCAGGTTGCCAGATTGAAGACAGGAGCGAGTGATTTAAACCATGTTCTATATAAAAGCAATGGCACCCGATAGAAGGAATATCTTCCATTTTAAAATAAGTTTTTGTCAGAAAACTGACAATAATCAATAATTAGGTACACCTCATGTGTTTATTCAGTGTTAAATGCTAACATTGTGAGTTTGAATGCCATTTTACATGACATTCATTGCCATACTACTGAAAGCAGCAGCAGATAGTTAACCTCAGATCCGTTTTGAAATTGAACTTTAGAACTGCGACTCAAAGCCAATACACAGTGATTCAGCATCTACATTTAATATTGTTAAAGAGGTTTATTATGTAATTATTTGATTATAAACCTTACCCTTTCATTGAAATGCAGCGCTATTCTGTGTTCCTGAATGGCTGTATTTAAATTTCTGTCATGTTTCGTCTGGTGCAAACAGCCAAATTGCTCATAGCTGCGTATCTCATCATGAAGCGTGTTGTTAGGACACGCGGTTACAATGTAACCTTCTCACCTACTGTTTGCGCTAGTAATATTTAGATTATTTGCTAAATAATAGGCTCATGTGGAACTGAATCTGCTTCTCATTTCGGAGTCTGCTACTGTCCACTGGAGGTCACACTTTGGTCATGGGCGCATGCTTTCAGAGCCTTTCTGAATGAAGTATGCGGTTTTCCACCAAGGCAACCTGGAGCGCTGAATTATAATTTTCTAAATTGGCATTGGGCAGGTTAAAATTACCAAAACAAAGTGTTCCGACACAGAAAACACATATTCAAAGCAGAATATCTGACTTTAGCATTGTTTTTCAGATACTTTCTTAAATATCTGCAAACATATTATGTTATTTTTATGCTTTACAAGAGTCAAAAACGTACATACAGCACCTTTAAACCCTAGCAGCCTCATCTTGCCAACTGCAGTTTATATTTATTTTTAAATATTTGGTTACCACATACCAGATTTACATTGCATGTTTCATATACTAGGTTAAAAATAAATAAATAAATAAATGATGAACCAGACCTCATTTTTCTTCCAGGTTAGTTTATTACGAGCTCATGCTGGCGAGCATCTTCTGCTTGGTGTGGCTAAGAGGTCAATGTCATACAAAGACCTCTTGCTTTTAGGTAACTTCTAATAGAAAATGTAATTATACTATAAATAGACAGACTTCAAGTTCTCATCAGTCATTAATAATTTTCCATGCAGGTAATGGCTGTGTCATCCACCGAAACTGCCCTGAGCCGGAGATAGGCCGCGTATCTAACAGAGTCTTGGATGAACTAGTTTTACCTTTCCAGGACATCCAAATTGACGACAATGAATACGCCGCTCTGAAGGCCATTGTATTCTTCGACCCTGGTACTTTATATACAAATCATAAAACGACCAATATGCATCACACATGATACTAACTCTGTTATTTGAACTTCTAGACGCCAAAAGCTTAAGAGACCCATCTAAGATCAAGGCGATGCGTTATCAGGTTCAGATGAGCCTGGAAGACTACATTAATGACCGGCAGTATGATTCACGCGGGCGATTCGGGGAGCTTCTACTGCTGCTTCCGACTCTGCAAAGCATCACCTGGCAGATGATTGAGCAGCTACAGTTTATCAAGCTCTTTGGTCTGGCTAAGATTGATAACCTGCTGCAGGAGATGCTTCTCGGGGGTGAGTATGAGGTGGAGCGGAAAAACGCTTCATGATCGTTTTTTGAATTAGGTGAAAGCAGGTGTTTTTCCTGCAATATATGGCATGTATTGTAATGCAGCACATTGTATGAAACTTTATTAGGCAAAATGATGCATGCGCAGTATTAGCAGTGTGAAGTTACTTCAAAAAAGTAAATAATTGCTAGTGACTAAGTACAACATTAAAACTGTATTAAAATTACTCTTCTATTTACTTTGAAAAGTAACTTCATTACTTAACTAGTCATTTAATTAAATGTATTATCTGAAATGTCTTTGTAATTATTTTTACTTTAAAATGTTGTGAATTTTGATATGTTGTCAACAACAGATTTATTTCAAACATTTCAGGAAGTAGACTTTTCTTTAAAGGGATAGTTCACCCAATTCTCACTATTTACTCACCCTCAAGTGGATTCAAACCTTTATAAGTTTCTTTTTTCTGTTGAACAGAAAAGAAGAATATATTTTTAAGAATGTTAGAAACATGTTATGTTTGTCTACGCTGATAGCCCAGTTAGTGTGCCAACATAACAGCGCTTCAAGTGTCCACAGCTCAAGGACATTTGCCGATTTGACCTTACCTTCATTCATCCATTCATTCATTTTCTTTTTGGCTTAGTCCCTTTATCAATCTGGGGTCGCCACAGCAGAATGAACCGCCAACTTATCCAGCATTTGTTTTATGTAGCGGATGCCCTTTCAGCTGCAGCCCATCTCTGGGAAACACCCATACACACTCATTCAAACTCATCTCATACACTACAAACAATTGAGCATACCTAATTCACCTGTACCACATGTTTTTGGACTGTGGGGGAAACTGGAGCCCCCTGAGGAAACCTACGCGAACGCAGGGAGAACATGCAAACTCCACACATAAATGCTAACTGACCCAGCCGAGGCTCGAACCAGCACCCATTTTGCTGTGAGGCGACAGCACTAACTACTGCGTCACCCTGACCTTACTTTAATCAAATAAAATTATTTTTTTCAAAAATGGCAAAAACATATCTTAAAAAAAAGAAATATGTTATGTTAAAAAGTAGGAAAATCACAGAGAAAAAGAAACGTTGTGACAAGTAAAGGGTGAGTAAATGATTATATAATTTTTAGTTTTGGGTGAACTATCCTTGACATTAAATGATCTCATTTATTACAGAAAAAACACACATCACGCAAGTTTCACATGCTAGTATCTATGTGCAACGGGCGAAAAAATCTAATATGAAAATATATAAATCATTATCATAGACTTACCTGCATGTACAGTACTAGGCTAGGTTAACATATAATAAATCATGTTTAGGGTGCAGCATGGTGGCTCAGTAGTAGCACATTTGAACTGTCGCCTCACAGCAAGAACATCGCTGGTTCAAGTCCCAGCTGGGTTAGTTGGCATTTCTGTGTGGAGTTTGCATGTTCTCTCTGTGTTGGCGTGGGTTTCCTTTTCTCCGGTTTCCAGCACATTCCAAAGACATGCGGTATAGGTCAATTGGGTAAACAAAATTGGCCGTAGTGTATAAATGTTTGGGTGTTTCCCAGTACTGGGTTGTGGCTGGAAGGGCATACGCTGCATAAAACATATGCTGGAATAGTTGGCGGTTTGTTCTGCTGTGGCAACCTCTGATAAACTAATCCAAAGGAAAATGAATGAATGAATGAATGAATGATGTTTAGGAACACAGTTTTGACCATTGTACAGTAGTCAAACTCTCATATATTTGATTAATTGATTGCAGGTCTAACCACAGAGCAACCTCACTTACATCACAATGGTCACCCTCAGATTCCCATAACAGGACAGACTATTGTCATTAGCTCCATACCAGGACCTGCACATCCACAGATGGGTAAGCTATATATATAAGTCATAATTTATTATATTACAATCACAATAATTATAGTCATATTTATAGGTGTTTAAATATCACACATCTGACACTGATGATAAATAAAAATTCTATTTATTTTAATTTTTTAAATTGATAGATTTTTCTATTTGATCATTTTTGTTGATGTTTTTGTCCATTTTTATTATTATTTTTTTTAAATAATGTCTTCGTGTCACAGATGTCTAAATTACATTGACTTTACAAGACTGTAAAGAATAAAAAAATTGTGTCTGCTTTAATGTTTCAGTTAATCTTTGTGATACTAAAATGCCAAAATACAGGTAAAATAATGTTCCACTTTATAATCCTGTTGAAATTAAACTACTAATTTTGACATTTACTAAATAATAATTAGTCATACAAAATAATTTTCTTTTTGAAATGATTAAAAACCACTAGCTCACAAACTGATAAAACCCAGTGGCTTGAAGGCATCAAATGGCAGAGACATAAAATTGTTTAATTACTATTTTGGAGCTACACCGTTATCCTTAAAGAGTGTCTTTGTCATCAACGATGTCTGTGACATATATTTTAGCGGGAGTGTCAAAATATGTAGTAATAAGTATTATTTGTTCTGAAAAACAAAAAATAGGTCCCCTTTAAGCGCAATTTATAGTTTTTCTGTTTTTTTCAGCATCCCCAGAAACCCCTATTCCATCCCCCACTTCAGTACAGAACCAGGAGGTCTTCAAACCTTCTGGCAGCCCTGCTCTCCTGCTGCCTCCACAGACCATGCCAAACAGACCCTCTCCGGAGCCCCCGCTATGAGTCTCCTCTCTTGTGCAGGTGTGTTTGTAGATGTGTAAATGCTTCCCCACCTCCAGCGCTTCAGAACTTTACAAAAAAAAAAAAATCAAATTTACTGTCAAAGTGGACCATCATGAATTGAAAAGTGATTGTTTCGTTTAGGATAGTTGGAGAGTTTTAGGTTTTATGTGGTTTCTGTTTAGCTGAATGCTGGTAACCTAGAGGATATGCATTTATTGGTGACAAAATATTGTCAGTTACAAAACATTTTTTTATTGTATTAATGACAAATAAATCAAGAATTAATTTATTAACAAAATTATACTGTAAAACATTGAAGAAATGTTCATTTGTGGCCTTAAACACAATAAAAAAATTAGTGCTTGCATTGTTTTTATTAATGAATGGATTATGTATTTTGTGTGCTTAATTACTTTTTTAATGTATTTTATTGCTTTTGGTGACCTGAAATCACAAATTTTTGAAAACGTTTTGAAGTTTTAGAGTGCAAGTGTCACACGTGGAGATCAAAGCAAGGAACAACACGAGGGTCCAGGTGCAGGTAAAATAAGATTATATTAAAGGCAATCAAGGTCAAACAAAAGTAGCTGGTACAAGAAGTGCAATCCAAAAACATTATCAAAAAACAGACATTAAGTCAAAAATCTGGTGTGTGTGAGATGAAGGGATTTGTAGTTCTTAACAGCATCTGTAGTTCACCAGCAATTTGTCAGGAGTGGATCGCTGGTGATCGTGACAGCAAGCTTTCCAATATCCTTAATCCATGTGTTTTTGTGAAAAATGTAATATATGTAAATGTAAATATAAAAAAATTTAATATGCATGCTTATTGTACATGTATGTAACATCTATACACACTCATTCACACTCACACTACGGAGAATTTAGCTTACCCAGTTCACCTATACCACATGTCTTTGGACTTGTGGGGGAAACCAGAGCACCTGTAGGAAACCCATGCGAACATGGGGAGAACATGCAAACTCCACACAGAAACACTAACTGAGCCAGCCGAGGCTTAAACCAGCGACTTTCTTGCTGTAAGGCGAATGTGCCACCCACTGTGCCACCACATCGCCTTTATTAAATATAATATTAAAAAACAAAACAAATGTTGTAATTTATGTTTTTCATGACAGGTGATAATATACATATACCATATATTATTTAACGGCACGGTGGCTCAGTGGTTTGTACTGTCGTTTGCATGCTGGAATAGTTGTCGGTTTAATCCACTGTAACTTCTGATAAATGAGGGACTAAGCTGAGGGAAAATGAATGAATTAATAGATTTTTTTAAAATAAATATCATATTAGAAATATGATAATGATACATCTGTTGATAAATATATTAGAAATATGATAAGTATCATTTTATTTTTTATGCCTCTTTTTGCTCACAAAGGATACATCAATTTGACTGTCAAAAAAAGTATTTTTAATGTAAGCTATTTCTGCATTCAGATATTCTTGTGAAGTTTTCAGTGTCCATTGAGTCTTCAGTGTGCCATGATCTTTTACAAATTATTCTAATATGCTGAATTTGTGTTCAAGTAACATTTATTATTATCATCATCATCAATATGTGTGTAAAAAAGAACAGTATTTACACAAAAAATAGAAACATTTTCATTTGTAACATTGTAAATATCTTCTCTGTCACGTTTAAAAAATGTATGCATCTTGCTGAAAAAAAAGGATGAATTTCTTAACAAAATATGTACAATGATTAGTTCAATATTATAAACTATTTAATGGCAAAAAGTGCTTTGTGCAGTATTATAGTTTTGAATACTGACATTTAGCAAAATTTGTGGTAACACTTTATTTTGATGGTCCATTTGAATATTAGTAGACTGTCTGCCTAATATCTGTTGATACTGCTCCTTCAACGGACATTTATAAGAAACTTTGCAAGTACATGTAAACTTACTCTAACCCTAACCCTAACAGTCTACGTATAATCTAATAAGAATTAGTTGGCATGTAGATGCAATGTAACTTATATTCAACAAACCGACCATCAAAATAAAGTGTGACCAAATTTGCTCACATCAAAATGTCACTTACATTAGAATCAGAAGGTCATACAGTCTCCTCACAAATTTTTATAGACTCTTCGTGCTAAGAAAAAAGTATACTTAAAGGTGATCCACATAGCAGCCATATTAAAATTATTAAAAGTATTGGACATTGTAGACAATTTGCAACTTTTGACAGTTTCCCAAACATCTCATAAGCTATTCTACACATATAACATATGCAATAAAGAGAAAAAAAAGATAAAGCTGTGACTAAAAAGCAGATAACATTTGCTCTCCAACATATCTTGAATCTGTCACCTCAGAAAAAGAGACAGACCTGAAAACAAAAAAAATACAAGAACAGTAGTGCTCATTCGGAAACACATCAAATCAGGCTATTTTCTGCATCTAAACAACAGCGTTTGGTGCAGGTGAAGTCCATGTCATCAAAACCTTGGCATTCATGGGAAGCCGTAATAAGTTTTGGAGTGCACCCTGTTTGGATGGTTTTTTTTTTGTCCAGAAAAGCAATCTGATATCTCAAGGTGTAAGTGCACAAGGCCCGGGGCCAGATGAATCAGACGAAGCCGTCAATAGTAGCTGTCTATTATGCTGCAGGAAGAGCTTGGAGGAAGTAGAAATGGCAAGATAAACATTGCAAACCCTCCAATCAACTCTGTAATGGAGTGGCAGCTTGCGTGGGGTTAAACGGCAAGCTTGACGGGAGAAAGCTGAGCATCCAGTGATCCTTAATGAACAAGCGCACAAGGCTGAATGCGCTTATTTGTATACAAAACATTATCTTGGTATTCAAGGCACACATCTCATCTGAGGCGTTCAGCTTTGTGTGACGGTGTGGTATTAAGCCTCGGTAAGCCTCCTCTCTGAGCGATGTGGAGTGGATGGAATAAGCATATCTGTTCTTCACCTTTGTGGCGAAGGAAACTCTCGCACACTACACCTTGACATTCATGACAGCGAGGATACTCAAAGTGATTGTAATCCACATCGCCGACAAGCTGAATAGGAGGAATTTTCCTCCCTTTTCTTGTGTAGAACCATCATTTGTTTGCATAATGACACTTCCAGACTAGAGACTAGGGCTTCTGTTGCAGGGCTGCACTTTTAAACCCCCCTTCTTTGGGATGCGGCAAGAGCTCAAGCTGTTTTAATCTGTTTGAAAAGAATTTTAGATACGTGGATGTTTTTTTTAGAAAAAAAGAGTGGATTTTTCTCTTTTTTTTTTTTTACAAAATGTTAGAGAGATACATACAGCTATGGAGACCACATGCAAATTCTCTGTTTCTCTGGATTCACAATTAATAGTTATGTGTTAGGTACAATACTTAAAATAATATTTTTAGGCAACCCAATATAATGTAAATGTACATTAATTAATAATAAACTAATGTAATGTAAATTCTGCTGAAATAACCCTGGACTTTAGCTGCAATTACAACAATCAATGAATCAATAAATCAATGAATCAACCAATCAGTCAATCATTCAGTCAATCAGTCAGCCAGTCAGTCAGTCAGTCAGTGTCTATCTATCTATCTATCTATCTATCTATCTATCTATCTATCTATCTATCTATCTATCTATCTATCTATCTATCTATCTATCTATCTATCTATCTATCTATCTATCTATCTATCTATCTATCTATCTATCTATCTATCTATCTATCTATCTATCTATCTATCTATCTATCTATCTGACTTTACTTACACAAACCCATCGTAAACCCTTATCTTTGGAAAGCATTGCTTAAGCTGCTAGAGTGACATGTATTACTTTTATTATGGATCTGTAGACTACTTTACAGTATTTCAAAAACTATTCACTGTTTTTCATTATAAGCTGTGAAGAGCAAGGATATTACAGTTTTTCTTAGTGGCTTTGGTGCATTTCTCACAACACTATTTACATTTGCACAACAGTTAATGCATTAGTTGATAACCTGCAAAAGCGCGTTACATGCTCAAAATGGATAGCGCATTCCTCAAAAGCAAGTATTCATGTCAGTGAAAGTGTCAGTGTCATCAAGATGAAAAGTCCTGACACCATTGTTTATGAACAAGATAGACAAATGGCTTTGTCATGTTTTCATTATGACAGTTTACTCTGTACATTTTTTCCAATTCAAAAAAGTCAGATTTTGGTGACACTTCCTGAAAATGCTCAAGACAGCCATATATACTATTTGCACAGCCATTTGAAAACTACAGTAAAGTTAGACACGACTACATTCAGTGAGGTATCTGAGTACAAGACAGGGAATATGTATGTTTTAAATTTTTACTGCATTTGCTCTTTGCAATTCTAATTTATTCACAGCATTGTGCAAAAGAATGAACACACTTATTTACAACAAACATGCTTTAGGGAAGAGCTGTGCACAACTGTAAACAAAAGTGCAGAACATATTGGAACTAAACTTACAACACACAGGTCTGTAAATCATCCCTGAAACTGTTCAATTTAGAAGACATTTTCTGGAAAAAAGATTAACATTTAGTTTATAAAATTAGCTTGACAGATTTTGACAACTAATTCAACATTTTCAACATTCAAATGTCTATGCAGCATTCACAAGTTTAGTTAATTTTGACTGACATGACATAAGCAAATGATGATGGTGTAAAACAGCAGAGTTGTATGAAAGCAATGGATGCATGCCCAAAACCATTTGCAATTTGTTGGAAGGAATGAAAAACTTTTACTAGGATGTGCACAACTGACTAATTGTTTTGAGAAATGCATGAACTGTTGTGCCAATGTAAATAGTGTTGTGAGAAATCCACCAAAGCGACTGAGAAAAACTGTAATATCAAAACTGTAAAACTTGGTGTACAAACCTACTTTTTGACATATTTGATGTTTTCATACAAAATTTTCCAAATTGATAAGATGCCCAAGATAGGCCCATTGTAACCTTTGATTTGTTCCCCCATCCCATCTGAGAAGAGAGTGAGAAGAATGGAGAGGGTAATGTCATTTATACTTTGACGTAAATTTTTTTTTGTTTCTTTGTTTTATTCCGTTGTGGCAACCCAGGATTAATAAAGGGAAAAGCCGAATGAAAATGAAAATGAATGAATGAATGAATGAATGGATGGATAAATGAATGAATGAAATTAATTGTTTCAATTAAATGTTGTAAATGAACCTGATGGATGAATGAGGGTTGAGAATCAAATGAATGATGGACTACGCAGAAGATATCGGTGAGCAAATCAAGGCAAAAACAATAGTATAACTTCATTCTATCAAAAATGAGGGTTTTGTTTTTACTGTAATCAGTTCATAATAAAATGCAAAAAAACAAAACAAAAAAA